CTTTACTTCGACACATTCGATAGTAAATGAAAATGCTATTATGTATCTACTGATAGGAATATTCCTCCGACTTAGCGGGGACGACACAACACTAGTGCGACGCGATAACTGCGCGCGCCCCCGCACTAGCTGAGGAACTGTCAAATACGAACGTTAGCGCGCATTTTGTCGGCTAAGCCTAATTTTGGCTAATAAATGAATATTTTATAATTTAACATTGTTTTTCCGCCTTAATAGTACCTATGTGTAATACTGAACTCGATAGTACGCGAAATCGAGTTACGAGTGAGTTGAAATGGACAAAACTCGTGGTACTTTCAGTGTATTAGCGCACTGCGTCAAAGGGTGGTCAGTTATTGTAAACGTATCTATATAGTAGACTGCAGACGCGTGCATTGCAGAAACTCAGGATTCCCGATTCGATACGCGACAGAACGAATCGATTATAAGATGTATCGTTATATCGATGGAAATCGATTTTACGAGTACTGTTTTGTTATTGTATCGAGTTCTTATTATAACATATTAGTAATGTTTTCGATTTTTAAATTGTGGCTGCATAATCTATTATAATTACCAATTTATCAAGCTGAAGAGTTTGTTTGTTTGAACGCGCTAATCTCAGGAACTACTGGTCCGTATTGAAAAAATATTTTTGTGTTGGTTAGAGCATTTATCGAGGAAGCCTTAAAATATGGGTGTGACTTATAGAAATAGGTTTGGGTTGTGACTAATAGAAGCAAAGAAACAGTGGGAAAAGTGGAAAAAACGAGGAAATTTGTAAAACTTTGTGGGTTTCCGATGCGTAAGTTGCGGAAATGGTTCAAGATACTTTAAAAACATATATGAAATACTGATTCCTATGTAAATGATCTAGAAAAAAGTCCGCAACACATCCATAATTTGAGGTTAACTTGCAAGAACGTAGGGACGCGACCGACGTCGTAGGAAACATCTGAAATTTATAGAAGTTTGCAGAAACAAATTTGGATGCCCAAAATTACTATTCCGTCTATTGTTCATTTATTGCCTGATATTTTTATGTTCACTCTATAAATAAAAAAAAATCATGTCAATACCAATACCACAGACGTCATATAGACGTTGATATTTAGATAAATGTTGTTCGGCCTTTCATTGACATTTTTAATGCATTCGACGTCTATTTGTCGCATTACAAGCAGAACCAAAGGGAATGAAAATGTTTGCTTCTTTGTGAAAAACCCTACTATATTATCACAATCAATAGTATCGACTACAGTAAGTGGTTTATAACAACTCCGTAATTAGCAGATAAGAACTGACACTGTGGAGATAATTTTGTAACCGCTATAAAAAATCTTTAGGGGCTTTCAAGACTTAGTAGTAATGATTCTCATTCCCATGTCAATAAGGTGGAATTTCAAAGTTCAGTTCTAATGTACGAGTCTATACATTAAATAGAAAAACACATTAATTGACTGGCCAATTCAATAGTCATCGTTCTCAATTCAATATTGCGAAACATATTGTTTAAATGGGAAATAGGTGTACAGTTACGCTTGCGTGACTTGTTTTGTTGTTTTGTGATAAATTAAATGATACAATAACGAATTTGGACTTTGATTCGAATTCGGCCACAAACACACTTAAAATAACTTTTTTTTCCTAAACATTTGTTCAATATCCACTTTATTAATCACGCTTTGCTGTTTCACATAGATTTTCTTAGTAACTTCGCTAAAAGTATTCTCAGAATATTAGCCACAAACATATTATGTCTTTACCTATTAGTAGTTCAAAATAATTTTAGTAAATAGATTCTTAATTTACACTTTCGATAGTTACCTAGATTGCTGTTAATAATAAAAATCCAAAATATACTTGTGATTTATAATTTAACCCTGACACTATTCAGCTTACGAACATGTTAACATTTCGTACTGACTGTAGTTTACGTGAGTACACTTTTAAATAACCTGTTAACGGTTTAAAACGCTATATATATTAGTTAACTGATTTTTGATAAATCTCCTGCAAAGTATCCAAAACTTATTTAAAATAAGATACCTAATGTATTTTTTAACTGTCAATATTGTTATATTTAAACGTAAATATTCGAAGATTTTCCATAGACCTTTTCACTGGGTAATCATCGGTTGTCGTGTGCGCACCGTGCGTGCATAACTAAATAGAATTACGCATGCAACGCAACGACATGCGAGATAATATAGAGATTAGTTGACGTGTATCTGATACACCATTATAAGTTACTTCTATCGCATTCGTTACAGGTACAATGTACGCAAGTGTCATCTAAACAATAAAAAAAATTAAATAATAGGCCCTAATTTCTTAATTTTTAGGGTTTTTTGTACCTAATACAGGCCTATGACTTTGATTCTTAAGATAGACAGTAGATTTTATTACAAATTATGTCTCCATATATATATATATATATATATATATATATATGTATTATGTTCTTGTTGTCTATTAAAATACATAACAATAGCAGTAGCAACAAATAAAAAATTTAGACTGCTAATAAGTTTTGGTGTAGTTGACGGGAGTAGAACATATAAAATACTTTAAACGGTTTTAAACGCGAAATGTATAACTTTTTTATTTACACTAATTATTTTACTTGCGGCCCGACCTTTTAAATACCCGTGAACAATGAACGACATCAACAAAAATGGCTTACAGCCAACTGTAATATGTAATAGTAATGCAGTTATTCCGAGTATGTTAACTTGATTAAAAAAGACGGTAGACAGAAGAAAGATGAAGTAAGCAACTACTTAGGAAAAAATATAATATAAACCTACTGCAAAAAAATATAATATTAATCCGACAAATCATTGACAGTTGGCCTTCAGCCACAACACAGCAACCTTATCCTACCCAGCTAAGCCGCAGACCATAAAGGTGTTAAATATTTCGCGAATGTGCCGCCGCCCTTAGCGTCGCAACGGCGCCGAACGGTAAATCCGACAAGAGCTGATCACGCCGTCGGATTAGTCTGTCACAAGAAACTAATTGGCGTCTTACTTCAACAAACTAACACTAACAAGGGAAAAGGGAAACCCGTATTTGTGCGGACAACTTGCAAGGTTAAACTTTAGTCGGACGATTGAGTCTTTTTTTCGACTTTCTATACCAGCGGAAGCTTGTACTTTCGAATTTAATTAAAATCGCAATGCATTGGTTCCGAGTAGACCTTTTTTATTATTATATTCATTGTGGTAAAGAGACGAGGTGGATAGAAAGAAAACAGAATCGAGGAAGTCTCCTTATTGCTTTTTAACTACAAAAAGACTAATTGGGCGCCGGATTTTAAAGTAATTTAAAAAATATAGTTCGTATTTTAAATGGTTAAGTGTTTTATTCAAATATTTGCTAACAACAATAAATAAGGCTAATTTAATCAACAATACAACAAATTTGATATAGATAGACAACACAATAGTCTAATAGAAAATAAACACAGAAATTAATTCCCCTAACAAATTAATTATACATATCTATAAAAATCAGTTGAGAGCATAATATTAGTACCGTAACACAAGGTCAACCAGTGCTATGACTCACAGTCCACAGGAAATATACAAATAAAGGCACAATGACCAACATTATGTTAAGTGAGCATATTTATTCAATGTAATATGGTTTGAATTTATGTATTTACATAAAGGCTATGTGTGCAAATATTTACCACCATAGCTGGCTATGGGTTAATAAATTAAGCTTGAGAGTGCTAAAAACCTACCGCAAAAATGAATATTTAATCATTTAAATCAATTTTATTACATGTATATATGCTTATAATTATTGATAGCTTTTTGGCTACCTAGACCCAGTCCTAGTAAAGAACAAGGAATATATATAACATATGGAACCAATCAGTAAAACAAACTCAGAAGTGTGTTAACCTCATAGCCCAAAAGAAAAAGGATTACACTTTTTCAGAAGGCTACAACAACAGTATTGAATATAACTTTTGAGGTATAACAAAAGTGTCATAACAAAAAAAAAAAACCAGTACAAAACTAATTGTTGTCAAGGTCTCCTATTAACCCTAATCTGTTTGGTCAAATAATGACGCACGGCTGACCAACATTCAGCAATTTAACTATTAATCTCATTTGAGGACCCAGTCCTAGTCAAGTTTCCTGTTTGTGTGACTAAGAAGGCCAGTCAGAGCTAAATATAGGAAATCGGTTGTTTTGAGTGAGTGCTTAATAATTATTTGATAGCTTATCAGACAAGTAGGTTTCCATAGGAAAACAGTCTTGAATAGTATAAGATAATTTCATGGTTTTTATATGCTAGGATGTATATATATTTATTGCTTTGCAATCCTAGGGGTTTAAATTTTATTTAGTTCTTTCAAAGACATTCTTATATACCTACAAATATTTTTTATTGCATTCATTTAATAGCTAATTTTTATTAAATGTTTTGCCAATATTTGCAATTTTATAAGTTAAAAGATACATTGGTTATAATATAATTTAAATTATTACCAGCTACCAAATTTAAAGTTAATATTAGATAAACAGAGGATGTAGTGAGTATTGTGCTATAAACTTTGACATTTTGTTGATAAGATAGGGCAGGAACACATTTTGTAATAGGAAACAATGCAGTAAAAAGATTAATGTATGATACAAACTTAATGACCATTTGGTAGTGGTCGACTAATTTATTTAGTGAAATAGGGATAAAGATGTTTTTAACAAACAAACAACAATCAGGACACATCTATGACATGGTAAAAAGATCCTTAATTTTGGCATTTTAACTTTATTTATGAAGGACAAAATGGACTATATTTTTTATATTTTTGTGTTTTCACGATATTATTATTGGGTTGACGTGTTTTGGATCGGATCTTTATGCGTGAATTGTGTGTGAGTAAATGTAATTTGTGTCATTATAATGAAATAATACGCAATATACAGACGCATTATGTTTGTAAACAAAATCGCCGGTTACGAAAAGCGAGTTGGACTCACCAAAACTTTGATGAATCTGTTCTCCAGTTCATCTCGGTCAGGCATAGGAGGCTTCGTACGATTTCTGGTGGACGGCTGTCGTACATGGTGGCTTTTTCCTGCACCAACCGGTCCGTCCAACATATTTTGTTCCCGGGACGTGATTAGACCCATTTTACACAGCACTGGCTTATTGAACACTCATCACGAGAACATTAGGTCATCTTTATCACAGATAGCACTATTATTTCATTTTATATTATCGCGATACACGATAAAAACATTCAATTAATTCAGCGGCACTAGACAAAGCAAAGGCGAGGCACACCCCGCGCGCACAATACGTTCACGATTCAGCAATCTCAACTATACTGACAAACTTGTATAGCATAGTTCGCTCCGAAGCAGTGTGCCCATCTTTAAATTTTTATTTGTGAACTAGCTTCCCTATAATCAAGCCAAATCCTTAACTTAACTTTAAAATTACGATATATGAAGACACAAGGATTATTGTTATTAACTTTTAAGGATTACTGTTATTTTTTATTTTAACCAAAACGGCATTAAAATTAAAAATGCCGTATAATAACAGTATTGTTAGTTCGCTAGACAGGAGCAAAAAATGTCAATGTTACGTTTTAAGACTTCCCGTCAATGTCAAGCGCAGACTATTGTCAAAATGAAAGTTGACATGGACAGCTACGGTAGGGATGTATTGTACTGTTTTTATCAGATATAGTTTTCGATAATCGCTCTCGTCAAACTATAAATCGATGATTACATGCAAGATATTACCAAAAATTACACCTGCGTCTTTTTTTTATACTTAGTAAGTTATTGTTATACACTGCTTTGTTTAGCTTTTTTGTGCCAATTTCAGCTCAATTAATTTAGTTCATAAAATATATTGTCCATTTATTGAAGATCACTACGATTGATTTATAGATCCGTTGAATGTTTTGTAAATCAGAAAAAACAAACCTCATTGAATATAATTTTGTTTATTTGTGTAAATACAGAATTACAGTTTAGATTTTAACAAGAAATTAGGTTACTGCCCGTATCCGATACATCAACTTAATTAAATTACACCAAAATAATCTTGTTAGCACCTTTTTTTGTTATTTTATTTTTTCTACAAAACGTATTGCAACTTACAAAATCGCTAATAATATTTTACGTACTAAGACGAGCGTCTTTTGTTAATTCTTAAAAAATAAGATATTGATGTAGGTATGTAATTTGATCACACGTTATTTTAAAACTAAACATCTGACTTAAGTTAAATATGTAGAAATAGACATTTAAGTTCAAAAACACATTACATGTCTTATATAACTCTTTTTTTTCAATTCCTTTTACCTTTTCCTACAAGCTTATAGAATGACAAAATTTGGTCCAGCTTCAACAAACGCATATTATAGAACAACAGTTCGTTAAAAATTAATTGACACCATATGGATACAGTCTTTGGTTAGAACAGAAAAATTCAGATGATACTTAAATTTATATCACAAACAAACATTCTCGATAATATAACTCAGTCAACGCATTTTTTTTTTAATTTTCATATTTAAGCAACAACATATTATGCATTTTTATTACAATAGAAACATGGTAATTTCCAGTGCATTGAATAGATTAACATATCTTAAAAATAAAAGTATCTACCAAAGAAGCGAGGGTATTTAAGACGAGAGAGGGTTCACTTCATGGAAGGTGAAAAATCCCAGCAAAATAACATCTAAGCAGGATCTGCTGTCGACCTATTTTCCAGACTGAAACCGCAACGCGATGACGCTACACGGCTTTTTCGCCTGTGGATGGTGTTTCGTGACTCTGATGGTATATCTTCCAACAAACAAATCATGTTGGACCAAACCCACGACCCGAAGGTTATTTATTGGTCCTACATAGGACCTACGAGTACATCAAAAGAAGTGAAGGTAGCGTAATAAGCAGTGTTAAATCTACTTTCACTAAGTTAAGGAGACGACAAAGAACACAATGCACGAAGTACTGTGCGGTATGCGTACAGTACTGTACTTCATAAATTTGTCGATCTACTTTTACACGTACTTTGTAATACTTTTAGGCATATATCGCTCATTTTATAAATTTCACCTTAAAACTAGGCAATATTAATCCTACGATCCACTTTTACACTTTCAATATTCTCATATTTAAAGAAAACGGTTTAAAACGCGAAATATAAAAAAGTAACGAGCACATGGTATACAATCATAGAACATCGAAAACGGAATACCTACATGTGCATCAGATCCTAAGGGCGAAAGAGATGGCGCTAGCGTAGCAAATTTCATCCCCTGGAGTCGCGTTGAAACAAGTTTATTAATATAGTTCGCGTTTTAAAACGTCAAAGGTGTTTTAACGCGTACTACCGACGTTAACCACTTTTTTTTATATTTTCCAAGCTTTCCTGATCTATAATTAAGTTGACACTAGACATTTTAGAAAGCAATGAAAATGCACAACCTACATACACTGAAGGCACTACCAGAGGCTTGTGGCAAATGTCTGTACACACAAGTTGCAATGACCTCTAATCGACATTACCATCTAAACACTCACACAGAAATGCTTTTTACATTTGTATATGCGACAATCTAAAGACCACCCCTCCTCAAGAATAGCACAGCAGACTTAATAAGACCACCCAGAACGACTCACAAGCACAGATCTGTATCGCCATACAAAACTTGTCCCACTGTTGGGAACGGGTCTGCTTTCGCATCTCGAAAGACCTTGGTGGGTCTAAGCCCCCCACGCTGTTCCCATGCGGGTCGACGGTATAGAGTGCTCTACAGGAGGTGCCATCACCTTCCGAGCTGGTACTAAAATTTTAAAACGAATCTGTAATCAAATGTCACCACTACTCACTTCTAGTGATATACATAAATAAATAATAATTTAACAATGATCCTTTTGTCCATCTAAAGTACTCAGAAAAAAGAAAATAAATAATTTCCAGAACTTTCTATACATAGGCCGTTAGACCAGATGGTGCTACTTCGAGGAGGGGTAATAGTAGAGTACAGCGCAGCCCGGAAGCTGCCAACGTGAAGCGTGCAGTTCGATCAGCTGGAGAAGTGTGCGTCGTATGGAGGGTGCGGCCGCCGTATTGATGAAGGCGTCTCGTACGGCAGTCAGCAGGCGCTCCAGGTCACCGGGGAGCTGCGTTTCCAGGTCACGGCCGATGTATGTCAATACGAAGAAGAGGTTCTCCGTCTGAAAGTTGTGGAACATTATTAAGCGTTATCTTCCGATATCATCGTTTCAAGCCATCAACCTACTGTTTGCTAAAGGTCTCTCTTAAAGGAGTTGTGTTGTGTGCGATTGTGTGTATGGTTGAGAACGAGTCGTGATTTTAATTCTCGCCGAGTTCAATATGTTTCTAATCAATTGAATATCATACTTGTCTGTTCTACGCCATCATACAAAAAAAACAAACTGCCCTAGTTGGTTCACGGCCTTTGTTACTACCACTATGATCATATTTATAAACGGACCCAATTGCTTTACAATGTCCGTGGCACGGAGTGTTTACACCTTTACTTCCAAAATGGTATTTGACCAGAAATTCAGACTACAATGCTTAGTTGTGCTGAATTCCTAATTGTTCAGCAAATAAGTAATCAAGACATAACTAAGTTAGCTCGTATACGTAATGACTTTACAAATCAAAGACAAAACCATCTTCAGAATCTTGGAAACACGAGAAAAGTACAGAGGTGGTTCACTTCTAGCAAAAGAAATTACAAAATTAAATTAAATAACAAATGATTATTAGCGAAATCACTAACATCACTGGGCGACGGCACAGGCTGGCGAATGCAGTCCTCGCAGCACTTGCAGATGAGCGTTAACAGCACCTGCCCCGGCTGGGCGCTGGCTCCACGCCGCTGTATTGCGCGCCGTCGGAGCTGACAGTACATCTCCAGCAGGAAAGATAGGAAGGCCATCAGCCTCGGTCTCCCACCGCCCACCACAGTTCCCAATAACTGAAATATGTTAAAGGGTTTTTGAAAAAGAGTAATCTATAAGGTTCTGTACTACACTAAATTAAATCTATGTTTTAACCAAACCAGGTTTGGTTAAACATTGTTTGGATGTAAAACTTGTTCAGAGATAAAACAAAAGAAAGCAAAAGCAAATCACCTTCTCCCTATCGTGGTACCACTGCTGGCAGGTGTTGAGGAGGGACTCGAGAAAGGTCTCGGTCTGCTCTCGTTCTACCACCGCGATGCAGCGACGGGCGGCTGGCAAGGCGTACCGTGGAGACTCCACGGCGCGGCTCACCAGGTGTCCCACAGCGTCCATTAATGTGCGGGCGCACACCGCATTGGGATCTTTAAAAGTGGGACATTTAGAGTTGAACATAATTGACTACACATTCGCACCAAAAACACGAAACATGCAATCTGTAAATTTCGGTTGGTTCGGAATAAAATAATCATGTTTTCGGACATAGTTGAGTCTTTTGCACAATCAGCGCTTTAAGAGACTTTTTGGAGCCATTTTCCCATTTACGTGACTGTATGTGTAACTAGGAAGTTAATAATAGTATTTTTTTGTATAAGTTTACGCAGGTCTAGTGCGTTTTAAAGAATAATTATGTATTTTAAAATCACTGTGCTACGTGGTGACATAATATACCCGATTCCTCTCGTTTTTAAATATACTTATATTTCCACTGTTGTAGGCGTTCTGAATCCCTTCCTCTCTTTTATATAGACGGGACCAGAGGTATATACTATAGATAACCATAATATATTTTGTGCAAAATGTATATCAACGTTTTACCATACGTGTTACTATTTCACTTTGCAGATATAGAGTATATTAAGAAATAAATTACCTAATTTCTTACCATAATATTTCTTCTTTAAAGAGAGGAAAGTTGAAGAATGATTAGTTGAGGAATTAGAGGAAAAGGCAATATTTGCAGAAAGTTTTATACAACATCTAGAGAATTCTCAAACAAAATGCCGATTCAATTTGCAACTTTTAGTTCGTAGTCAACTACTCGTAGTACGAGCTCAACTAAACTTTGGGTACAACCAAATTAAAATAAGATTAAGTAAAAGCTAATTAACAATGTCTTGAGCTTGGTGTATAATGAATGCCTGAAACCTTCCTACTATATCACATCTACAGAGTGCTTGAAAATCGCAATTGACCAAAAGAACGACCACTTACGAATAGTGCATACCTGCCAACATCCAGTCCTCACCACAGTGACATATATACAAGTGTTCCGACACCGACCTGTGCGGGAACAATAAAAAGTCTACCAACCATCTGTCTCACCTTCCAGTGCCTTGTCGATACACTCTTGTATCTCTGGCGGGAAGGTGCCGAGGTCTCCGGCGTCAGCGGCGAGTCCCAGCGCTGCCATACCGCTGGCCAGGGTGTCAGCAGATGTCAGAGACTTGGAGCGCTTGAGACCAGGGGTGAAGGACTGCGGGCGAATGCTCTTGCCGTTCCCGTTGGTGAGTGAGGAGGGTGGCGATTTCTTCTTCTCTTGGATTACCTGCTGCGGTAGCTTGAAGTGGACGCGAGGTCCAACCTGTAAATTATTGTTGTCTATTTTTTTTATTTCGTTTGTGGTAGATTCGTGGTAGGCCTATTAAACACTTTTCATAAAAGTTTTTTGAACCCGCTTATCTCATCAGTGTTTCGTTAGAACATTTATTGGGGAAGGCTGTAGGCGCATAACATTGCGCTGTGACTAATGAGAGCGAAGAAACAGCAAGAAATGTAGAAGCAAGAGGGAGCATCTCTGTAGGTTTCCTGCGAAAACGGTTAAAGATACCCAAAATATGTATAGAGTTGAAGAGATTTGCAAAAACAAATTTTGATGGCCAAAATAACTATTCTTTTATGTATTTTAAAGCATTTTTGTTTATGAAGCAGTAGGTATTTTTTAAGTTATGCTTGCTTCCCGCACAGTGATATAAAATAATTACCGTAGCATGAGGGACGTTTCCACTGGATGCGCTACCAAGTAACGCATGCGGTGGCATGACGGGGCGGTAGTGGGGCGGCACCTGCGCGTGTAGCACAGCAGACCTGGAGTGCTGGAGGCCCACGCTCGTGAACCCCATGCCCACTGTCGACCTGGAACGTGCAATTAACAAATAAGTCAAAATTAAAAAGGCAGACATTCTTGACATACTGTCTTTACTAACAAAACTGATATTAAATACTGTCATATGTCACATATATTTTAACGATTCCTCGCAACAATAAAAACCTGTTCAATAAATAGTAATCTCTTACGCTCTTATCGAAACGTGACGCTTCTTGAAAAAGTAGCAAAGAAATGGACGGAGATAATTACAGGATTATTATTATTAAATGAATATTTTAAATACTGTCTGTTGTTTATGCAAGTAATACACATTTAAATAAAACAATAACGCTTTAAAAAGCTTTATATTTAAATAAAATACGCTATTTATATTAGTTAAACTTTTTTGAAAATTATTTTAACTACGACCAAACGTTTCGGATTATTTGCAGCATCCGTGGTCACGGGGAGTTTGCTGCGTTTAAAACCGCTAAAGTGTTTTATTTAAAAACGGACATTTTAATTAATTAATGGTAAATAATAATTTTTAAATAAAAAATATATTTGCAACTCAAAATAGTCTTAATAATAGTCTCGAACGTCACGACTATTATGATCAACGATTATCAAATGAGTACGACAATGTGGTGCCAAAGTAAGGATCTAATTATAATTCATTCGTATGCATTCCTGTTATATGTATATGGCAAACAATGGTTGCTAGGGCATGGCTAGTGTTAAAATAATAAATATTCTTAGTATTAATAGAATTCTACCAATGTTGTATAGAAATAGCTAACATTATTATTAGAACAGCTGTCGCTAGAGAGAGTTGTTTACACAGACACAAACAGAATTAAACAGCAACGAGTGACTAATAAATTGTGTAAGGCTTTCACGGCCATCGTTCAGCATGATTATCACCGTTTTTCGGGCTGTTCCGCCGACGTGAGTGAGAAGAGGTTCTCGACGTTTCGATCATGAGCGGACGGCATCATCGGGAGATGTTAGCTGCTCGAAGAATTATAAAACTACATATATAACGAGTGACGTGAGTTTAAATTATTTCAAAATCGAAAATGAGGTAACGTTAAAGTGATCAATAAATACGCCTGTCACAGTCCACTCAGCCCCATTTGGGCATAGAATCCTGCGCAACGCGTGCTCCTTATTCAAACCACTGACGAAATAAGCTGGTGTCAAAAAATACAATCGATACGCACACACAGCGTTTAAACAAGCATTATCTGAAGTTTATGTTAGTAAAATTATATTTAATTTATATTAACAACGCTTAGGATGCTTTGCAGCCATGGTCACGGGGGGACGTGGTTAAAATAAATTAAAAACTACTTGAGTAATAATATATGTTATGTTTGAAAGAGTATTCAAGTAAGAGTTCACTAAAATATAAAATAACAATTACTTCATATAAGTACTGTTTATTTGGAAATATAAAGACCTATACTAGGAATTGAAATAAATTGATGACAGCAAGACACGTGAGGTAAGCGACACCTCTTTTGGCGCACACGACAAAACGCAAGAGGCCGCGGCCTGCAATTGGACCGGGAATGTCGCGGAATTGCATTAACTAATACGTCCTGTCGTCTGACGATATAGGCGCGTGTATTTCGTGGCCATACAACATTGCACGTTCTATATTATCGCGTAAAATCATCCTGAAAACATTTTATAGAATATTTTTCGTCTAATTAACAATATTATTAAAACGACAGCCTTAGTTGTTTCAATCGCACTGGGGAAATAATCATTTCGTTCAAGCAAGGCACAACACTTAAATAATTTTCTGTAATTATTTACAGCTACGAAGAACTTTCTAGAAAGAACTAGAAATCGAGTTTTGCATATTAACTTGATAAACAAAAACAAAGCACACAATATATCTCAATTATCAATGTTTTAGTCAACAGTTGCGGATGCTTTACAGTAGTAGTCGTCGCGTAAGAAAGATCTAGTTGGCTAGGCTGTCTCTAATGTCAATGTCAAATCTGCTAGGTGGCGCTAACCTATTGTCGGTACTTCGAGATATCTCCTTCAAAATGTATACTTAATCTCCTAACCAACACCATCTATATTTTGCCCAACTACTAAGTCTGATTCTACAGATAAATGATATATACAGGACATTACAGTACGTACGTATAGAATGTTTCGACCAAACGCTAACACGCTAAAAATCGCAACAATTGCAACTGCGCTCAAGGCCAAACTTGAAACTAACGCTTTTGCCAATAAACACGTAATGCATCGGCAGGAAATAGGCACATTTGATTTACCAAATCCGACTAAATAGTTGCGCTTGTGATACACGCCTTAATAGGCAAAATATTTTGATGTAATCTCGAAAGCATATACAAAAGTCGATACCCAGAAAACGTAGATATTCAAAAAAATATGTTATGTTGTTTATCTAATGATATTTCTCATTTCTGGCCTTATTCTATGAGTCACTAGTATATTTAAAAAGTATTATTGAAGAAAATTAAAAAAAATAGAAATCAACTCTAACTCACATTACAATTACTTTCATATTTCATACACTGTGACGAAATTTTAATATAATATGTATTCAATTAATGACGAACGAGAACCCAGGATTCGAACCCGCGATCTCGTGATCTACAATTGAACGGCGATAAAAACATTACTAAAATATAGTTAATCTGACAACACCTTTATCATAGTGAACCATCACTCTTTATTGCATCAATTGTGTGATTCACTGCATACACTAGGAACCGCGTAGCTGGGTTTCAAGCATTTATGATAACTATTTATAATCTGTGCCTATTCCAAACGAGAAAGATCGCGTGATTTATTATACACGATAAATAGTTTTGAATTATCATTATCATGTAAAAAACACAGTTTACGACTGTAATTGTTTTGTAAGTTGGTAATTACGAGCCACGCACATGGACAGAAAAAAATATAGTTCCATTTGCGAGTCATAGATGGACGCATCGCCTAGCATTTGTAAACAGAACTTACGGGTAAGACAAAAAAATTAAATAAAAAAAAATGTACCAACGGGATTCGAACTGGGTTTGAATCCCAGAGAACAATAGATTGTTTCGGTAGGGCACAGAAGTCTGATCAACTACTTGCCTGCACGAGGTGAAACGCAGCAGTTCGATTCTTCAAAGCCTTATTTATAATATTGTAAGTAGATAATTTTCTTGCGTTGTATGTTTTGTTTTTCAAGAGATTAGCATATTAAGGTATTTTCTTGAATGATGCAGACATTTCTGCCCACATATTGCACATGATTCACCCGTCGACGAACTCTCGTACAATGAAGCTGTTGGGAAAATTGCTCTTTCGAAATTGAGGAAACGATTTACGTTATTACACACAACGGACGAATATACATTCTCTATAATGTTTAATTAATGATTGATTGATAGGTGGCTTTGTGCTAATAATAACACGCTTAGAAGTTATGTAGGTACCTAAATACGTAACAGAGAGATTTCCTAAATTTTCGAATATTTTTTGTGAGAACTGTATATATATTACCACAGAGTTTATTTAGATGTTTCACACACGCATTGAATACAAGGAGTTATCTATTTTAGTAATTTCAAATGACGACGACAGTAAATCGCCATTTTCTATTTCTATTTAACAATAGTCCTTTTCTACCCCTATGTGTAATGTTATCAGCTTCAGCGTATATAAATTCCAAAATGTCAAAATATGCATCCTCGTCACATCACCTACAGCATTTTGGCGTATCCCAAAAAAACACCAACAAGTTAACTCCAATAACGTGTTTGAAATAAAAATTAATTGTGCGCCTGAGTCACTTTGTAAACAGAGACCGAACCTATTCATCTAGAGTGGCCTTGGTTTAACGACATGGTGACAATACAACGATCATTATCCGTGTATTTCAAACAAACCGTGACGTAACAGGTCATTGAATAGGTTTTGTCTGCGCTGGATCTAGATTCTAGATACAGTAACTGCGCTGAAGGCAAAATTGTAATATTTTCCCCACGAAATTTGTACGAGAAGACTGAAGCGTGTATAGGATTTGCAAATATGTGGAGCATATTGGGTAACAAACTATATTATACTTTTACATCAGGTGTTATCATATGTGTGTGTGTGTGTGCATGTGAAAATAAAAAGTTATTCAATACGAAGCCGTTGTAATTTTAGTAACACAAGACAAACATTTTCAGAATGTAATGGCCTAAGTACGCCATGCTACCTGTATGCATAACATATGCATAAATAATTCTAAATAAAAAACCATTCGAAATAGTACTTTCAGGAATATGAGCTATTTAAATAAAACACTTAACGTTTTAAAACGTGAAATATATGAAACGTAATTTACAAATTAATTTTACTGGCGCTTGCGTAGCAGATTGACTTTAACAATACGGACACCCTCCATCATCAGTCCCCTCGTGACCATGGCTGCTGCATAGCATCCGAAACGTCGGGACATAGTTAAAATCATTTGCAAATAAGTTTACCTAATATTTCGCGTGTGTTTTATTGAAATGTCTACTTCTCGCGTAAGCTACAGACAGTTTATTGTAAAATATGTCTATAATAACGATATGTGATAGTAATGGATCTCCATCCATTAAATTAATCACTAAGACTAAGATTCTCTCAGCGATAAAACACTAAAAATGTATGAAACCAACTATAAAAACTATAAAAACAGTGTACAAGAATAGCGCACAAAAACTGTTGCAAACGATATCCAGCAAAAACAAAGATCACTAATCGCTAATGAATGCACCTTAGTTTCTAATAACTCACATATCCGAAGTAGAGTAACGTCCACGAACCATTTTAACGTAAATCAAACATTCACTTGCACACGAGAAAACAATGATAACACCTCTATTTGCGCTGAAAGAGAATCCCTGAACAAACACCTCGATAAGCGTTATAAAGAGATTTATTGGGGTCTTCACGTTTTGTTAATGATCGCGGGTCGTTCGTAATACGTTCGTTGTTTGTCTGCGTTCGTTGTGCCGCGTGCGCGCACGCAGTCCGGCTATTAGCGAGGCGCGGGCGTGCTCACGTCATCGCAGCCGCGAGCAAAGTGATAACAACTCGACAATTGATACAGTGTGTACAAGATGCGCGAAATAACCCGAAACAGTATCCCTAGTATTAGTTAGACCTTAAGTCTTATCCTACTTCAAATATTTCATTGCGAATGTACTAGCGCCTCTTTGATGACATTAACATCAATGCAATATAACAAATCTAAACTAATGTTATAAAGCTGAAGTGATAGTTTTAACGCACTAATCTCATGACGTACTCGGCTCGAATTGAAAAAATATCTTTGTGTTTGATAAGCTGGGACTAAAGGAGCGAGGAAACTGTGGGACATGCCGAAAAAGGGGGAAAAATTATGCATGGGCTTTTGTTGCGTACGCTGCGAGATACCAAAAAAAATGTATGAAGGAATGATTACTCTTTCTATTCTATTCTTATCTATCTTTTAAGATTAACTTGCAAGAACGACAAGAAAATAACTATTCTACGCGGAGTCGGTGGCATAGCTAGTAATAAAATAAACCTCTTAGAGCGGAATTCTTCCCTTTTTATAGCGCAAAACCCATAAATTTTCTTAATGATTCATGAATTAAAATGCATATAAACTTTAAAGGAGATAAAGTACACATTTTTATTGATTTTTTTTTTAATTTGAATAAAAATATAAAAACTGTCTTTATTTAATAAAAATGAATGTCATGTAAAAAATTTAGGAAGCGACTTTGATTGAAATTTGTGATGTTGATTTTGTAGCAAACTCCCAATTTTATCCAACCAGAGCTCTTCGGCTCTATATCGATTATTTTACACGGACATTTACAACTCGAACACGCTGCGCTCGCGCATGGAATCGCCGGAAACACAGCTATGCGCAGATTCCCTGTTTGGCCACGCGCCAACGTCGAAATCTCACTACCGCTTTTGACGAGTCTTGCGGCAAGGTCGCAATGAGAGTAGTGTAAACATTCTCATGTACATAAACAGAGTGAAACGTTGAAATGAAAATTTTGAGAGTAATCACTTCATTTGAACATTAAAACCTCTACTGCTCACGAATCAACAAGACTAGAGACATATACGACGAATATCTACCCTTTTTTCAACCGTTACTGTACCTCAATGTTTAAACAAGATTGACCCATTGCGTTAAGCACTAAAAGTTCGAATCCCAGGAACACAAGTTTCGATCGAACAGAGGAGAGGCACTTAATAAACATCATTAAAAGATAATGTTCACAAAGGGATTGTAAACTTTTTTGTTCCCATATAGAATGTGCACATACTTATTAATATTGGCCGCAGAAAACATTTACTGAACAACGTACGCATTGTAAAGATAAATTACATCGTGCAGTAACGCTAACGACGCAAGTGGTAAATATAGAATTTCATTCACATTCACTAGCCAGAACCTTCAGATTATAGGTATTCGATATCTTTCAATGCTTCAATTAACAATTTTGTATTATTGTTTATTCAATAATTACTTTACCGATGATGTAAAAACAACATACCAAATACATTTGAAAGGGGCAGGGGGAACATATCTAAATTTCAGAATATCCAAAGTCACAATAGATCGACAGCGCATTTTGATTTTTGGGATATTTCACCTACCATTACGTGAGCCCTATGCGTGTCTGGCCTTTTCTATCATAAAAAATAACTTGGGTAATTTTACTTAATGTTTACAGAATATTACATACTCTGCATAAGAGAGAGGGGGGGACTACTACCCCCATATACCTACAAACAATTGCCCTTGTAAGGTTTATAACAATGCAATAATTAAAGTATATGACTCGCATATCACATAAAATTCCCTAAAATATAATTTTCTCATAATACCATAAAAACACTCACCTATTATGTGGGTCACCCGGTTTCGCCATAGTAAATTCCTTAGCGTGGACGTTCAGCTTGTTCGAGGCAGAGGTCGGCGTGGAAGCAGTCCCAGCCGTGGCCCCACTGCTCACCGCCACGCCGTCTGTGCGGACGCCTGGTGGGTCAACGCGGTGGTCAAGAGAAGAGGCGATAGGATAGATTAGTCACGTGTGCTGATGTGAAATTGTGATTATGAGAGTTAGTCGAAGAGAAAATTGGCAAAGATACAAGAAAGAAATGAAACGTACAAAGTGTGTTATATTGTCTAAAATGTATAGTATGGAGAAAGTCCTACATGTAAGTCTACAACTGAAAAGACCTACTAAAAAGAATTCATAAATAAAATCGTGTATTTTGTAATTCTATTCTACCAAAATCCCAGTGGGAATCGACTTAAACTGATGATCTTTAGCGTTCACTGTAGATCACCAGTTTTTCTTTTTCTACTAAATAATATGTATAATATTGTATACTATAGGTTATTTTTTAACATATGGTCCTATTTCGGTTTTTGCACTTTCCACCAGTAATAAAGTACAGAATTTTACGAGCATTTAAAACATATGTTTTAGAAGAAAGACGATGCATCCCAGGAAAAAAACAATTTTATTTTAAGACAAAATTTTGAGGTAGAGTTTATTTAAACACAATGGAGATATTTGAAGCGTTTCGCACAGTACTCCCGACTAATTAATAAATGACACTCGGTTTTGCTTAATTACAAGCGCATTGTTATACGCTTCTGAACTTTCACAAACTTATTCCATCAGAATCCTTCATTTGTGTATTGTAAAAGACTAGATTTAGCCTGAACATAATTTAATACATGTAAAATGTTTATTTTTTTAAAATGCTAAGTATGTATTATATTTATTGTTTTTTCTTAACAATGAAACGATGTATAAGATGCTTTATCGTAGTCATGGGAGGGAGAATAACACATGGTGGTGTCTTTAATATAATTTCTACTACAATCCATAGAATGTCGTGGCTTACATTTATAAAGAGGAAGAGAAGGTTTGCAAAAATAAATTTGGATGCCCCTAAAAACTATTACTAAAACGTGGACCGAGTCGCTGATACGGCCAGTGTCAAAATAAAACGTGTGATATTATAGGAAATCTATACACCCCTGCTATGTAGTTCTAATGATATTCTCCTTACACCCCAAAACGCTAAAATATTGCGTTCTATTCGCAAATTTAGTCTCAGCCATTCTTATCGTATATATCGACAGTATAATATCAGAAAGCTTCCCTATTTTAATCAACTTTGGTAATTCTTAAGTTATTTATACAAATGAAAATGATAATCTATTTTTCATACAAATGAAAAATAGATTATCTAGGTGTAACTGAGGCGTGCGTGTTGCAAGCCGTCTCGGTCAAATGCACAAACTTTCATCAGAGGTTTACAGCTATTATAACGATTGCGCCGAAATTAGAGATATAAATTGGTGAAGGCGGAGGTCTTGTCTGTCTGTCCGAGTCTAGTTTCTATTAGGCTCTATATTTGACCAGTTAGTTTTTCATAAATCGTGTACATGGATACGCGAGTAAGTCAATTTATAAGTACAACACTTTGTTTGTTTATAAAATATTTTACTTGGTATAAAGGCAAGACCGATAAGACCGGTTAAGCACGCGTCTTTTCGTTTTATAAAACAAAAAAAACCTTTTCTTAATATATTAATTATATGTTATATATAACATAGGTATATATTATGTACCTCGAAGCTATAGCTACTAAAGACTTGTAGCACAAGATTTATGTGTAATGTAAACAGACCTGTTGTTTCAACAACTGGCTCCATCAATGGCGGCACGGTCGCCGGAGGGGGAGAAACAGATGCGATTGTGACAGGGGAAACCTGGACTACCGGGGTCCCTGCCACTGGTACCGCCTGCTTCACTATAACTCGCGACATATTTCACAAACTTCCCTTTTCTCATCGAGAATTCTAAAATGCGCGTCACAAATGTCGCCCACCGCAACAAACATGAGACTGTCGTCCCGTTCCAAATATGAGGTTTTGTTTATTTTTAATTTTGGCGCCAATTTGCTGGTGACGCTATTCAGCCAGCGTTTCTATCTAACTATCGCGAATCGATTCTAATGGATTGTAGTTTAATTTGTCTTTTTTTGATTAAATGTTTTATTAAAGTACTATAAAGGAAAAAATAAATAAATAAATTTTAACTTTTTTAATATTAATTATTTTTTTTTATTTTAACCTTTATGTTAATTTTAATATAGATCGAAGAAGTATTCTTTTTAAATAGAATTTATGCTTTTTTTTAATTATTTTGGTTTTTATTTTTCAAATTGTGATGAACAAATTAATTACTATTGCCTAGATTAAAAATAGTGATAAATATATACAGAGTGTGCAAAAAACTTCAAACTCCATCAATAAATTAGAAGAAGATGTTTTTGCAAAAGTCAACGTCAAAAATATGACAATTTACCTGGTGGTCTATAGATTTCCAGAGTCGGCTTTCCCTTTGCATTTGTTAGGATCATGCTCCTCCGTTTCCCATTGTTAGGAAACTGTAAAAAAAGCTTTGATTAAAACCTATGTACCTATTATTTTAAATCTTGAGCATATCGTATTGTTAGTCCGTGGTTTAAAGAGCTATTTAATGATTGCAGTATTCATAAGAGACAAGTACAAAAAACATTCGCATTCTGTATTTGATGTATCATAATTTATTTTCTCACCATACACATCTCACGAGATGGCATAACAAGCATCATCAGCTAATTTAGAACCACTATGATTAGTTCCAACAATAATATTTGTATGGCCTTAGCATAGAATTTGAGTAAAGCGATTTATTAAAAAAAATCGCTTTACATGCCATTTATTATTTTGATTACGGCAGGCAAAATATTTAATAAGTAAGAGAGTACGCAGGAGGAACAACGGACTTGTAACCACCAAACGCTCACCGAATTTATTTTATTTTATTTTAATAAGGGCCACACCGAGTGGTTTAACCACATAAACTTTACACAACCCCCCCTTACTTACAACCCCTTACGACATTTAATTTAGATTGCTAATGAATAAGATTAATGAAATAGGAAATTTGGCATTGATCCTATATAAGTTTTGTGTTACATAGCAAAGGTCACCCAGTGGTAAGACGTGGGCAATGCGCTTTTAATATCAAATCGCCCACATCTAGTTCACAATGTCGTTACGTTTACAATCTCTAAGCCTAGATTGTTATTCACTTTCACTTTTGATAGACACCTTTCAATGCTTAACTAAACTTCTAGGTTTTTTCAGGAAAATTCCATGAGGAACGAAATATCGTTATTTATTTATTTACACTTTATTGCACAAACAAAAATATAAACGAGACTTATATACTAAAAATATGGAGTGCAATGGGCGGCCTTATCGCTAACGAGCGATCTCTTCCAGGCAACCCAAAAGGACCCGAGAAGTTGTTTCTGGATTTTTTTTTTGCCAACATTTGAATACTTATTTCTCTTTTAGGAAATTTATTTAATATTTAGTGCAAAAATGATCACGTGCTCTTCGTCATCTCTTCTCAATTTAATGAAAAGCCAGTGACCACAATAATTTCTTACATAGAGCATAAAAGACGAACGAACAAAACAGCACATGTTTGGTTATGAATCCTAGTGTGGATTATTATTACATATTTAAATCTTCCCTTCTTTTGCTGTTTTACACGTACAAATGTTGTGTACAGAGTGGCAATAATTAAAAGTTATGGCAAGTTAGAATAAAGATTCAGTAGCTAACATTTGAGATTAGATAAAGTTGGACACAATTTCATTGTAGAGCCATATCTATTTGTATTTTAATGTCATACGATCGTTATAATTCTCTTCACGATTTATAATGATTGAGCAAGGTATATGTACTATACTGCTGCAATATATATGGTCCAGTTAGCGGTAAGAAATATTGAGTTCGAATCTAGGGAAATCTATACTAATAATAATGATAAAGTTGAAGAGTTTGTTTGTTTGAACGAATATTAGTATCTCAGAAAGTACTGGTTCAAATTAAACAATCTTTATGTTAGTAAGACCATTTGTCGAGGAACGCTATAAAACATCAGGTTGCGACTAATTGGAGCGACGAAATATTATTCACTTTTGTAGCTCTCGACGCGTACGCTGCGAAAATGGTTCATGATATCCAAAAAAATTGTCCAAAAATTTGTCCATCCAAATAATTATATTTGAATGATCTAAAATATTGTTCGCGATAGTATACGAGTATCTTGCAAGAACAACGGAACACGACCGACGTCGTGGGTAACAGTTTAAAAAGATGAGGTGATTTTGGTGAAAAAAAACTATTATATTATATGCGGACGACGACGCTGGGACAGCTAGTAGGTAAATGTAACCAGGAGTGAAGATACAGAAATAGTCTGAACGAAAGAAGTATACGCTACCTGGTTATGATGCATATTATGATGGGACTGTGGCCGTATGAAGCTCCGTTCCCTCATGATAACGCCAGGAGAGGCGAAATCCTGCACCCTGTAACTCCTCTGCAACTCACTGACCCCCATTTGGGTCTGCATTTTGCTTCGCTCTTAAAAAGTACGGACGAATCGGACGGTACACTCTTTGGTAGATAAACCTCTACGAATTTATTAATGCGGCATTCCTTTTTTAGATTTAAACATACATTTACAATAAATACACTAGATGAATGACTAGTATTATAGTTACGCAATCAAAAATATTTACAACAGTTTAACAACGATCTACTAGAAATGCACGTATCTATACGTGACGTCACGTTAGAGATCCGTCTCCTTATAAATAGACCCCTCCTGTGGCCACGAAGGGGGGGTTCGAGATTCGTTTGGACGATTCAGAGCGGTGCAGGATATCTTGGTGTCTGACAGTAGCAGAGCGATTTTCGAGGGGCTAGAACTAGTCTGTAGCTCTTGTCTCGATTCGTTTCGTTGCGGGGGTGCTTTGTACCCCTGATCTGAAAGAAGGATGAATTGTTAGAAGTAACTAAGTGGAAGAGTAGAGCAGTGATACAAGATACATCTGCCAATTATTAGTTATTAACTTGTATATAATATAGGGTATTCGTATTCATCACCATCGTACTCGTTTGATCAAAACCATATATACGAGTCGAGTTGAGGCTGCTAGAAGCAGAGTGGCCTAATAACAAAAACATTTAAATAAATCACTTTAACGGTTTTAAACGCGATATATTTAAGTTAAAATATTTTGAGAATTATTTTTAACTACGGCCCGACGTTTTGGATGCTTTGCAGCAGCCGTGGTCATGAGCAGACACATGAACAAAATACATGATTTTCAATAAGGAGGAAAATAAAAATCCGCAATCAAGTTAGGCGAAAATTAATTTGTACCATTATTTGTGTAAGAATATTGTGAATCTCTTTTTTGTCGGTTAAAAAGAGATGGTTTGAATGTCTAGAATGAATACGCTAAAATAGGCCGATAGCGCATCTAGTTGAGACATTATATGGTTGGAGTCACTTTCCATCAAGTGTACCACATGTCTGTCTTCCTCTGTCATAAATAATAGACCACAGAGTCTTACAAATTAATTATCTGTCTAGCATTGCCATTAAATATACTACCTACTATATGCCTACTTAAATCGATCTTACGAACACTTTACCTTTGACGTAAATAGTTTTAAAGCTGCCGTAACAGCAACGTAGAGTCGATAACCTAAAGTAAAGTACAGTTATTTGTTGGTAGACGATGACTCATTGTTGAAGTCGGTTAATTATAATCTGTGGACGGGTCTATCGATAGCGTTATAGAGTGCATTCAATATTTCAAGGACGTAGGGTATAATCTGTGTAAGCCTAATATGCATAGAACGTTTACAACTATAATCTGATTATTTCACTCAGAAACTTTAAGAGGGGGATGTCCGACGGACATCTAAAAGGCGATCTACAAACGAGTCAGTAATAACTATATAATAACTAACAAACAATAGACTGTACAATAAAAAAATGAACAATTAAATAAAGCTACTTGAGTTTTAGCTTTCGGCCGTCGAAATTTAGAAATAGTTCTGGACTCTCGTATGGCAAAACGTCCGGAACAATTTCTTATTTACGACGCCCGAGGAACTGAAAAACCAAAATGCAAATGCATTTTCTTTAAGAACTATTTAATTGTATATACATATTTTATTTCCTGTGTAATTCCGCTTCCTTCGTTTTCCCCTTCAGAACAATCCTTTAAAACTACAGCTGTAGGCAAGTGAAACTTACCGCTCTCTCGTTGTGCGCGTCTGTTGCTCACTGCACTCGAGACTCGTTCACTTTACTCGTATTTGTTCACTGAAAAAAAAAGTCAAACTATCATTATTCCGTCAAAGAAATACTCTAGATTCTATCTATATCTATTCTATTTTTTACAATAGTGCTTTCATGAACGGCTTTATATATGATAGAGTAGATCTGATAAGCGACGGGTTCACCTGAGGGGTGATGAAATACCCCAGTCATATAACAACAATATAAGATGTGTCGTCGACCTATTGTGACTTTGGATATTCGGATATTTGAACAGTGATCATGGTCACTTTCAAATGTATAAAGTTATTAATTGATGTACCTATAATCTAGCTAAAATCTGAACGTTGACGACTTCTATAGCTAAAGGGTTAAATATGTTGCGTGACATTTCGTTAAGCGCGAGATTTCCGAACCCTGGGTTCGGATCTGTCTGTCAACGAAGCCTGATCAACTACTTGCTGTAAAAAGAACCAATCAATGAAACGGAATTGTGTTTGCTCCATGTCACAAACGGAATAGCACTAATTTGTTTTTGAAATTTATTACATATAATGTCCTTGTAATTTGCATAATTTTCGCTATTCGGTAGTTAGGTAAAAAAATTATCTGTTGTTCAACTTCATTACCCTAAATGCAATCTTATCTAATCTTGTGAACGAAAACCTGAAATCGCTTATTAGCCTATATTTGGACATTATAATCTAGTCCTTTCCTTGGTATTAGAAGCCGAGTGACAAAACTTCTAGGTCACAAATTAATTCATTTTGTAAACTTATTAATGGGATTAGACAAGATTATTTTTCTCTATCTTATTACATTTATAAACATATTTTTGTAACTGTAATGTTTATATGTTGAAGAATATTTTAGAAACAGTAATGCCTTGTTTGTCACCTTAGTTTGGCTTAGAAATTTATCCCCTCAATTCATCTGATTCTATTTTTAAATATATTCATATGATTGTATTTTTTTATCCATCTTCCTAATTAGCCCTTAAATTTTGTTTATATATCTGTATCTAATTGGAAGAAAATTACCTTGTTACATCAAATAATTCCTAAGAATTTATTATTTTTTATGACAAATAGAGAATTTACATATACCTATATATTTGGATAACCACAGACTGAGACCGCGCGAAAAGAGTTTTCTAAAGCATATTTAACTTTGAATAAAATTCAACTTCTTAAAGCGAACAATCAATAGACCGTGAAGTAATATTTACGAATTCAACGCAGAAAATAGTGTGGGCGTCGGCGCATGACATCAGACTGTTTACTGACAATTAATACAAACAATAATCACCTTTAAGACACGTAATAATAAAGCTATAATTGTATGGACAAAGATTAATATGCACAAGTAAGATGTTTTGTTGGATAATATACTTTATTGTTTAGTGATAAAGTTTATATTTATTTGATTACCATGGAAAGCATAGTTCTAGGTCAGTAGGTTTTGTTTTGTCTGACATCAGATGAAAATTCATTTGTAATTGAAGATTTTATATCACTAAAATCGCCATGTTATCACATATGTCAGACCACAATTATCTTTTATAATGAGAGTTAAACAGAGTCTATTTCGTCAAAGACACACTTAAAAAAGAGACAAAACTACAATTGTAGATTAGGAATAAAAGCATGACCAACTCGAGTTTCACAAAACGATGGCTCATCATTTAAATAAAAATCTTTAACGGTTTAAAACGTAGAATATATTAGTTTACTTATTATCATTTAGAAAACAACTGTCGAGTGCTCCGAACTAAAAAACGTAACATTATTGACGGTTTAAAACGCTAAATACATTACTTAACTTATTAATAGTTTTGTTTTTACTATGGCCTGACGTTTCGGATGGTTTGCAGCAGCTGCTGCTACTGACGTAATCTACAGACAATACTTAAGTAAAACTTTATAAAAACATTATGGAAGTACAAATATAAATTGTCCGAGCGATTTTAACTTCTTTTGCATAATTTACAGGTCTTAACTAGGGGAGTTGAATGTTCATCTGCAGTAAGGAATAAATTAAATTAAGGTGTTAACAGAAATTTATACCCAAGAATATCCCCAATACTAAAGAGTTTTTTAATCAACGATCTATCAGTTTGGCTAATTGGTTTTATTTACTGAGGCGTGGCAGCAGTAGTGTAGACTACTGTCTGTACCTAAACCTCTGGTGTGCCAAACTACAGTTAGGCATAAACAGCATACGTATCAATTAAATTAATTAAATCATAACAATTTCTATACAAACATCTATAATACGATTAAACGTTAATTTTAGAAAGCCGATAATCGCTGCCGTAAATTTGTGATACCTAATTAAGTTGTTCCAATAATGACTCACGTAATTTTTAATGCATTCTTTATTAATTGTGTTACGGTTAAATTATGTCTGAAGTATAAGCGAGTATTACACATTCAGATAAAACACTGTAACTTGAACCGTTGGGACATAGTTAAAATAATTTCCAAATAATTTTAACTAATATATGTACATCGCTATTAAACCGTTATAATTTTACCCAAATAGATCACCAACCCCCTTTCTACACAATGGCCAACACGTATTGGTTAATACATTCGCCAAAATGTTGGCTAACGTGTAGAGCCGCCATTAGGATAAGTGTGGTTTGTACACCTTGCCAAACTTAGGTAGCCATAAATATCTTTATTTCCTAAAAATTTTCTGAAATGGTCGAATGTTATCTAATATTGTGTGCAAAATTTGCAATGAATGAGTCAGTAACCTGTTTGCACGACGACTTTTTGTTTAACTAAAAAATGGATGGCAGAATGGCAGTATCCCCACTGGGTAACATGTTTGTAATAAATTTCTTGAAAATGTTGGACTGTGTCTGGAAATCTGGATATTATAAATATTAAAATGACGGCAGAAATATCGAAATTTCCGTCACGTCTGTCCACAGATGAAAAAGCCGTATAGTTTAATCGCGTTTTGGTTTTAGTCTGTGTATTTTCGAGTATCCAAAGCCAAAATAAGTAGAGCTATATGGATGTAGTATTTTACGGTTCTCGTCTATCATGAAAAAATATATTATGCTACTTCTGATCTCGAAATAACAAAAAAAAATACGAAAACTATATGGCATAATGCTTTTAAAACTTGTTCCAACCGGTTAACATCTTAATCAGTGTTGCCATATAATATAGGACTCATTATAATAGATATTTTATTCTTATAGCTATGTCATATAATTTTTTATCTATATAAATATTTTGTATGTTACTATTCTCCCTATATTGGGGATAAATTCTTCTTGCGGTTCATTATCATAGTAATTAATTATATTTTATGTTGCACAGAAGAGAAAGAAAAGTTATAAGAAACTTATTAAGTATTATTTATTTTAGAATGCAAAACGCGTCACGGTCTCACCTTTAATACCACCTACAATACGCCTGCGCATGAGTCTCTATTGGTATTTAATTATTGATAATTACTGTACGAGTAATTTTTATAATTTACATAATATATGTTCTGAACTGATTCATGTAATTACTATTGAGACTTATGGTTAATCGTTTTATATACGTTACAGGTAGAAAATAATTTTAAAAAGAAAAAATAATATCTTAGGTACCTACCTACTTACTTGACAAAAAATTTAAGGTTTTTAAAAATTCCTCTTACTTAAACCTCTTTGGAATGAAACAGATATCAAAGTATTAAATTTTTTGTACATATTTTTTATTCATTTGTGGGTATATACATTTCATATTACGCTATCTTTAAGTCTGGGTTGTCTGGAAGAGATAGCATTTTAGGGATAAGGTTTTGTACTCTGTAGTATCTATATTTTCTTTGTATTTTTCTTATATCTGTAATGAAGAATATAAAACACAATTTTAGGTAAAAATTGGAGTTACTACGAAGTGCCGTTTTTTTTTGCTTGAACAAATCTTGGATCTTGGTTAAACTTTCAGATAACTATAAATCTTGTAAGACAGCGATAATTTATCCGGTTCAGGGTGAATGACCTAACTGAATAGTGGAAACTGTTCTGAACAACCATTCTTCGCCGCGACTCTGACTTACAACTTACTTTGACTTAGTTCAGGACTTAATATTGTTACAGTCTTTTACTATACATATATAATAAGGAATACAATTATACAATCAAGTAATTAAGAAAATTGTTGGCCGAAAAACGCGATAGTAAAAATGAGTAAATTCTCCTTAAATAATATATTTGAAGTAATGTTATAAATGTACTTTAACAAAATTATTAGTTTCTTTAGACAGTGAAACACACTCAATAAAACGTCTGCCTTCTATAATCTAGAAAAATGTATACCTTATCATTCAAGTAGTCAAGCCATCAAATTAGCACTCTTTTAAATAAAACACTAACGGTTTAAAACGCGATATATATTAGCTAAACTTATTTGAAAATCATCTTTAACTACGGCCCGACGTTTCGGATGCTTTGCAGCAGTCGTGGTCACGGGGTCTCATCGTGCAGACGAACCTAGTGCTCGTCTTCTCCCTTTTTTACTAATATATATAAAAATAGGTTTTTAATTGTAAAGTTTAAAAATTCGCACTGGTATTTTTACGATAATAATGATCTCTACATAAACAGCATTTTTATATATAAATATGTACGGTCGCCTTATTTAAAAATACATACGGTCATTTTTGCGGTGTGAAATCCGAGTCCGGAAAGTTAATAGCACTGACTCACAGCAAAAACATAACTAGGTAGTGTATATTACAATAAGTATTATGCGACCATTCAAAGGCAACGGTAATGGGATTAGAATAAAAATTAAAGTGTTTATTTAATATTACAACTATTCTTGGCTGTGACAGTAAGCATAAAGATGTTTTTCTTTACTTGTATTCATAGCTAAGCTCTGGCTTTTTTATATTTTTACCAAAAACTTTAAATCTGTACTTGGTACCGTACCATTTATCAATTTGCTACGACATAGTTCTCTTCTTTTAATAGTTGGTAAGGAAAGGTTGGATGTTGATTATGAACAACAATCTGCTCTGAACAGATTATACATATTATTATCACATTACGTTTTTTTTCACCACAAAGGAGAAATCGCGGGAAAGAACTAGTTTATTTTGTTTTAAAAGCGAAAATAAGATTATCCCATCGCATACCTACTTTTTCATATGTTGGAAGTACTTTCAACAAACATGGTTCTAATGAGACATCACGCGCCTATAATGCTATTTAAAGTGTCAAAAATATCGCAAAAGATAAGCAGGATAACTTCAGGAAATCCGATACTAAATACTGTTTCAATTTTCCCGCCATACTAGATTTTACCCAAGCGATCATCATATACAATTAATTGGATAACACCATTCGTTAGTGAAGTGTGGCGCGTCAAAAGAAGCGGTATTTAGGCCGTACGGCCGTCTGGCGGAAGCAAAAGAAAATCTATTTTGTATAAAGCAATTAGCATGGGCAATCTTGTACTAATGCACTTTCATATTGCGCGGACTTTGTTGGGATTTAATTCGAAAATTGCCTCATGGCTGCGACCGAAATAACGTCAGTAAAAATAGATTAAGATGCAAAATACGGCGTTGTAATCTCAAATAGGTATGTTCGATGTCTTTCAAATCATTTTATAATTTTTCTAATGGATGCTGGATGTTTGGACATCTAAATATCGAAAATTCCGTCCGGGTCACGTACTTAACGACCACACATGAAAAGCCGTGAAGCTTAACCGCGTTTCGGTTTCAGTCTGTGGATTTCCGAACAAGCCAAAATAGGACGACAGCGCATCTTATTGTGATATTATATGACAGGTATTTAACTTAAGTGAGCCTCGTGCTTGCCTGTCCTCCTTGTATGAAAAATGTATACTTACCAGAATCGTGCGCTCGCGCGTTGATAGCGTTGAGCTTCGCGTTTATATTTCACTGAAATTTTTTTAACCGCGTTAACGTCGCTCGCGCAGATTCCGGTCGTATGGCGCCCGCCCGGGCGGATTGCCGACTGATGCGTCGCGCGCGCACCTCCGTGTTGCCAGCTGTCATTTTAATTCTCCCTATCAATCGATGTATTTACAAAAATTAAAAATCGGTTGTCTGTAACCGCTTGCTGACGAAAGATGAACGAGAAAACGTCTTAAGAAAATACGGAATGGTTCCATTTTTCACTGTACTTCGTACTTGAAAACGTGAAAATGTATTAGAGGTAACGCCGCATGTGTTATGTTTTCTCGTGCGCGCAGCCAGCTCCATAAAAGAAGACGTTGTCAATCAAAAAGACAATGTCTTTACTGCCCAAAACATATTATGTACTATTCTGGTGTAGTAAGAATAAAAATGCTTAAATATTACGTTCTTATATCCTAAGTGAAAAAAGTAAGATTTATAAACACACTATGAAGTAATGAAAACAAACCTAATAAATATACATATCTATTGAATTTCAACATAATCTTTTAACTTATTTACGAATTAAAATGCAGGAGAATCACCTCAAAACGAGCAGAAGTTGTAAATCGGTCACACTAGCACCCATTGTCCGATACAAATCGGGGCTCGTGCCTCCATCTATGAACAAAAACGAAGACCGAACGACTACTCAAGTGACTAATGTCTGCTCTACATTGAAATTGCACGCTGGCTGCGCCCGATCGTCAGTCTTCGTAATCGAATTGGCATTTGCTTAACTGTTTAACACCTTTCGTCTGCTTTACCAACAATATTTTGTGTCTAGGCCAAAGATGAACAGTCTCCCAAATAAAAACGATTGTAGTAAACAAATGTAAAAAAACTCGTGGAGAGTTCCGCATCATTTAGGTAAACGACAGTAGGTGCATATATAGCTTAATTTTTTTGTAGTCCTCATAATTGTTAAGGGACTTAAAAAAGGTGGTACTAACTACGAACGCGACTAAGTAATTTGCGAATGTAAGTTGTCAAATACCGCGGGACAAAATATTGTTTTTACTATTTACTGTTAAAAAGAAATTAATAATTTTAGAATTTAAAAGTTTAGCGTAGTGTTGAGGATATTGCAGTTGTACTTGACTACTGCAATATAGGTTACGTCATGGCTCCAACTCTCGCTATATACTAAATTATACTAAAAGTGCTAAACTGTAATAATAATCAGCCAGCAAGTAGACAATAAGCAAAAGAATTCCGATACAACTAATATAAAAAAAGGAATTCACTCGTCACAATTAAAAAGGGTAACTTATTTTAATGATGTTGAGAGTGATATCTCGTTTTCCTCTCTAAGGCATGGGGCGAACACAATTCTGTGGCTGTTTCACTCATCAAAAAATTGTTGTTTCCCTGCAATTGGATCCCAGGATCTCTTGCGCAATGATGGACGTTATTAAGGGCAATAAAATATCCAATATCATTTAAGAAATTTATTACTTTCATTATAGTAGTGCATATTGACAATAATCGTATATTCTTCGATAGCCAAACGTAGAGGATTTTATACTTTTACTTAATCAACCTTTTTTTGTTCCTGTATTAAATTGTGCCTCTGCGTAAAGTAATCAATAAGCCCTAAAATATACCTTATAAAACACATTACAATTAATATTCAATGAAATAATTCTAAATGATTTATGTCAAAATTAAAGGAATGCAACCTAAAATATAATTGAACTACTTATAAGAAACTTAACACTTAAGTGAGGGTACTTTGGTTAATCTACGAAAAATTTCCTGTACTGCGCGTGACGTCATAGAAAATTTAGGACAAATTATTTTTTTACATTATAGATAAACGGTTTACAGGATACTATAATATCCTATTATATTGTTAAAGTTATATTTTTATTTTGAAATTACAATAATTCTCGTGTCAAATTTCAAGTTTTTGAAAACTACCCGCTATTTTTACTTCAGTCCGGTATTTAGGGAAACGTCAAGATTATTGCAATAACATTCTTAAAAGCATAAAGAATTACTTTCTAAACGAACAACTAATCTATAAATTTATGAAATAAATAAATGAACTATGAGAATCGACAAGAAAACTGAAACTATTAAAGTCAATATTTTTATTAATTTTGGAAACTATTGCGTCTAAATTCGAGGCACATTATTTTAATTCAACAAAAGGATAACACGTATATAACTTGTGCAGCGTTAAAAACCTGCAAAATGTACAGACCAAGGACTTTAGCATCTGACTGTACCAGTTAGAAATCAGCATGATGATTAGCATTTTATCTCTTTCTCGTAAGCGTGTGAAAGAGAAGACAAAACTACTTTGTCCTTTGTTTGGATACAATTGAATTATTAAACCAGGAATAGTTTTATTTTGTACAAATTAATCATTACAAATGGAGCAAGGCACATAGTATCTAGATTATCTTCAATTATATTTTATTACAGTGTTAGTGTAGAGCTAATTGTAGGAGGCATGTTTAAAAATTTATTAAAATAATGATTCTTAGAGTTCAGTATTTTGTAGCGTGTTTTACAATAGAATAAAAATATACGAAGTAATTAATAATTCTAGAACCCTTTTTTCTATAGCTTAAGATACAATGCTTACCATCTTTTCCAGAATATAACAATACACACTGTCTACATGCGTATAGAGCGCCATCTCTTTCTAACACAATATACGAAAAAAGAAGTAATTTGTCTATTGTTTTATGTTTAATTTCCACCTAAACAAAACTTACCTAATGAAATAAGTTTTGAAAAACTCCCTACATTAAACGCAAAAATGCAGATCAACTAAAAATAAATAATCTTAATAACCGTACGTAAATTTGCTGTTCCAACATTAAACAAAAAAAATTAAATGAACTATTGCAATTTTCAAACGTATTTAAATTTTAATTAATACATTTGGGTTAACGTTATATTGTTGTAAGCTTTTATACAATATTCTTATTGAAAAAGACTACAATTGAATTGTCTTTAAGTCAGGTTTTCAAAATAGACTATTCAGGCCATGTCGTCCTGTTAGAACTAGTTACGTCAAAATAAATAAACTAAATTCATAACTGAAAAAACTTTGCCTATTTTAACTATAACAAATTTTAATGGTCAAAATATTACTTAACAAAATGTCAATTTGAATCTATTGTATATTAAATTAAAATGTACGAAATAAAGAAAAATAATCGAGCAATTTATAGTCTTAACATCTACAGTTACTTTCCACAACATTAAATTAGTTATCACTTGGTGGGAACGTCACTATTAGACTACAACACTAGCCACTCGAGTGCCAGACTGAGGCATAACTATTGTAGTGTACTAAAAAGATTTTGATCAAGCCCTATTGTTGTCTCTTTCGCACTTATACGAAAAGGACACTTTCATATTTTAGAAAACAAAACAAATACACATTGGACTTACGACTACCCCCGTTTCCCAGCAGTGGGAACTGTCAACATTATTTTAATTTTTTTACCAAAGAGTTCATATAATTTTCTCTTTCAACACGTCACTCTTTTCATACTAGTGTCTTAGAGTTCACATTAATCACTTTGCCACCGTGGGCCCACAGTTGGCCGTACATCATTTGCTGGGAGACGTCAATCCCAACGCAGCTGATAATAGACGGACTACATTTTTCTGTTCTTGTGGTTCGTTTTCTGAAATAAAAAATATATTTATAATACAGTACTTATGTAATTTTCAGTTTAATAAACAAATAGACGAAGTCCCAGGTTAGAATACATGGATGAATAAAACTTCTAGTTTAATTCAGTAGCTACAGTGGATAAATACCACCAGCCCACACTGAAGCAGTGTCGTGGGTCTGCCCCTTCTCAGTGTAGTGAAACATTAATAGGGTAAAGCGAAATACAATTTGCCATACAAAACTAATTATACTATACACATGTAATTGTATATAACAATCATTGATAAAAAGGACTTCATCTAACTAGATAAAGTAAGTAAAGTAGAGTAAAAAATAATATATATATTTTTTTTAATAATTATTTTTTACTCTATTCGACTTGTTAAGATTGTATGTCGTACTACAGAAATGGTCGATTACAAGTAGTAAAATAGAGCTAAAAATAATTGTCCCTACCGTCAACACCAGTGACATGTTTCTCTAAAGTCAACTTCTCTTGGGCGACTTGATAGATTCCTTCCTCGATAGTGCCAGCACTGAGCAGCCTGTATATAGTCACGGGCCTGGTTTGACCCATCCTGTGACATCTGGGAGAAAAAACATATATGTATGTATAATATATAAAAAAATTCAACAAAGGGGTATTAAGTAAGTTAAGCAAAAGTAAAATAAGGATATTTTCTACATGGAGGACATAAAACAAAGACAGTCTATGCTTTTGCGATGAAATTAATATTTTTTCTTAAAACAATTAAATACTTATATTAAAATTAATTTATATTCTTCAATCTCCGTAGCTCAACGAGTTTGAGGCTTAATAAGTTGCTAAGCATTGTGTTAAAAGTGACAGAACCTATTTGCATTCCAGGGATATATGAAATCATTTTGGCCAGGCATTAATAAAATCAATCTTGAAAACTTACACGAAATATTTCTTGCCCCATAGTGGGAAATGGGGACACAATACAACAAATCACAATACACATACAAACAGTATTCAAAATGAAAGTATAGTGGAAACTTATAATTGCCTCTCTATTTTTTTTTATAATCAACTCTATGTTATTAGCTGCAATTATCCCTTATGTATGTAAACAAAGAAAATAATAATAAGGTAGCATATATATGCCACAATTCTCACCTATCTTCAGCCTGTTTGTCATTATAAGGATTAAAGTCAATATCATGTATAATCACTGTGTCTGCTGCAGTCAGGTTGATACCAAGTCCACCTGCCTTGGTCGACAATAGGAACACGAAGATGTCTTCAGTATTGTATTGGTCTATTAATTCTTGCCTGAAACGTTAACGAAGAAAGTGACACTGTTTTCCACTTACATGATATTTTAGGGATAAGGTGTTAAGAGCCAGTCATATGTGTTTCTTCGTCTTAGTGTATAGTGTCGAAGACTAAACCGAAACGTAATAAAGTGTAATTCTTAAAAATAGTATTTTTATCATTTTTTTTGAGTTGGGCCAAGCCTACTTCATTGTGTATAATATTATATAAACTACAAATATAAGCTAAAAATATTAGCACATTTTTCTACTTATTATTTATTTTTACGCAAGTAGTACACATGTAAATATAACCCTTATAACGGTTTAAATTGCGAATTATATGAATGAACTTATTTTTAATCCATTATAACTACAACCCGGAACTTCCAATTCTTTGTAGCTACGTTATCACGGAAGGCATTGAATTAAAAAGTTTCTTTATATAGTTCAAAACGTTTTTTTTTTTAACGTTAAAAGGTTTATTTAAATTAGTAATTTATCAAGAAATAATAATAAATAATAACGGTAACCGAACCTCACCTATCATTGACAGCCGTGCTCCCATCGAGCCTCAAGTAGCGATGCCTTCTTAATTGTAAATAGGGCTCCAAGACGTCCAGCATCATAGTGAACTGGCTGAATATTAGCACCCTGTGTCCCTCAGCTTTTAATTTTGGCAGCATTTCATCTAATTTCTTGAACTTGCCGGAGTCTTCTATGAGGTGGGACGGTATGGAGAAGGATTTTATACACTGGAATCAAAAATAGAGCCTAGAGAACACAGTACAGTTACATTATGTTAAAAGAACATAGATGCAGACGACAATAGTACACTTTTTAAATTTTTAACCAACGGCCCCTTGTACTACGACCCTTACTATATATGTATGTAATATTACTTACAGGATACTGCTTCGTCAGCAGATGTATTTGGAAATCAGACATAAATAGGAGATCCTCGAAGGCATATTGCTCGTTCTTCTCCTTATAACCGGGGTCCCTGGCCAGCCTGGCGGCAATCTGTCTCAACTCCGCCTCCTGGTAGTGGTAGCGCAATAATAGGGGATGGTTGGCCAATTTCCGCATGTCCATCATCATGGACATCCCGCTTTGCTCCGTTGTTGCGTGTACCTGGAAGTATTAAAATGTAAGTTAAGAAATATAAGCTTAATTTAAGCTTGGGTGAATTGACAACAGCATCACTCTATGCGATATGTTATTTGTTGTAAATATTTAAGCAACTATGTAATAATTCTTTCGCAAAGGGTATATTCTGTGAGAGCTTTATTTATTTTATTTATTAACATATTTTAATGTTTATAAAGAAAATAAATAAAGCTTTGTTATAAAAGGTAACTTCTTTTACTTTTCTTGGTCCTCTGTGTCCGAGAAAACAAGTTATTGTTTCACTAAGGATCTTTTGTGCTTAACGCCGCACGAGGCACGGGACGAAGGTAGTCTAACATTCGAAAAGCGAAAGTTATTACTATAGTCATACGTATATGCTTTGCCATTTAATAATGTGGAGATAACTGACATGTTCATAGTATGTGGCATGAATTTAAAAACATTGATAATTATTCCACAATATCTTGGACCTGATAAGAATCAAATCCACTACCCGTTGAGTAGATCAGATCTTCTCTTTTTTGTGGTATTATTTTAGAACCAGTAACACTTACCATTCCATCTTTAGACGAGGAGAACGCAGCTATAAGGTCCTTATACAGCTTCTGTTGTCTATCAGACATGGGGCACAACTCCTTGTGGTTGGTCTTCTTCGGTAGATCCTGCAGCACGTCCTGCTTCAACCGCCGCAGCACGAAGGGTTTCATTATTCGTTTCGCCTGAGTGATCTGGCTCTGTTCGAACGCGGGCACGTCTTCGTCCGTGCTTCCGTTCGTCTTCTTAGTAGTTTTCGCCTTCTGCAATCAAAGTTAAATTATTGCTTGAACTTAACCAGTTTGTACCAACATGCTACGTATTTTTTTTGGATTTGAATATTCGGAAATCCACAGACTTAAAACAAAACGCTATTAAACTTTACGGCTTTTTGATTTGTGGACGGTGGTTCGTAACTTAGAAGGAATAATTCTCGAAAAGTCTCGGAAATAATTATAGACTGATTAGAATTATGATGGACCCGGTGGGGTTCGAACTCGCGATTAAAATGCATTCATGTCTTTAAATGCAAGGCATATTAAAAGGTGTCAAGCCATCGGTCCCACAGGTGAGACGAGCAGTCGGTGTCTCGAAATACTTACAGAGTTCTTCTGGAACAAATTCTTCAAGTCGTCAGTCTTGCCGGAAAACATGTGTGGCATCACGAAGCACAAGAGAGACATTAATTCCACCAAATTGTTCTGGAGCGGAGTGCCGGTCAACAGCAGTCTGTGCTTCGACTGGAATTTAATAGGTATATAATATATTAACAAATTCTACCTTTGTCATGCCAATATGCAGTTGGGCAGAACTAAATTACATTTGGGCTTACCTTAATTTTAAGTAGATTATCATACCGCTGTGTTGCCATATTCTTGAGCATATGCGCCTCGTCGTATATGACGTAGTGCATGGGTGTGATGCGAAACATTTTCCGCTCTTCCGGACAACTGCTAACCATTGTATACCTGAAAACCAATTAATTGCGTTGTAAAAGTATTAATTTTATGACAGACATACTCCTATTACATTATATCTTGTATGCCAACAAAATAATAATGCAATAAAAATATATATTTGACTATTAATCGAGATTAGTAAGAAAAAAACGGTTTAAAACGCAAAATACATTAGTCAACGTATTTTTACTTTATCTTAACTACGGCCCGACGTTTCAGATTTCAGCCGTGATCACGGGGGAACTGAATATGATGTTCCTAATATCAAAGACAAACCTACGCTAGCGCCACCTGTTGCATGCTACTTACAGAACTTCGTGTTTTATATTTTATTTAGAAACACTAGCTAAGACATTATAGAGTTATCTTACTAATGTATGTATTAGCGAGTAATTAAATGTGTGTGAGAAATCCCGTTTACCCTAGTGAGACATGGGGCGTACACATTTGTATCCGTTTCACTGTTTTCATGTCGGTTTCATTTACTGACAAATTGATCAGACGTGTATGCCCTGCCTGATTAAAATTTATTGTTTCCCCGAGATTCGAACCCGGATCTATCGTGCCTAACGCAGTGTTAGGCAACACGTTTATCCATTTAGATACAGAGGCGGTCTAGTTATTAAAAATAGCTGTCTGAAATTGTATCGTCTATCAGTTTTAACTCAGCTACCTGTCACCTTTTAAAAGTATAAATCTGAATTCTTACGTGGTAAGTACTACATCATATTGGTCCAAACTCTTGGCGTATTCGATGCGAAGTAATCGCCTTTCTTCCGGTGGGCCATAGTACTTGCTGACTCTGAACGTAGGTACCCAACGCGCTAGCTCTGTACTCCAATTATCTGATACAAAAAACAATATTGAGTCTTGTACGTAGAAATTGATGAAAATATACTACAACTAATGTACCGACTGTAACTCTAGTTATAATGTAGAATTTAGTTATAAAGTTGGCATTTATATAAATCACTTGTAACGGTTAAAAACGCGAAATATATTGGTCTTTGAAGCAGCGGCAAGTGCTAGCTAGCTGCAAAAGTTGGCAGTGGTCACGGTTAGTTGAAATAAATTAAAAGGCTATTAACGTATTTCGCGTTTTTATTAAATATATGTATTTGTTTTTGTTCTTCTCTCCATACGACCTTTGTATCTCAATGATAGAGGCATAACGATACGTAAAACGAAAGAGGTTTTAGGTTTGAAATTTTTAAAAAATACACTATTTTGTTTAAGCACGGTTTAGATTTGTATAGAAATGAATTTAGAATAAAATACTTACCTAATGTCGAAGCGGGCACAACAATTAAATGTGTGCCCTTAGCTTGTCCCGTTTCTTTCAAATGCGCTAAAAATGCTATAACTTGGACCGTCTTCCCCAAGCCCATCTCATCAGCCAAGATTCCTGACACACCTTGCTTGTGGAGCACCGCTAACCAATTCAAACCAACGAGTTGGTAAGGAGCTAGCTTTAAGCTGAAAGCATTAATAAACAAATATTTCACTTATACTTTCTTTATCCTCATAGGACAAATCATTAGACGAAATTCGTAGAAAGTAGTACAATATCTCCATTAATAGTGTTGTCTCTTTCCCACCATACATACATACAAATGAGAAGGACGCAATATTATTCGACTCAAAACTCACAGTACATGAACTATAAAGGGACAAGTATACATCTCTACACTGAATACTATATCTACTATAGAAGATATTAAAGCTGGCATATAAAAAAAAAATCGATTAAATACTGTCTGTAGTTTACACATTTAAATAAAACACTTTAACGGTTTAAAACGCGATATATATTAGTTAAACTTATTTTTAACTTCGGCCTGACGTTTCGGATGCTTTGCAGGAGCCGTGGTCACGGGGAGATTGTTAAAAATAATCTTCAAATAAGTTTAACTAATATATAATGTGTTTAATTTAAAATAAAACTCGAATTTCAACAAGACGGGCTCATTGTTGTAATGATAGCAGTGTAAGGCTAATAATCAATGGGTCGTGGCTTCGATCCCCAAATATAAAATAAAATAATATCTCTTTAAAATATGTTGGTCTTCATTTGGAAATTTGATATTCAGTTGGTGGACTTTGGTAGTAATGTCGAAACTCTATCTGGGTCACAAACCAATGATGACGTATGAAAATGGAAATGTAGTTGAATCGCTATCAACCATACCTTGAATGTAGTATAGCTGGTTGTTTCAACCTTCCGGCACCCGCCGCCACAGCCGCCTCCAGCTGTTGAGCCAAGCCGACACACTTCTTCATCAACTTCTGTATATTATTCCTGGTGCAGAGCAACTCTTGTGTCGAGTTCAACAGATCGGTACTGAGCATTTTGTTGTTGTTGAATTTTTCAACCTGTAAAAAGAAACTATTTGTTAATGCACCATAACTAAACACAAATGTTATATTAGTCTTGTGTTATTTCAAAAAAGAAGTGTGAAGTCCCGTTTCCCCCTCGTGAGGCATAGGGCAAACATATTTTTGTGTTCGTTTCACTGATCCGTTCTTTAACAACTTTTTGTTTCCATGGGATTCAAACCCAGGACCTCTCGCGCTTAACGCAATGCTAAGCAATGCGTCTGATCATTTGGCTACAGAGACGGCTATTATTTCAACTGGGCAAAAAATAGCCTGTTTCTAAGAGTTTGAATGCACTAATCACAAGAACTGCTGGTTCAAATTACATTCCTTTCATGTTGGTTGGACCTTTAACCAAGGAAGGTGAAGGCTATAAAGTATAAAGCATCAGGCATCTAAAATCGGGAAACTGATAAATTATTAAGTGCTTGAAAAAGGTTCAAGAAACGAAATGATATATGTGAAGGGATGATTTCTCTTTAAATTATTATATTATGTCTATCTTTTAAGATTAATTTTTTGACACATTTTTTTTATATGACGTAAGGACGTTTGCCAGGTAAGCTAGTATTCCAAACTGTTTGGTGGTCAAAAGGGAGCTCTTAGAAGCTCGCATTTACTGAAATCCATGAAACCCACCATATCCAACCACCCTTTAAATGGCCTCTGAGCGATGATAGCTTCAGCCTTCTTCTGCGAACAACCGCTGAGCAGTGACAGTTCATTCAGACTGCTCGTGTTAAGGAATTCAAAGACTCTTTTCTTGTCGCCTATTAGATCGTTGTTGATTTCGTTGTCCGAGTCATCACTGGAAATAGAGAAGACTAGAATAAGATATACACACTGTTATAAACGAAGCATATAGATCTAAGTGTTTTACTCTTGGGTCGCTGGTAATTGAATTAATTGTAAGAGCTTAATTCTTACTTCTTGTAAGTTACTCACTATTGCGGAATATTTATCGTGTGGACAGCTAAACTAACAGCTCGAAAGCTCAAAAAATTTGAGTGTCAATATGCCGTTGTTAATTTCCAAAAAAAAACACATGTTGAAGAAAAAGGTTTAATGCTTCTTTTTTATTTTTCATAAACAGTAATTCAAAAACTTGCTAAATGTAGCCAGTTGTAGTTCTTTGTTGTTCAGACATCTTTTGGCTCTAAACAGATTTGTTAATACTGGAAAAAGCTCAGTACATTATTCTACTTGTTTACAAGTAAAACCCTATATATGTGCCTAGCATGTTTGTTCCGGTCTGGTGGGTTCATAGACAATATAGATAACTCTGTTGCTGAAAGGAAATGAATCTTATAAGAAGACTTTTGCTATGGGCACTATAGTTAAGGCACAGTTGTCTTACCAAATGTTTTAAATCAATTTGATCAGTGAAACAAACACAGAAATGTGTTCACCTCATTTCCCACAGTGGCAATGGGATTTCATTATAAGGAGTTATACTGTAGAATGCACTTCCTTTAAACTTTACCTTTACTTTATGTCACTTACCTATCATAAACCTTATCATCTTTGCCTTTCTTAACTCCGTAGTCATCATCTTCACTGCCGCTACTTCCACGTCTGACACTGCCGACCTTCTGCGGAACTCTCCTCGTAAGTATGGTCTGACCCTGTCTATTTGTCATCCTGATAATTGCCGTTCCATTTCCTCTGGGAACTCCCGAGAAGCCTGGCCGCGAACCAAAGAAAGAGGAGGTGGCTGGTTTATCATCACTCTCAGGGTCATGCTTTAGAAGTTCATCGCGGGATCTCTCTTCGTTCCAACCATGTTTCACTAATGTGTTCTTGACGAACTAAAAAATAATATGATATTGATGAGTAAATTTAGCATAACATTTACAGCTTATAATCACTAATAAGAACATATATGCATAGACATTAACTAGTATGCATATTAGTACTTACTATATACTAGCATGCACATATTTGACATATAAAAGTTTAACTTAGGCATAGGCAAAAATGTTTTTACTGTAAGAAAAATAAGTCTTAATTGTAACTGTAAGCAGAAACCAGAAAGAAAAAAAGGATTGCCTGTCTTCACATATAAATAAAATTAATTCAGCATACTTCTGATAAAATAACGTAATAACCTAAGTGGCCTTCTTTTAAAAGTATAATAATATAAAAGTGATAAACAAGTTTATAAACTCACCAGAGGTGATATTTCGGGAAACATTTCTATCATATTCCTAAATCTCCGCTCCTTAACAGCAGTTGTGAGTTCCATAGTAGGTCTCTTGGCTGGTGATGCTGCCTCATCAGAGTCTGAATCCATCACCCGTATCCTTTTGTATACAATTGGCCCATTTGTGGATGTTGTGGCAGGTGCTGGCATTCTAATTTGTGATTCTACAAAAAAAATATTATATTTATACCAAGTACTGGTCATAAGTTGATATTTGCTTTATAAAATACAAGTTGCTTAATACATATTGATTGATTCTCATTAAAATTATAGAAATAATAATTATAAGAAAATTACCTAAGCAGTTTAAATATATCGGATTTTTTTTACTAAAATAAATACAACAACAAAGAAAATAGAGTATTTACTGCTACAGATGTTTAGAGTAAATTGTTAAAGATTTATATATATATATTATACTGAGTTCATAACTGTGAAATTTTAATTAGGCTTAACTATAGCACCTTGACTCATTTATTCTTATGTGTATTAGTAATAAAAAATCTATCTAATGCAGCAGCTGTTATATAGGCTGAAATAATATTTGTCTTTTAAGCCATTAAGTGTTTTATTAAAAGGTTCTAAATATACATTTATATAAATTTAAAAGAATGAGTACGAATCTCTTTTGTTTCACCAAATTATATTTTATATATATTTATTGTAAGTCAGTAAGACAATGTTTTAAAAGTGATTAGCCATAGTGTTACAAGAATACCATTTGTATCAGCTAGAGTAGGAGCAGGCAAAGAAGAAGCAAATGTGAATGAGTGTCAGGCAGCCGTAAGATCTGCCCCCATGTTTTATATAACATTATGTATAAGTGAACCTAGGTCAAATACTCCCATAAGAGAATTTATATAGAAGAGTATTATAATTATTTGTGTTCACTATCAATTATAATTGTCATAATGACTTAACAAATTAATATTTTATGTACTTTACGTAACATTTGAAAAATATAAAACTTAAAGTGATGGTTAGTCTGCTATGAAATGCTTCAATAGTATATAATGATATATTTTGCTGTGTAAGGATTTCGTATACTTTTTTTTGCTGACTCTAGGATGGAGAAATTGCATATAACTTGCTTCTTTCAGTTTTGTGTATCTTATATACATTGTTAAGTGATGAAGAATAAGATATTTATGCATAGTGTAACTTCTTACACGGTTAAACTATCATTTTCTCCATAAAAAGCATAGTTAACCAAGTTGAACCTTGAAGAATCTATGACATATTGCAAAACAATGCGTATCGTGGTGTTCAGACAGCACGTGTAATAAATCGTTAGTCGATTATTTTATTAATAATGTGACCTTAAACTTTTTACTTACGAGAACTTGACGGTCTAACAACTGTGACCGTGCCACTGGAACCAGGTGTTGGTTTCCTTTGAAACCTATATTGTCGTAAATAACTTAACACGCTAGGGCTAGTACTATTAGACATCTTGCCTATTTACATCCGCCAGTATACATATAGTTTTCAGTAATAAAATATATTTTTAGAAAGAAGTTCGATTTAAAAAAGCTAGAAAAAGTTCCCACACCACACCGTTCAGCTATGGAAACAACACTGCGGCCATTTTTATCCGCGAGATTATCTCAAATCTTAAGATTGGCCAATGACAATTCAAGAAACATTATTTCCCATCATTTTAACCAATAACAATGCTGATAGTTTCTACAGATTATGCTTGACACATGATAGTATTTTTACTGACATTATTTCACATTGTGAAGTAGAAGAGTATTAATTTAAAGAAGCGACACAATATAAAAACTTTTTCCTTAATTTGCAAACGTTATATAAAGACAATATCTCTTCCAATATCTTTTTTGCTTGTTGATACCATTATGATACTTTACTTAAGCAATAGTTGGAAGGGACTGGTTAATAATACCCAATTTTATTAAAGTCTATACAGTATTTTTACATTGACATATAAACTAATACACAACGTTGCGTATTAACTTTTAACTTACAGTGTCTGTGTTTCCCTGTATATATTATATCCTGTGTTAATACCGCTGACATTTGATAATCAGCTTACATTGACATCTCGGAGGTCGCACAGATTTTCTATCTGTCATATTAATAGGCGCGGCCATGTTGGTCTGTAGTGAATAAAAATCTTATTAATTATTGCTTTTAGGAAAATAAAATAGACACAATATGCCCAAATGCGACCTCAAAACTAGATACATCCCCGCGACGTTCGCCTGGACATTACTATTGGGCACGACGTCCCTGTTTTTTTATTTTCCGTAAGTACACATTCACTTCGCAAAGTATGAATCTTTTAATTTGACAACTTTCACATAAAGATGTTAGAATTGTTGCTATTAATATCCTCGGGCTACCTTTGCCCTATTTGACTTAATGTAGATATGGCCCTCGTGTAACAATACTTTGCGCTGCAGCTTTTATAACACTACGACAGTTTCTTACACCAGTGTAAATAATGTATTGTGATTTTTATAAATGAGTTTTGATGTATTAATTCGTGTAAACAAAGCCGAACATTTACGGTGATAGTGACTAAGCTCTGCAATGTAAATTGTCTTGACAAATTAAGTTGAAGGCCTATTCAAATTATGTATAGCCAACTCTATAGTTGATCATTATCATAATTTACATTTTCCTTATTACTTTAAAATCAGTGCATAATGGTTGATTATTTTGATAAATAAGATTTAAAGTTTTAAAGTTAATCTAGTAATAGTATTTGTTTAGGGTTCTAAATAAGAGACCAATTACTATGTCGGAAAATGGTAAAATATGTTGCCTAGTATTGCATTTATTGTTAGGTTATGTTTGTTGAATCCTGTATGAATCCTTTATAAATATAATTAATGTTTTTAGTGACAAAGAGCATAGAATCCTACTTACTGTAATAAGTCCCATTTGGAGAAAAATGTCTGAATTTTTGCAAGATATTAATTTAACCAATGACTAATCGGTGGATATTTTTTTCAGATGCCAGTACTACCTTCACAAACACCCATGGGTACCAGCATACCAAGGTGTCATAACATTTTTTGTTTTGGCCAATTTTACACTGGCCACTTTCATGGACCCGGGGGTGATACCAAAAGGTATGTATTTATTATCACTACTAACAAAACACAAGAAGTTACTTTTCTTGTCAAAATAAAATATAGATATAAAAGAGTGACTCAGAATTAATTTGGTGAGCTTATTGGTCTATTGGTAGCTTGTAATCAACAGATTGTGGATTTTAAGGCAAAATAAGTTGATAGTACACCTGGATAAGATATTATAGAATTGAGGTATTTCATCTTCCATTAAGGACAGACAAGCCTCCAACTCCAGGCTTTTGTCCTTTTCTGTCATAAAAGTTGTCGCTCAAGTAGTATATTTTTAGGGTTTCTCTTGCACTCTTGTGGGAAATATTTTTCCCTTCTACAAAAATTGTTAGCGTTTATTCAATTCTTATTGAATCTATATTTATTTAATGAATGTTAAAATAAAATATTGGAAATGTATAGCCTGCTATGTTTTTTGAGTCCTATTCTCTTTACACTTCAAGTAGCTAAAATATTGTGTAACATTGCTTAGCCTCAGCCACCTCCTGTAAAGGTTAAAGCTAAAATTTTGATCTGAAAATGTTAAATGTGAACCTGTTCCTATTAAGTTTAATGGTATAATAGAAATGTCCAAGTAATTCTTTAAAGTCAAATCACAAAAGGATCTATAAGAACTAATAACTGTCCTGAACGCAAAACTGTACTGTAATAAATTATACACTACCTTGATATTATTTTTTTTACAATCAATTGATTTCACAAATGTAAGAAAATATCTATACTATGTAATAATATATGTTACATAAGTTATTGACAATTAATTTACTGTTATTATGTAATTATTGTAATCATTACTTTTAATGATTCTAAATTGATACAATTAGCAACTAGCTATTCCACCAACACACAGTCTCTACCTCGTTTATTTTCTGTATCAAGATATAGAACAATTGAGATAAAACACTTTTAACGCCTTTAAACGCGAATTATATTTGTTAACCGTCCGTGAATCTATCTGAAAGTTGCTGCTGCAAAGTATAATCGAGGCGAAGTTAAAATAAATAAATAAATTACTATATTACAATTATATTTCACGTTTTAAACCGTGTTTAATTCAAATGTAAACTACTTGTATAAAGTACGGATACAAAAATTCTTAAAATTTAAACGGTTTCCAATTATAAGATTTGAACAGTATAATTTTATTTTATTCAATTAAATTTTTCTTAATGAAGTGTAAAAGTGTTTCGTCACGTTGTCTTATCATATGCCTCAAAATTTTAAATTCATTTTCCACCAACATGAAACTACTTTTAACGAGTTGAAATACGAAACAGAAGACAAAGACGTAAATCAAATCCAGATAGCATTTTATAAAATTGTATCTAATCGAATTTTCACATATGTCTAGAATAAAATTGATTCTACTAATTTCAAATGAGTACTATTTTATCACAGAACTAGCTGTGTCAGCGACTTCGTCCGCGACATCCAAATTTGGTTTGCTTCATCTTTATGAATTTGAACTGTTACTCACGACGTCGGTCGCGTTCCGTTGTTCGTGCAAGTTAATCTTAAAAGATAGATATTTCGCAGACACTTTTTTTTGTATTTTTTTAAAAAGGAATAATTCTTTCATAAATAAATTTTGGGTATCTTGATCCATTTTCGCAGCTAAACGTTTGTTCCACATTTCCCGCTGTTCCTATTAGTCACATCGCGATTTGTTATAGCCTATAGTCTTCCTCCTCTGTAGCCAAATAGTGAAACGTATTGCATTGCATTTAGCATTGCGTTGAGCGCGATTCGAACCCAGGGCCTGGGTTCGAATCGCCCGAAGATGTGATAGCCCCATGCCCCTCGAGGGGGAAACAACGGGTTTTACAGCAGTCTTCCTCGATAAATGCTCTAACCAACACGAAATTCAAAAAGATTTCTCAAATCGAACCAGTAGTTTTTCAAAGAAACAAACACTTCAGCTTACTATAGTAGTATAGATTACTGGTTACTAACGTTTCTATAAAGCTGTTATTTGCAAAGCGAATTCAATTAAAACTTGAACCGGTGGCTGCTCAACCATGGCATTGAACGTAAAACACAGCCAACATTTACATCTCAATTCAATTATAGTCCGGGGTGCAAATAAACACTTTTATTAGGTACATGTTATCTTCAGCGTCTTATTGTTAAATGTTTGTAGCCCTCGAAATTCCTACGACACGTTCACATTCTGAACTACATAAGACTTAATGTCCGATTATTGCAAGTATTCTATATGCGACATCTATGTGACTCTCTCGACTCTTATCAAGGCCTTACTTGAACCAAAACTTCTTTATTAAACCGTTATGGAGATCAGGTATAGCAAACGAACGTTCTCAGTTTTAAAAAGTCAAGTGTGACAATGGAAGCAATGGAAGGGTAAATGATCACCGGGTCGTGGATTTGATTCGCGCCAGGTCCAACATGCTTCTAAATCGATTTGTAATTATTTGAAACTATGATTCGCCTGAAAAATCTTTGAGGAGTAGGAATATCTAATTTCGAACGTATTACAGACTGTAGCATTTCGCAGCTGCGCTAAAATAGGGCGACAGCGCATCTTATAAAAGCTGGGTTTTCTTTCATCGAGTAAACCCCACACTTGTCTTAGTTGTAAAGATTACAGTCCACTGATTTCGCCTTGGTTGCTTAAGTACAATGAAGCTATTGATACTATATCGCGTGAGATATATCAGCTTTATATATGTGTGTCTAAGGCCGCTTAAGATCTTGACCGAACCGTACTACGCTTATTTCATATAAATGTAAGCGCAGGCGCAACTTCCAATATCCTTTAAAATATATATATATATGTATTCTTCAATCATTGAAAGTCAATATGCATGACCGGAAAAGACACACCATCTCCATAGATGAATGGTTATACACGATAAACCATTCAGCATTTAAGCGTACTGTCCCGGGTTCGCTGAAGCCTGATCAAGTACTTGCAGGCAAATAAAATCGATTAGGTTGCTTCCCTAGAAACAGACATAGGATTTTTTGTCCCATCACCCGACATACAAGATGGAGAATAGGGTGCGATTACGCATTTGGGCACTATTGTTGGTTTTATAATTAGCTCATGTTTTGTCCTACAGAGGTGTTGTGTATATAAAGACTTATCTTAACAAAAGTATAATCTAAGTCCACATTATTTATAGCGGCCATCTAGAAACTGCCTTCACTGAAGGTCGTTTCCACGATGAGGTTATTGTTTGTTGCCTTAATCCAATTGTTATTGCTCATCGAACCATTAGGTCGAATTAGATATCAATTTAATAGGAGATCCAATAAAATTATATGTTTAACATTAGACACTGGAAATACTGCCTCAACCCTTGGCGCAGGTCGTACGTTCAAGGGAATAATATTAGAATGATACGACACGGTCATAAATATGTAGACTACTTTGGGGAGGATTAACATCCACACTAAGACGAAAATTTGTTGCGATATATGAAATTCAAATTTGCAGATTGTATATGACAGAACTAGCTGATCCGGCAAACGTTTTCTTATTTGCAATTATAATGTTATGTTTATGCAATTATAACAAAGAAAACTGTTATATATTGTTGCAGACATTTTTTTAGGTCATTGAATTAGGTTTCAATTCTTCCATAGCCATCATTCTTCAAAGATTAATAAATTTCTCGCTTTTGTTCCACATAAAGCCTTCCTTGATAAATGGTATCCAACACGAAAATATATTTCAATACAAACCGGTAGTTCCTGAGATTAGCACATTTAAACTAACAAACAAACATCCTGTTCAGGTCTAAAATAATAATAGCTATTCAAATTTTAGTATTGGTTCCGACTGTCATTTTATATCTGCTATAAAAAAAACATAATGTTAGTGGGAAAAATTCTTAATCCGAAATGCGAGATAACAACCCCTTTACGAGACGAAACTGGAGTGTCAAGTTTACCTCGGTAAATAGCGTGACTAACTTTGATCGACCTTCATTAGCTAATTACACGCTCTTGTAAACGGGGCGACCTTTATATCCGTTCCCAGAATTGCGTCCGTTTATCTAAACTGTCTGGTAGGTGCACTTCTTAAACGGGGTTTCACAATTTTGAAAATCAAAAAACATTATTTGGTATCTTGGGTATCTTGGTAACCTTTCTGTTTTTAAGCCGAGTTTGGCTTGAGAAAATATTGCATACCTACACCACCTATACCCAAAATCGTTGCGACATACGTCTTTTGGACATCGTGATGGATTTCGACTTTTTAGGATATCGAAGCTAAAGGACTGACTAGACGTTACTTCGCTTTAAAAACCTTTTAATAAAAAAAAATCAAAATACATACTTGTATTTGCATCTTACCAAAATTATAAGTAATCTAACATTCGAAAACTCGGCTAAACTTCAACAGACTGCTTACTTCTTCGACGCCTCTCAAGCTAGCATTTTAATGCAAATTAAAATTCAATAATGTTTTATAAACTTCTACCACAGATCTAGAATCCTGCTGATATATGGTAACTCATACAGTCATCGGTAGCATATCATCTATACTAATATTAACGCTGAAAAGACGCGACGCTAACGCGCTAATCATAGGAGTTATTGGTTGGAATTTAAAAAATCTTTTTGGATCGGTTAAAGCAATTATTGAGGTAGGCTTGCTATGAAACATCTCGCTGTGAGAAATGTGAAATAATTTTTTTTTACAACTATTTTGCGGACGAAGTCGCCGATACAGCTACTTTCTATATAAAACCAACACGTCCGACAACGTGATAAGAGCGATGTTATCTTAAAGTCGCCCGTCAAATGTCTTCCCCAGCCCCACCTGACGAAGACCGCGAGGACGACTTCCGCGCGCCGCTGTACCGCAGCGTGGAGATCAACGGCATCACGGTCCGCATGAAATGGTGCGTCACCTGCAAGTTCTACAGGCCGCCGCGCTGCTCGCACTGCTCCGTCTGCAACCATTGTATAGAGGTAACAGTTTACATTAGCCATGTTTTATTCACCATTTACAAACGCCTAATAATATTGACATAACAAATTTAAAAAAAAGATCGCAATAAAAGTTACTTTAATATTGAGGTCGTTTGGTCCATTTCATAATATAATACAAGAAAATACTTAAATGCTTTACAATAATTGTAAATGTGTGATAATCACATACACAGCATTGCTGTGGAAGGACATAACTCAGCTGTTGCTGCAACAACAGATTTGTTGCAACGCCGATGTTTAGTGATGACACATGGAGATCTGATTGGCGGAACAGCGCCAAACCAGTAATTGTGAATCAGTTGAGATCCCATTGCGCATTTTGTTCTTGATCTTAGTAAAGCGATGAGGTAAAGAGTTTCCTACAAGCAGGAAAGAGTGCCCCTTTTTTGATATGTACTCTAGGCACCAAAGCTAGATATTAAACTTCCCCCATCTTAAAGGGTTTAAATAGAGACTTACATGTGATTGGTTAAACAATTAACATCACGCCGGTAGTTAAATTTTCTGGTCATTTTAGGTTCCAGACACTGGGAAAGGAACAGTGCCCTATTAACTCCTTTTTGTGAAGAGTAATTATTTTTTTTAACTAATATAGCGTCGTATTAAATTTTCAGACATTCGACCATCATTGCCCGTGGGTAAACAATTGCATAGGCAGGCGGAACTACAGGTTCTTTTTCTTCTTCTTAATATCTCTCTCTATTCACATGCTGAGCATCTTCGGGCTCAGCCTCTACTACATCATGAACAACAACAAGACGCTCACGCAGGTCGAGCCTATTGTGTCGTATCCTTTTTTGAACTACATAATAAAAATAAAAGTTATTGCATAAATTTAAAAGCACAAACGAATACTTATTATTGACGTATCTCTAAACCAAGACAAATCAAAAACCAACAAAAATCAGGGGGAGAATCAAAGTCGGGCTGTAGTTAAAATTATTTTCAAGTTAATTTAACTAATATATTTCGCCTTTTAAACCGTTAGTGTGATATTTAAATACAATTGGAACGATGTAAAACGCGATATATCTTAAGTAACTTATATTTCGTGTATATTCCAATATATACCTGAAATTAGTCACATAAAGAAATCTCTTTTAAAAACTTTATACACAACTCCAATGATAATGCTCAGCGATTCCAAGAAGCCATAAAGGCTTATCTGTATAATCTTGATTGATTTCCGCTGAATACTCTTATCAAATAGTATTTTAACAATGCATTGAGGTCAATAATATCTTTAATAGATAATTTTATCTTAATTATACCTATATGAAACACACATCATTATAAACATGTGAAATGTACATATAAAATAACTTGTCGTTTGTTTATCAACCTTTTAAAATCCTGCTTTACAAACGGTTGTTAAATATTAGACTACACGATTAGCACATATTAAATGAAGCACTTTTAAACGGCTTCGAACCGAACAAAAAATACTTTGTCACCTCAATATTGTAGTGTACCAAATGTAGCGAGTAAAGGCGGCCGTATCGCTAAAAAACGATTTCTTCCAAGCAACCTTGAAGATGGAGATTTACAATAATAAATGTTAATGATAATAATGCATCCATCTAAATTCTAAAGTATATCCTTAACAATATATCAGAATGGTGATAATGGGTATAATAGCACTCCTAGCTATCCCCATCTTCGGTCTGACGGGTTTCCACATGGTGCTGGTGTCCAGGGGTCGAACGACCAACGAACAGGTCACCGGCAAGTTTACTGGCGGATACAACCCGTTCTCTAAAGGATGTTGGTCCAACTGCTGCTACACGCAGTTTGGGCCGCAGTATCCGAGGTATTTTGATTGGATTTTAAAACTAATAATATTAACGAAATATCAAGAGAATCTCAATAACCGAACGGGGTTAGATCAAGTTGCTGTATTATTCCCATCAAGACCGAAATGTTTCTAAATAGCAATTTTAAACTTTCATGACACAAGTTGGACTTGGTCTGGAAAATGTGGACGTAAAATTGATACAGATCGCAGTAATATATTGCATTTCTCTATTAGGTTATTTGAATGAAACAGTAATTAAGATTCCCATTGACGAACTAGGAACAGACAGAATGCTCAAAGAGTTAGTCATTTTTCCCTTCTGATATTCGTAGATTATTGCTATCCTTCATTTGTTATTTACTGTAACTTCCAGAAGTAAGAATCTTAAGTATTCAAATTATATGAAATTTTAAATAATTTAACTTGCATTTTATCGATGATATAAGTCCAATATAAATTGAATAAGGCTTTCGCGGCTTACTTAAGTTACTTGGCTTTTTAATAGATATGGCATGTTCCTAGACTAAGGTAAGACTCCAGTTGTAATGGCGATACATCGAGAATCATTTCTTAATTACAACGACCGCCCAACTCGAAAGTAGCGACACTTTTTAATTTATATAAACAAATAATGCTTAATATTGCAGTCTAGTCCGGCCATCGAAATACCTTTACAAAGGCGGTAAGAAGCGTCGCGATATGGGCGCGGGCGGCATGAACTCGGGCATTTCGACGATCGCCGCGGGCGCAGCGGCAGCGCAGGTAAAGACGTACACGGCGGACAACGGCGCCGCGCACCGCCCACTAGGAGCGCACGCGCACTACAATAAGGTGAGGGCCAGACGCTTCGCATCGCTTGCATCTATAGCTCGGGAGTCCTGATATTTATTATTACACTAGCTTAAGAATAATTCATAAGTCAATTTTACGTTGAAAAATATTGCGACACGGGCAAGGCTTAAACCGGCTTCCGCAGCGTTCCGTGCTGTTGCTCGAACCATTTGAGCTACCGTGTCTCTTTTTAATCTAGTATCGGTTTTTATTTTATATAGTGCCATCGTGAGGGATAAAAAAATATCTTAAGAATAGACAAAAAAATAGCTTTAAAAGACGCCATTCTTCATTTAAGATTTCCCAAGATTATGGACTTCATTTCTCAAAATAGCTTGATGATATCGATTTATTTAGGGGTAATCAAATATTATTAATTTTAAGTTATTTTATTTTATTAGTATGCTTACTTTAATTCAATTGGAAAATATATATTTATTTAAAAAGTTAAGTTTTCATATAGCTAAGTAGTAAACTTTATTTTGCAAATAGTTCGTCCAGCACATTAGTTGTCACGCTTGTAGAGCAATTACATACCTTCAATTCACTGCTGTAAGGTTTATTTTTATCTAAGCACTTTTCTACTCTATGGTGAATTGAAGACATGGGTATGTCTGGCTCTCAATATAGAGAGGATATGTTAAATAGAAATGTATATAAACCGCGCTATCTCCTTCGATTACTACGGTACTGAAAGAGAAAGCAATAAAGTTAATTTTTGGTCGTTTAACAACGAAAGAAACAAGTTTTTTGAGTCGTGAAATACTAAGACAAAATGTAGGACAGTTTTTTCCCCATTGTTTATTATTACTTTTTGTTCTTTTCTAATAAATATAATAGTCTCCGATTAATTGCTTTGTTCTCATGCGTTAATATCGGAGTCCCAATGAATTTCAGCTATCTCCCGGCCGCGAGGAGCACGAAGGAGAGATGGAGGGCCCCGGGGCCTCCCAGTCCGCGGATTGCGAGCCGACCCCACCGCCCCTTCAGCGACGAGGCTCCTCCGCCAATCTTTTCCCGGAGCCCCATCACCATTTACCACCCAGACCCCACCACTATCCGCGGCTAAGTCCGCTCTCAAGGAATACTAGGTAAGTAAATATTTTTCAGTTTAATGTATAGAATCAATCCTGACAAAATGTGACATTAAGTGTCAAGTAACTAGAAAAAACCTACCATTCCCTTCGTATGTTAAAATATTGTCAAGCAGTTATATTTTTCAAATGTGACTCAAAAACCATTACGACAGAAATATGTCGTAATGTTAATTCCTTTCTACGCCACGCTAATAAAAGCTACTCCAAATACTAATCCTGCGTAGACGAAGTCGCGGGCACCAGCTAGTTTTTATAGCCTATGTTACGCAGTGATAATGTAGCTTTCTAATGAAAAAAAAATCGGTCCAGTACTTTTTGAGTTTATCCGTTACATACAAAAATACAAATCTTTCCTCTTTATAATATATATATATATATATATATATATATTATAAAGAGAAAAAATCTATATATATATATATAGATTATTTATTATAATAGTATGTTGTATGAGAATATAAAAAAAGTCCTGTACTATCCCCAGTCATGGCGGTACGACGACGTCGGGCTACCGCGTCGTAATGGAGCCCCTGCGGTATGACACGGGGGCCAATGGGGGCGCGAGGCCCTCCCCCACCATGCAGCAGCGGATCAAGGCGCTCGGTGTGCCCACGCCCTTAGCGCTCAGTAGCCCTGTGCGCAGGTAAGAACTCCTACTGTTAGGTATATATTACATTTCGTTCGCAACTCGAAATTTGATTGTTTAAAAAAATGTATTTAACATTATACGTTCCTTTGCGGCCTAAATTCGTGTTGCGTCCTTACACTTTCTCTTGTACCTCCAGTTTAAATTGCAAATACATAAATGTTTAGATAATCAGTACATTATTGATTCGAGAATGATTTATTATTTCTAATTGAATGCAATTTTGTTGATTAAGCTTGAGGTCCATTTCAAGAGATACTCTGTATATTTTATAAAGAATATCTTTATACTAAAAAGTTACTGTACCTTATGATAATGACCCTTAAAGTCATTTGAAATTGGGTATCTTTAAAATGTTTTCACCGGGCGCTACTAAAACGTCAGTTTTATACTACAGTTTCATAAGTTTTTTTTTATAAAAAGTAGCGCTATTTAGTGCAAACATTATATTAGATTACGTTTAGTACATTTTTACATTAATATAAACAACTAGGAATCGAAACTACGTACCGTTAGACTTTTTAATTTTAAACATATTTATTTCATAAGATCTTATCGACACCGCTTCAGCTCAAAATATTATTGTTTTAACTAGTATAAGTAATTTCCATTTCATGGCCTTCCTTTAGCATTAATTCGACTGTTTCACGAGGTCTGACATTTTTCTAACATTGATACTGTAAATACGTAACAATAGCTTATATGGCCTGACGACGAAATACATAATATTTATTCTGTAATAAACACATTGATTATTAAGGTATATTAAAGTACTATTTAAAAAAGCATCAAAACACTTCTTATAATTAATAACAAAAAATTTTGGCGTCTATCTGGTTCTTTATAACTTACGAAATAGATTTTAAAGATAAGTTATAGACAAAAACAAAGACTACACTGAACTTTACTTATAACAATGTATATACACAACGCTGAAAGACTCGTGAATCGGTCCATCCTAAAATGTCATGAGAACTAACTCCCGTCCGGCAGCGCTTCCTTTAAATGTTAGATAGTTTTATTATTTGCATGTAATATTGTTTGCATCATGGGTAGCGGTGTTTAACCGTGGTTATATGCTTGGTAATAACTGGTAATTACTAATCGCAGACCCTTTTCGTCCTTACAAGGGACATTACATTTTAATCCCACTTCTGATTTCATTACAAAAATTTATAATTGAATCAGATTCTAATAGAAATGAATTTCATCTTTGATTTATTATCCTTTGCGAATCAAAAAGTACAAGCTAGGAGCCTCCTTTGTACGCTTCGTCCTAAAAATGTTATTATATGTCCCTCATTGTTTTTGGTGCTTCTCCTGATACAATACTAATGTAACTAACCGTTTGTATAGTGCATTGTTTTCTTTACTGTGTAAGAAAATAGTGTATTTAAAACTACAGGCATAAATTAAATATCAAAATTCTATTTATTAATTTATATCTGTTATTCTAAGTTGTATCTTTAATAGCTTTGCATTTGGTTACATATGTCGATTTGTTCTTGGTACTTGACAATTCTTATTGTTAATTTTTCAATTTAATTAATTAAACTCCCACCGGTTTGGGTCATGCCTGTGGTTATTTGATACTTATATATACGTATGCCTGTAGTTTGTCAAGTGAATTCTGTATAAAGTGAAGGTTGCTTACCGCGGCAGGTGGACATAACGCATAGGGCCGACGTGTCGACGGTAAACAGTAGTTTGTGATGTGTGGGATGGTGGAATGTGCTAGAACTAGATCTCGTACCACAGCAGAGGACGCCACAAGACTTGAGGGCTCTGAGATATATAATAAAATATTAACTTTAATGTTGGTCAATTTATTTTAGGTGGGTTTATGCTAAAACTAAGTAAGTGGCTACTCTCAAGTTTTGTGAGACTCTCGTCATTTTCAGTCATCCCCGTCGTCATATAGTTAATTGACAGATTGAATGTTTTAACCATTATAATCATCATATCATTACCCCCTTTGTGATCAAATATTTCGATTTCGAAAATAGTGACCTTAACCGTATCCTAAAACCTAAAAGTATCATAATTATAAGCCTACATAAAATTCTATGGTAAAAAAAAACATTTTCACTCCACCATTTCATTAAAACCGCCAGACAGTGTTGCTTGTTTTTTGACAGGTCATAAATACTATTTTTTCTGATTTAACTTTTGATTTCATAAAGAAAAAAAACAGTATTAAAACATCGCTTTTGTCTGTATGTAAAAGATGCTAGTTTAAAAAATATAATCATATTTTTTTTCATCATTGCTATACATTTTTACATATAGACATCATCAAGTTGGGATGTATTCTTTTATACTATATGATTTTTTAAAAATAGTATGATTTTTTTGCAATTGTATATATGCATGAGTTTTTTGTCCGTTAAGATTTCCATAAATGGAATTAAAATTTTGATTTGATTCATTCAAATTAATATATCCTGATTGAAAGTGGACTCTAATCACTTAGCTATAATTGTTTTTTTTAAATTGATTTACAATAATCAGGATATAATAATATGTAGTATGATTTAGCTTGCAATTAATGACTCTATGTGTCACCTTTGAAGACGCATGCAATGTGTAGTAATACCTCTAGTGAGGCTAATGTAAAGATGTACACGTCTCTTTCATTTTAATATGACACGGTAGTCGCGTGAAAGAGATGAACATATTCCTCGGTTCAAAGGTGTCGCTTGAGGGTAGTCGTAGCGTAGAGTTGGCATGGCGTCGCATGCAATCCGTAACCGCCGTCTCGACTCGGGCACGTTCAGAACAAGCTAATAGCCAAAAGGTGCTGGTTATAACTTAGTTTAGTCGAGGTGTTCCGGTATTCGCTTTGTATTAACGCTCGACCAGTAGCGTAGTCACCCTGTTCGTTGGGCGAATTCGCTTCCTGTTACTATGATATTTATCAGGGAGACGTAGTTGAAGGGTTTGTTTTGGTGGCTTCTTTAGGTCTTTAAAATATGAAATTGCCCACATTTAGTACTATAAATTTTGTAAGAACAGTCACTAGGTGAGTTTCGTAGTGAGATTATACAATGCCTGCCCGGCCTGGCTACTAATAGCTGGTACTCTCCTATATAGCCTGTAACAGCATTATATAAAATGTTCAACTTTGTGGTATATATGGATGGGGCATTTTAATGAAAACATATTAATAACATTGCGCGTTTTTTGACGTAACGCAAAGCGAGTTCGCCACGAGCGTCCCACAAACATCGAGTCGAACACTCACCGACCGGTTCTTAAATTAATGACAAGTTCTGAACGCGAGTCGAGGGGCGTCGGACGCTTCTCCCCGCAGCTCCCGTCTCCTTCTGTCCGTAGGCCGTACGATAATAGCGAGCGCTCGGACGAGCTCGCGCGATTAAACCCCTGACGTGAGCGCCGCGCACAGGTCGAATCCGGGCACGCCCACGCAGCCGCGCCGGCCTGACTTCATCAGCGTGAGGACCTCGCCCCAGCGGCGCTTCCTCTCCGAGGGCGAGCTGCTGCGCGAGGCCGCGCCGGACGACATCCGGGAGCTGGCCGCGTCGCCGCAGCGCGGCGGCTACCTCTGGGCCGAGCGCCCGGCCCCGCCCCACCAGCACCAACATTCCGCCCCTTCGCCCCTCGCGCGACGCCGACCCCCGCCCCACAATTCTGTGCCGCGGCCTCCCCGTCCGCTCTCTTTCGTCCGCGCCCTCGAGGTGCAGGAGCAGCTGGAACGGACGCCGCAAGTGGAGCCTCCGGACCGGGCCTCCGTCTACGATTGCAACTATGAGATCTCCGTCTGATGAGCTCCGATGCGGACAACTCAGTGTTCACTTACGCACAAGGTACCCCGACGTCGCGCGACGCGAACGAGCGTTCATGCCATAGTGTGTGTCGCGGTAGTGATAAGCCGTGTCTGTATATTGTGAATTGAGGGTATGTGTACATAAACAATAGACCGTGTTTTGTGACGACCGGTTGGATCCGAGTAGATGCTGTGTATTATAGAGTATTTATTATATTTGACTTTCGCTTCGGAGCGAGATGACAGTTGGCATTGACAGATGGCTATGTCAGAAAATGTTTCAAATGGGAAATGTTACGTCATTTAGTCTGCTGAATTGAGCATTTTCTAATTTATAATGGTCGCCGTCTTGCAATGGCGGCGTACTGAATGTAATGCATAATATTGGATTTAAAAGATAATGAAGATCGGAACACGACCGATCTTTTGAGATGTGCCAAATATTAAGTAGGGAGGGTAGTTATATCGGCCATGATAAAATTTTGATTCTTAACGCGATTTTATTTTTATTTTCGTTTTGTCAAATTATAAGGAATTTATTTTGGATTGTTAAATTTAGTGTATATGTGCATTTATAGATTTATGAATCTCCGTAAAACGTTTTTAACTAAACTTCAACGTTTGTTGTTTAGTTGCCACGTCCCTGTCAGGGGTACCTGGGTTTTACACAAACGTTTGTTGTAAAATTTCGCTATTTTTGATCATAGACAATTTTAATATTTAACCTAAACTTTTTTGTGCAATCCAAGATCCCAAGGTACCGAATTTTGTTTTACGGCCCACGAAAAGTACTTAGATTGTGAAATCGATGAAAGCGAAACGAAAATGCGCTTATATGAAGCACGTATATATAAGTACTACTAAACGAGACCATAAATCTTTAAAATAAGAATATTGTTTGCATATTAACGTGTGTAGTGCGAATGTTTAAACCATAACGACCGTTTGACCATAGACTAGACATTGTAAATAATATAAATGTTACAAGCGTTCGCGCTAGAATACCATTTGTTGATTCGGACGTAGATATGTACATACAATTAATATATAGTACGCCATCGTACAATGACGAAATTAGTTAGGGAACAGAATATTACATATATTGTTACTACATGCCTTGATAGTGTACAGCAAACACCGTTTAAATATCCTAACTATCTTAAGATTGTAAATATGTAGCTGTAAGGTGTAAGATTGTAAATGTGTTTTCGTTGTGAATGTTGCTATGTGTAAAATTTCAGTTATGGTGCCAGTAGATTCTACCTTCCTATTTGACATATCAGTAGCGAGTTGATTTGCCGATTTGTACGGCGTAATACTTTGAAAGTAATAAATTTACGACTTTGATGTACAGGTGGTCTGACGGTCACGATAAAGAAATAAGTACACAGATCTGGGATAAAAGCTAAGAGTCGCGCAGTGCTATCGTAACGTTTAGTTGAATTAATGAATAACTTAACATTATTTTGTTTAACTTGACATTTTTGGTAAACAAACACAATTTATGTGAGATCGGCATTTTCTCCCAAGGTTTACATTCATTCACACTAAAACCACTGACACACAATTCATTCATTGATAAATAAAAAAATAAAAATCCTAAAAATGAATGTATATAAATGGACAGACTAAAATTTATTTACTTTGATCTTTACATAGGAATGGGATGTAAGGAAAATCAATGACAATAAAAGTAAAAAGTCCAGTATTTGGTGTGGTCTATTGCCAAGTTAGAAAGAATACACTATAAGAATATATCAATCTAGTCAGCACCAGCATCTGAAACTTACTGCCTGAATCACTACATTACTTAAAAATGTTTTTAACTTAAGGAGACATATTTAGAAGACAGAACACTATGTGTTTTCCTTATTTTGACTGTTTGAAAATTCACCAGTCTCACTTGGTCAGGCCATCTTATCAAGTATCGTATTTTTAAACTTCGCTTACTTGAGCATTTACTTAAAAGTGTATCGCCGCAACGTTATTGATACAATAACATATTATTTAAAAAGGGATTTAATCTTTTGGAGCCTACTTGTATCTGATTTTTCTGTGTTTGCGCTCGTCTGCTCAACATTCCGTCGTGCTATTTTGCTATTTCAATCCAAGTTTAAATACCACATTATACATATTTCTAGTTAGTAACGTGTAATTTCAAATAATGAGATTTGAATATAGCAACTGTAACTGCGTTGTTAAAGAAGCAATGGTACTTAATGTTAATAAGTTATTGTGATCGAAAACACCTGTGAAAATTTACTGATTCATAAGTTTCAACTTTGTGTAATATTTGGGAGGGTAGTTTTTGAAGGGCGATAAAAGTGAAATGTAACTTATTGCTACGCCCATAATAAAAAGCTAGTCTTACCAGAATCTAGTTACCATCGAAGGTTTTTAGCAGCAAAATTGATATAACATTAAATAATTAGACGGTAGATTAAACATTTCACTTTGAAATGAAGTCTTTGCCAATTTCGAGTACTCAGTCTTAAACTATTGAATACATTGAAAATGAGCGCAGTTTCCTGTTTAATTTTCATTCTATTATTTTTGTCACTTTTTGTAAGTAGCCTAGCTTGGTTATCACTTTGCAACCGGCAGAGGGCGTTGTTAATGTTGATTTAATTCTAGGTACATCGTGTTGAATAAGTTGTCCATATTTTAGTTAGATGTTATTTAGCTCAAAGTGTGTTTGAAAGATAGAAACGGCTGCCCTGTACCACGCAGTCCACTAAGACTAATGTAAAATAGTACCTCCTCAGAAATCGTTATTACCTACGTGTACGTGACAGTGTTTTATTTTTGTATTTTGATAAAATTAATGTAAATAATTTTCTTATTTTATTGATATTAAACTCAATTAATCGATGCGTGTAACTTATTTCTGTATCCATGGGCCTAGGGTGTAAAATACTAAAACCATCAAGACTACATTTTTTACACTAAAGGCATCTTTAAACGTTATTTTTTTGTACAAACAGTTACTACAGCAACTAATAAATTAATAAAATATGTAGTATTTAAGAATAAGTAGTAGGCTACCTAAGACCCTAATAAAAAAAAAACAACGAAAAATGTAGTTTATGTAAGATTGTTTGGCTTTCCACAGGTAACGTGCCGAAATATATTTCGATCACTCTTATTATGATCCTTTAGCAAAACATATAAGATTTCACAAAAAAAATATTTCCATCAACGACACTATAATAGATATTCGAGTACGTCCCATAAAATTTTTGGAAGAAGAAAAATAAACATTTCTTTTTAATTATTATCTTTGAACGGCAACAGTATTATATTTATCTGTAGTTTAAGATACCAAGTTGTCAATGTCAGGTTGAAAATTTGGAACGTCAATGTCGCCGCTCTATAACAATTCCTAGTCTATGGTCTTTTCTTGTCGACAGGTAAAGGGAATGTGAGTTTCGTAAACTTATTCCGATAAATCTAAGTAAATCTATATGAAAACTGATATGAATTAAGAAATAAATATCGAGTACCAATAAATTGTGAAAGACACTGTGATACGGTGATTATATTTTTTATGAAAACTCGAAAGTAAATAGAAAAATATTGTCATCTGTGTTCTATAGTGTTTGTGTTTAAAACGTTTGATATATATTATATTATGAAGAATACGTGGTTTGGCTATATTCTATTATGGCTTTACAGTTGGAGTGAATTTGTGTAGCGCTAAACATTTGGTGTTGTTATAGTAGAGATTATAGGAGGTTATGTTTTTGCAGATCCATCAAAGATGGGTAAGATTATGAAACCTGGGAAGGTAGTGCTGGTCCTAAGCGGCCGGTACGCAGGGCGCAAAGCCATCGTCGTGAAGAACTACGACGAAGGTACCTCAGAGAAGCCCTATGGTCACGCGTTCGTGGCCGGCATCGACAGGTACCCCAGAAAAGTTCACAAGCGGATGGGCAAAAACAAAATTCACAAGCGTTCCAAAGTCAAGCCTTTCGTCAAGGTAATTATTTAAGGTTATTGTTTATAATGATAAGTTTTTAACAGTATGAAATAATACATTTATTATGTGCATCTTAACCTATGTTCATATGCACTAACATTAACAGTAACATTTTCTTCAGTTCTATTAGATTCTCTATAAGATAAATAATCTTTTATACCAGTATGTTTTATATAAGATTTAGATTTTTGTGTTAATTTATAGACATTTGTGATTATGTTAAAGACTAAAGTTGAAATCAGCATATATTTTATGTGGTATGAGCATAGCTTGGAACATTGTATTATAGTCACTTTCCTATCATATAAATTTTTATTGTCTAGCTACCTATTTAGCTTTTTCTCATATCAAACTCCTAAAGCTTAAAAGATACATAAGAACTATACATAATTCTAAAATTCCTTTTTTTTAGGTCGTAAACTACAACCACCTTATGCCAACCCGGTACTCAGTTGACTTCAGCTTCGAAAAGTTCAGTGCAAAGGACTTAAAAGACCCTGCAAAACGCAAGAAGCTCCGATTCAACACCAGAGTGCGCTTTGAAGAAAGATACAAGAGTGGAAAGAACAAGTGGTTCTTCCAAAAGCTTAGATTCTAAGGAGTACTTTAAATAAAATTTTAAAAACACACTTCATCTTTTTTTCAGTCAGGTATTGGTGATTATTAACCCTTAAATGGACGATTTTTTTTTACGTTTTAAAAAAATATATTTGTGTAATAGACATGTATTACTGTCTAGGAAAAATGAGTAAAAAAATCTAGACATGAATTTACTATTTTTTTTTTGCAATAATGTGAGTGTTGTTTATAAACTACATTGTGCTTTCAATGACATTTTGCAATTATGGGTAAAATATGAGTGGATATTGTTTTTGAAATGTGTTTATTTATTCTAAATTATGATATTTATAAAAACAATTGCTTGTTTTCGTATCACATAAAGATACACGACATTTTTGGCACATTTTGAACGTAAATCCTGAACATTTCGGGAATTTGCACCTCTGCTGCTTATCCAGCCAAACTGCCCAATGACATGTCTGATCCAATCTGACGTCTTTCAAAGGAATTGCTTGAGCTGGTCCTCGGAACTTCTTCATTACAAGTTCTCTTTGTATTGTGCTCCCACTAGGTCGACCACGTTTAGCGGCATTTGCAGGTAGACCCAATTTGCAGAGGGTTTCGGCAAGTTCTAGTCTAAATGTACCCAAATTGAGAAGTTGATCATTTCCTTTTATATTATTTACCTTCTTGAACATAACCCATGAATTTATAACTGCGAGGTCCAGGAAATGATAAAATAAGCGCATGGTCCACTTGCGGCTCTTCATTGTGATGTGATAACGACCTATAAATGAATCTAATAAGTCCACGCCCCCCATGTGAGCATTGTACTCCTTGATGACTTTGGGGCATGGAATAGCAACTCTCTCTTTCTTCGATTTATCAAACCGCGTGACTGTGGTTGCTGGTTCTGCTCCTACGTAAGTGGAAAGAAGGTTAACTTGGAACAACGTTTCAGGTCTGTTATGTTGACAATATAACAGAATTTGAAACAAAATTTAAAAGTTAATTATTTAGTAGGGTTATTAGTATGTAACAACATTAAAAATAGTATTAACCTTACCATGAAATACTGACTGGAATTTTACCTCCATATTCTCCGTAATTTGCATGTGAATGCTTGAATCTACTCAAGTTAAATTATGGTACTTGTTTAAATAAAAGTAGTTGTCAGTTTCCATTAATATTTCAAGAATATTCTTATGACATTCAAGGGCGACATATTAACAGGACAGCAAATAAAACAATCCATGTATTCAATAATTTCTTTAGGTATAATTTTATATCATACTATAAATAATATTAACCAATAAGCAGTCTTAACTTAAATCATGTTTTATACAATAAAAAATGTTTGAAAACATTAAGCTTTTGAATACTGCTTTTAGAATAGAATTCAAAATTGGTAAGCTGGAATGAATAGTAACAAAAACCAACATTGTCTACTGCGATACACCGTAGACAATTTTTCTTGCACACAAAGGGTTCAAAGCTTTAGTGTGGCAATTGAAACAGTCAAGGTTTCAGATTACCAAATATATAAAAGGGAGCTTTTCACTTAGTTGAACTTTTTGTAAGTTTTGTTTGAGATTATGTACTTTAAGTAACTTCTATTTGTTATAAACATTGTGTCAATACAATCAGCAGCACATGGAGTAGCTGTTTCATTTTGTGATTACAAATTATTTTTGCCTTGAATCTATTTTATATAGCTTATCGCTATTTACTAGTACTAGCGGTAATCTCAAGTCTGGTAATATAGCAACAAGAATCATGTTAACATATTACACCTCGTTAATTTTCGTGGTAAGTATTTCATTATTGCAACACTGGTCCGACTTTAAAACACGACAGCTATTACAGATAAGCCCAAGCGCACAGACCCTAGTTTTATCACGATCACGCCGCAAGCTTGCCGATTCTTTCATCAAGTTTCTTAATTTCCTGTTGAAGACTGTCGATATTATGCGCAAACACTTCCTGTACTCCTTGCAGAAGTTGTTTGTTATTATGGACTCCATTGGCGATAGTGCTCTGCAGGGTTTCCAATTCTGTGAGCGACTTGCCAAAGTTGCTTGCTGAAATTAATTACATAATTACAAATACTTAAGGGCTGCTTATATTAAAATATTCAAACAATGTTGACAGTTTTTAGTTCGTCATGAAGTAAAAAAGATAATTAACCTACCTTGATTATGTAGAGCTTCAAGAGCCTCCATTCTTTCCAAGATTTCTGAGTGTGAGATGCCATCTATTTGCTTCAATAGTTTGTGCAATTCATTAACCTGCAATTTTATAATTAAAATATTACCAGACCAGTCTTAAGTCACAGGACCCCACAAAATTAAATGATTGGAGAAATTACTAGATATAAAGACAAACTTGGACGACTACACATTTTGTTTAGTCATACGGAGTACGTTCATTGTGCTTGACGAAAATAAATGTTGCTACAAACACTATATTATGTTCTGGGACTTATTTAAAAGAAAACTGAATGTGTATTATTTACCTTAGCCTCTAGTTCGGGATCAGCTGGTTTGCAGGCCGCTTTCAAGGCCTCGACATTGGTGAGAAGAGACGTCACTCTTGCTTCAGCCGCGGCTAATTCAGCTGGCCGTAATAGGGTCGCTTGGTTCGCGAGCGAGGCAGCTGCACCGCATAGAGTTGCCTATAAATAAAAATAAGAAATCAGTAGGATATAAAAGAGAGAAAGAAGTTATAAAAAGTGGAGAGGAAGACTACCTCTCCAGTAGCAGCTTGCAACCTTCGGAATGCTTCTTCATCTCTAACACCGGCAACTTGCTCCAACTTGTGTAATCTAAAATTCGTAAAAAAATATTAATATTAATACAGTGAAACCTGGGTAAGTGCAATCTGGATAAATAAGAAACTTCTATTATTGAGAGTTGCGATAAGGTCCTGGTTCTTCTTCATTAAATTACCTCTGTTAATGGAACTTTATGAACTGGTTAAATGGGATTTCAATTCTATGACTTTTTCAACTCAATTACCTGTATAAGTAAGACAAATTAATCAGGTTTTACCACATTATGACATGTTTGTTTACATAGACTAGGGCCTCTGTAAATGAAACCCTCAATAATTGTTACAAATGTTTTGGTCCCTTGAGATCCCAGCCAACCAAGTTGTACATTCTTTCAAAATTCTCCAACATCCTTATCCAATTAAGCACATGATAGGTCTCAATGGAAAAGAGTGTGGACACTCTCAGCTCCTCTTAGAGGAACTGACAAAAGGTCTTCAAAACTTGAGTGGGATGCCATTTTAAATCTAGAATAGCTAATTACTATTCAACCAGCCACATTTGGTGTAACTTACCTGTGTTCCAACTGAGCAATTCTTGCTGTTTGTGCCAAGTTGACTTCAGGTTTCAATTTAAGGTGTGCAGTCACAAGCTGACCATTTTTTTTCTTTCCGTTTACAGATAACAGTTCTCTGAAAGGACAAATATAAGCATTAACTTAGTAAAGAGGAAGTAGATCAGAAAGTGCAGAATCATGATGCAATAGGCAATGTATTCTACGTATTACCATAACGTATATTTATACGAAATATATGCTTATACGAAAGTGTATGATCTATAACTTACTTAAGCTTTTCAGCCTTAGGGTCTACTTGTTCACCCTCCTCTAATTTGAGTTCTTCCAATAGTTTCTTTGTAGTTATTATCTGAGCTGCTAGTTTAGAATGTTCATCCTACGAACAATACAAAAATTTTCAATATCACATGAGTAAAGTTTGTTTGTAATGAGTGCCAGCTGCTAAATGAAGTAGCAAAATGAAGCAAAATATATTTTTGTACCTTACCTTCACACTTTCACTTGCTTTATTTTGCTGTTCAGTCACTTGCTCAAGCAGATCTGAGAATTCACAACGAAGACGGTTATACCTCTCTAAAGCTGTTTCTGGTTCACCCTCAGGAGCCAACTCCCATTCACCAGATCTATAAAAGATAATAATAAATTACTTAGAATAAATAATATAGGAAGTTAAAAGTGCATGTTACTTAAAATATTTCATACCCAGCAGAGTTTGTAATATCGTTTTTTTATTCTATTAAGGGCCAAGCTTATAATGATTAATAAAATTTATACCTATATCCAATTCTAGATTTTCTGCTTAAACGATCAGAGAAATCAACATTTCCAGTCAGAAACTTCCCCTTAAATTTATTAAATGAATCCTTTACAGAGAGATGGAGCTGTTCAATGCAATCGTTCTCCTCTTCTTCATAAGGCTCCGGCTGATCAGCCTCTGGCAAATCGCCGGTTTCATAAACATCAGGTTGATCATTTGCCTGGAAACCAGTACAAAATTGTTTCGTCATTATGTAGGTTAGATAAATCGATATTTATTATATCTCATAAGCGACTTACAATGCCAGGGAGATTGTCGTATTTGGGATCGGCCATGATTCTAGAATTGTTTAGGAATATAAAGTAACGCGAGGATGGGCTTACAATATTTTTAAAAACCCTTTTTTATTTTCTTCATTCCTTTTGTATCTCTAAAGATGACGTCAGGTTTTTTGACTTTTAGGTATTTTCATATATGTCAAAACTGTTATGTATATTGTCAGTGTCAGCTTAAACATTAATCGTTATTTTTTAAATATTTGATTACATAATTCAGAACCTAGGCCATTTGTCGAAATTTTAACATTTATTAATGAATAACATTTACTATTTAAATAAAAATGTATTTCGTAAAACAGTAGTACAAAATCGTCAAAGCGATCTTCGTTTGGATCAAAATTAGTTTCTGGTTTTTTACTTTTTTCGTAGAATTCAACATTTGTCAATGTCAAACACAACAAAAGGAACACGTCAGTGTAATCTGACGTCATCGTGCCCAAAAATAATTTGACTTTGGTCCTAGTAAGTGAGTCATTGATATTTTCGATTGCACATTATTTCAGTAGACTTTGAATAAGTATAAATCAGAGTTCATTCAATTTATTAAATTAGTTGTGCGTGAAACAAACTCAAAATGAGTTTACAGTGGACGATAATCGCGACGTTTTTATACGTCGAAATTGCGGCGGTATTGCTTCTAACTTTGCCGATCGCTAGTCCTTCGAGATGGCAGAAGTTCTTCAAATCGAAGTTTCTAGCGTTTATATATGGACAAGCCTCGATATACTTTCTTGTATTGATCGGAGTATTGATTCTCTGCCTACTTGATGCTATTCGTGAGATGCAAAAGTATTCTAACATCGAGGCGACAGACCATCAGCATCTTGATGCAGAAATGCAGGGAAACATGCGGCTATTCCGCGCTCAAAGGAATTTCTACATCTCTGGCTTTGCACTGTTCCTTTTGATCGTCATTCGCCGGTTAGTGCAGATGATATCTGAATTGGCCACTCTATACGCGCAATCTGAGGCAAATCTACGCCAAGCGCAAAGCGCATCGGCTACAGCAAGGACTCTCTTGTCTCAGCAAGGAGAGGGTGATTCTAAGAATAAGAAAGAAGTCGAAGATCTACGAAGTCAAATCTCTCTTTTAGAAAAAGAATTGTCGAAAGAGAAGAAGGACAAGGAAGCTGTCAAATCACAAGCAGAAAGTTTGAATAAAGAATATGACAGGCTATCGGAAGAGCACAGTAAATTGCAGAAGAAGCTAACCGTTGCTGGCGGTGATAAGAAAGATGAGTGAGGTTATGATGGGCATTTTAAAGCATTCTTTCTTGTGGCAATGAAGCCTACATCTATATTTGTCATCTAATTAAAACAGTTTTTGTAACTTACATAACCCTGTGATTCACATAGCCTTGAACAAGCCTTACGGAAGATATAAACTAATGATCTTTGTTTTGTTATTGTGTAGTAGTTTGGTTAGTATTTGATTTTGAAAGTCTGATTTGTTGTTTTGGGGTATTTTTATGATCTAGGCTAAGTACAAATTATCATATTGTGTCTCACTATGATTCTATATTTGACCACCTTGAAAATGATAGCTATGTTTGTTTCTTTTAAATACTGAGTTAAAGAAACCTTTTTAATATAAATTTAATTCCTGCTAAATAATAGATCAAAAATGTTTTTCAAAAACATTTGTTAATTTTGTATCCGCATTTAGTATGCTTGCTTGAATCCACTTATTTATGATGTATATAAGTAAAATTAGGTAAAATTCCAAATTTATATGTTGATGGTTTAAGTTGGTGTGTTGTATAGTGGAAATAAATATTTTTAATTACCTTTGCTTTTATTCCAAAACTGTTATTGACACACCTTATTGGTTTTTTGCGTGATTCTGGTTTCGAATTTTATAAACTGCATCTGGTCTGAGGTCCTGGGTTCAAATCTCAGGGAAACATTAAATTTTTTTAGTCAGGCAGGGTATAGAAGTCTGATCACTACTTGCCTGTAAATAAAACTGATTAGAGAAACGGACACAGATAACTTTTCGCCCCATGCCCCACGAGGGGAAACGAGATTTCACTACACTACTAGGTTTGAATTTAAAGAGAATTTACTCTATATGACACGTTTCTCTAGGAACCCAAATTATAGATGATAAAACCCTACCTGTTTTATCATCTATAATTTGTCTGTATCAAGAGTCACATTTTTCCTATAAAAGTCATGGAGAAGATACTTTTATATATCTGTTTCTTTAAAGGATACTGATAGTTAGAGAGATATTTGCCCTGCTAAAAAAAACATCATTTCGGTAGGATTCAAACACAGGACCTCTTACGCTTTTACTATTATCAATAGTCAATGCATGCTCGTAAATTTAAAAGTAATCATTTCTCCTTACATTGTTTATTTTAGTGTTTCATAACTTTTTTTTTATTTTTTTTACTCTTTTTTTATGTACGAAAAAACACTTTAACAATATAAAAAATATAAGATTACAATTCGTCTTTGACATTCAAATGATAATTTTCATTTTCTATAAAACCGAGGCTGTCCCAGAAGGCTCTGTGGCCAAAATCGGAGCTGGTCATCATTTCAATTTTATTTGATGCATCAATTTCCATGTAGTTGAGTTCGGCAGAATTTGGCTTCACCTCCAACCATTGCGGGCCATTCGGTATTTTTGGTGTTCTGAAAACATATTTACGATGAGACATCAGGTTCGAATTTCACAATTTACAATACTTTTTGTATATGTTGTCGCCACACTAGAATGAAATAATGACTAAAATCTAATAATGACTAATTACACATCTAAAAAATATATAGACATATGCATTAAGTAAATTTAAAGAACGCTCTAATGCACAGACTTCAAACTAGAAAACACTCGAGCAAATCATGAACTGAAGGCCAGAAGTATAGATAATTAAAGACAATAAAATTGAAAAATAATTTATTATTATGACTATCATTTAGCATGTATTGTATTGTGATGCATGCGGGAGGGCTGGTCTGCGCATCTCTACTATAAGGTTTTTATAATATCCTAACTTGGACTTGTAACACTGCTTTAAACAACAGTGTACTAATGTCCTATAAAGGAGATCTATACTGATATTATAAAGGCGAAAGTAACTCTGTCTGTCTGTCCGGCTTTAACTCCGAAACTACTGAACTGATTTAAATGAAATTTGGTACACAAATATTTTAAAGCCTGAGAAAGGACATAGGCTTTTAATGCCAAATAAGAGTTGATAGGGGATGAAAGTTTGTATGGAAATTCGTGGTTTGAAGCTAGAACAATGAAACTTTCTTCGTTGGCTTTTTGGGAATAGGAGTGGGAGTGGGAGTTAGAGTAGAAGTGATGTGAGGTGATAGTGTTGCGGCAAAGTAGCACTTACAACATAGATTGGCTGCCTTAAATGCGACCTTACATAAATTAATAAACAGCCTTTTAATTATTCTACCCCAAGTTACTATTCTACGCGAACGAAGTCGCGGGAACAGGTAGTCTTTAATAAATAAGATAAGTATAAAATAAATAAAATTCTGTTTTAATATTCTTTGTTCAAAATAGTGCCAAAACGCCACGTCGTAGAATGTGACAATGCGTGACGTCATACGTGGTGGTATTGGCAGTTCGCAGACGTGACGTCACAGATTCTGACTCATATAGAGAAGAAATTTATATAATTACGTAAATATTTTTTTAAATTGTATTACGTAAGATTTCAATTAGATTACTGTCAACAAAAACGGCGGTTTGAGTCGTAGCTCGCTTGTTTATTATTTATTATCTGTAATACATTACCCAGTAGCAGCGTAACTGTAGATCATATCGAGCAAGGCGTTTCTCATCTTGACATCTTCAACACTCGTTCCAATCTTGGTATCAGCAAAGTGGAAGACCGTCATGACGTCATCTGCGTGACTTACACCTGTGAGTGAAAAAATAGCTAAGGGTCATTTTTGTATGTTTTGACGAATCGGTATTCCTTACGCCTACCGACTAAATAAGTTATTTTCAATTTCTTTTCTCCTGTACTTCAGGTTGCCTGGAGATCGCTACTTAGCGATAAGGCCACCTTTTATTTATAAGTTTGTAAGTAAGAGTTACATATTTCCTCGTTAATATGTATTTTCTGTGGTGTGTTTTATAAATAGTAAATAAAAATAATTAATAAATAAACAAAGCTATACCAGACCACAGGTTGGATGGGGTGGACAAACGGGTGTGTATGTGTGATTATGTCTGAATTAAACACAAGTAATGTCGCGAGGAACAGATAGCTACATTATATCCCTCGTGGGGCTTGGGGCGAACACATTTTTGTCTCGTTCCACTGATGGGTTTTATACAGGCAAGTTATTGATCAGACTGATGTGCCCTGCCCGACCGTAACAATCTATTAGTTCCCCGGGATTCAAACGCATGACCTCTCGCACTAAACGCAATGCTAGGTAACACGTTTACTCATTCAGATACAGAGGCGGTTTTATAGTATGTTTAGTTAATGTTAATAATTTATTGTTTTGTTTAATTTTAACAGTACAGCAGTGAATTCATTCTTAAAATAATCATCAGACTTCAAATTAAACGTAGATAGTGTATCGGTCAGAATTTATCTCTTGACCTTAATTTTGTGCTAAATGTGGGTATCGATTAGTTCAATATGTTTAAAATGTGATTGGAAAATTCTGTTGTGATGCAATCATTAGATAAGGTAGGAAAACTTGAGGGGGGCGGGAAGGGAAACAGTTGAGGGGGAGTAATTCTAAAAGATTTTGTCTAAAATAAATGAAAATTTGTATTGAAAATTATTTTAGGAAGAGTTAATGAGTAGTTATGTAAAGTAATGGGAGTTATTGACAAACAAGTAGGGTACAGGTAGTGGTTAGTGGGTTAAGCTCTAGTGAGCCCTAATTCTGGAGAACTACTAAGTTTGTATTTCTTCATATTTCCAGAATCAACGCGAAGATGTCACTTTTAAAGCAAAGACTTCAACAAGTTTTGTCGGGCTCATTGGTGTGATGGTAGCAATGTACGGTTAATAATCAACGGGTCGTGGATGCGATCACCACCGGGTCCAGCAATTTATCATTTTATATTTATTCTGAAACATGTTGGACCTCGTCTGAAACGAGATTTCAATATTAAATGTTAGAATATCGAAATGCCGTCGAGGTTTCGTCGTGAGGTTTCAAAGTCGATTTCAGTCTATGGATTTCCAAATATCCAAAGTCAAAATACTATGAAGTGGGCCTATGCTTGTCTGTTCTCCTCTATCATAAAAAAAAGTAAAGAACTTCACTTACCATAATCTTGTTCTTTAGCCGCCATCAAGTGTGAAAGACTCCACTCGCTTCTGTAGGCGTAACGGTACAAGTATGTTGGTTGAGAAGTCTTAGCAGCATGGACTTGCACCATCTTGCCAACGTCCACTGCGAAGAGGCGGTCTCCCAAAGCCTGGTAAAATAGAGCATTAAAAAGTTAATTCTTTTTATTATGACTAGGTGCCGTATGAAGTATTTTGACTAAGTTGGGTTACCGTAAAAACGGTTCTAAATATACGGTTATACCAATATATAAAGCTGAAGTGTTTGTTAAACGCTAATCTCAGAAACTACTGCTTCGAATTTAAACATTATTTCTATCCCGGTTAAAACAATTATCGAGGAAGGCTATGGCCATAAAACGAACGACCGAAAGATAAATAATTTTCCCCCTTTTCACATATTTCGTCGCTTCTATTGGTCGCAGCCAGATGTTAGCCTGTAGTCTTCCTCGGTAAATGGTCGTACCAGCACAAAAAGGATTTCCAGACGAAGTCCAACATGTTTCAGATAAATTACAAACATATTGGATCCGGTTGGGATTCAACTCGCGACACAACTTGTCGCACAATTATTAGCCACTGCTACCATTAAACCAACCCATCAATTCAACAGTTATAACTCAAATAGATGAAAAGGTGCTTATTAAGAAACTTCGGCCTACGTTCGGTTTCAGTCGGGTTTTCTGGCAGCCGAAGCCGAAGTTCCTTTCCGGCTTTACAAAGGATGGTAATAGGCGCTTAATTAGGTTCCGAATAGGCCAAAACGATGTATCAGGCTTTGACTCGATTCAAAGTACGTTTGCTTGGCGAATAGCCACGCTCTTGTTGATCACAATGGGGTATAAATTCTAGTTATTTACTATTTGAGCTCAACTAAAACGAGAAAGTTCGTGAATTATGGGAATAGTACTGGTGCTGGGAACGCGAAAATGGATTTTAAACTTGATTAATTTTTCATTAAGGTATCTATTTGGAAGTATTTTAATAAAACATATTTCCGTTTGTAGTTTACGCGAGTTGTAGACATTTAAACAAATCACTTTAACCGTTTAACCGCGGTATATATTAGTTAAACTTATTTGAAAATCACGGCTGCTGCAAAGCATCCCAAACGTCGGGGCGTAGTCAAAAATAATTTTCTAATAAGTTTAATTTATGTATATCGCGTTTTGGACCGTTAAGGTGTTTTATTGAAACATATTTACCGACTTAAAATACAGTTATAATAATAATACATTTTGCGTTTTAAACCCTGAACTTTTTTAATGTCTCTACTACTACTGTCTACTCGCATTAACTACAATGCTTATTTAGAAGTACTTTTAATATGACACAGGTTGTACTAGAATCCACGAGCACAATTTTGGAACTAGTTTTCGAATCCATAACCGCTGATGAGCCAAACATTTCTACCGTACCCCGTCGATGTTATGTTAATTTTACATTACTTATAACAAAATACCTTACTGTTAAACGATGTTTCAATTAAGTTGACAAACAATTACATTTAATTGTAATCGTTATAATTGTTCGATACACGTTCCTCTATTATGTGTATGTACGTAATTAATAAAACGAATCTCATTACATCAACATACACTGTGTGTGTACATAAACATCGACTTTGAGCTATACGCAAACAATGTGACACGGAAGCAGTCTTCAAACTGTTTGTCAGTTTTTTGACTGCTTGACGCGGAAAACAAAAAATAAGACGCAAAACTTGATGGTAGGTAAAATCATGGAACGTTGTCAGTGTGGATTCGAGTCCCACCCGTCTAGCAAATTGTTTACTACTTTTTCTTCTACCTTAACGCAGTCTAAACCGTAGTCCAAGGCCGAGTTAGTATCGGACTATTGGTGGCCAAACTAAAATACGCAATAAGCAACCAAAAAAGGTCTATCTCATTCTTGAAGTCTGGCTCAATAAGAACTTCGATATCATTTTGGTTTTACTATATTTTAAAAGTAGTGCGAATGTAATTAAAAACGCTTTTAACGGTTTTAAAATATGTTAATTACTTGTGTAGATCAGACGTTTCGAATGAAATGCATAATCCCAGATCATATTTGAAAATAGGTTACGTAAAATATTTCGCGTTTTAAAGCGTTAAAAATGTTTCAATTGAATTTTACCATTTCGTAAACTGCATAGGATATAATGCTTAAGCCTTTACGTAGGTACCTGAACTAAGTCTCCGAAGGTTTCCTGACTGACTGGTTTACCAGCCAAGTACTGTTGCTTTATCTTTGCAGCAACATCGGCACGAAGCCTCATCGGCAACGTCTGGTTGTATTCGAAGATGTTGCTGGCGAGGTGCTCCCACCTGGATTCAAGGTCTTTGAGAATGCTGGGGTCTGTCTGGTAGTCTAAAAGGAATAATTGAATATATGTTAACGAGTGTGTGAACAATTTTAATGAAATTTAAAATTTCTTGGCAATGTTGTTTACATGCTATAATATAAAATCAATTTTCTACTTGAAAAGAGGTATGTTGCCTCTGTAAGTTTGTGAAAAAATAACAATTGATTACAAACATTATTATTTAAACATTATTGGACCCAGTAGGAATCAAACCCACGCATATCCACCCATAAAGAAATAGATGTAAGGACTTACATGCCGCGGGATAAAGTCCTTCTTCAGAGGTAACGGACCCAATAAGTGGGACATTATTAATAGAGCCCGACATAGCTGCGTGATAAGGATATTGGGTCAAGAACGGGAACTTAGATCCACTTGGCTCCACAGTGGGGGTGAATGGTGTGAACATGTGGACTTTCCAATCCTGAAAAAATTAAATGAATACTATGATATAAGGCCGCTAGAGGCAGAGTAGCCTAACTGCAATTTTATGACTTGAGTTATTTATATTTTTATAGTCTAAAATGTTAATCTTCAAGAGCACAGTGACCAAAAACTGTTAACATAATTCTTACACAAATAATAGTGTCTATAGTTTACGCGAGTAGTACACATTTAAATAAAACACTTTAACTTCGGCCCGACGTTTCGGATGCTTTGCAGCAGCCGTGGTCACGGGGAGACACGGCTGCTACAAAGCATCCGAAACGTCGGGCCGAAGTTAAAAATCATTTTCAAATAAGTTTAACTAATATATCGCGTTTTAAACCGTTAAAATGTTTTATTTAAACAAATAATAGTACAAATTCATTTTTTTTAAAGAAAATCGTGCTTTTTTTATAATAGAAGAGGACATGGCGTTCCCTTGATGATAGGTATCAGCCTATAGCACCTAAACAAGATGCCCTGTCGACCTATGATGTCTTTGGATAAAATGTTTTTGTTATTAGACAACTCTTGCTTTAGCAGCCTCATATATAAAGAATATAAAGTAAGTTATCCCCTCGTAGATATTAATATTGTTCTTTTATCGGTGTTGGTACAAAGTAATAATGAAACAATTTAAACAAAATTAGCATACCAAGTGTCGTGCAAAAGCAATAATATTTAATTAAAGCAGTAATTTTCTCTTCAGACACAAGACAAAGTATTTTAAATAATAATAATTATTAGATCAGTTGCGGAAATGAAGAGAAACTTGTATAAATATCAATGTTTAATGTACAAAACAAATTAAATGTGGATCTAGCTATATGGTTTTTAAATATGTACGTACAGTGTGTGCTACGTACGTTAACTTGTATCTTTCAAGTGTCCTTTAGATATACGTTTAAGATTTTAAAAGATGAGATATGTGTTTCTTGAGAAAATAATTGATTTATGTATTTACATGAGATATCGACGCCGATTAGTTTGAGTAACATCCCGATGTTAGGCGTAATTGTCAAATTTAACAAACGTTTACTAACTATTAATTAGGTAAGTTTTATGTATGTCGAGACTTACACGAGTATAACCTGTTATTGAGGTAAATTATTTTATAATTGAAGGAATAAACTATTTATCACTTATAAGTTACGTTATTCAGTTATTCATATTAATGACTTTTTACATGTTTGTACTGTTCGGTGTGTCAATAAAATAAATTTAAGCACATAACAATAAAAAAGGTACTGGCAGCATACAAGAGACCTTGAATATAACTTATATTAAGTTACTATATATATATAAAAGTAATATAGTATATGTTGGTAAATAAATTGTTCTTTACAATATTCATTTATTGTCCTATCGAACACAAACATTACAATTGACATTGTTAACTCCCCCGCGTCTAAAGAATTTTCAATCAATTTTTGTATCCTAGCGCAAATTACAAAAGTGTAAACCTCGCTGAAGAAGTTTGCACTTTAAAAATTACACGAATAGAACTCGAACTTACGACTATTGTCGCTTTATACTGGTTATAACGTGTGTATTTAACTATAGCACCACGACCCGTCGATTATAAGCCATGCATCGCTGCTTTCGACCTTCGAGCCCGTCCAAGTATTACAAGTATATCAATCAATCCAAAAAACAATAAGTCCAAAGCTAAAAAATACCTGTGTTTACGATAAACAGGGTGTCATACTAAATAGCTACCTTATTGAATATTGATTAATCTCGAAAATAGCTTTGATTTGTGTACTGTCAATATTCCGTCGAGCTTTGAATTGTTTCTGGAGTTATTTACGATGTTGAATGGCTTTCAGATAACTATTTCGTAAATAACAGAGCCCGTTGTACAAACATACTTATTATATAACTTAATTCTAAGTTTAAAGTAAAATATTTCCTATACGAGGCCGCTAGAGGCAAAGTGGCCTAAATGCAATTTTACAACTTGACTTATTAATATTTATTTATATTTAAATGCTACCATTCCATCAGTATTTTCTTAAGACGTTGTCACGTTCAACTATCGTCAGTAAACCGACTTTACAGACAACCAATTCTTTTACGAGGTTAATAAATTTATTGCAATTGATGACGCAGACGTTTAATAATTTGTAAAAAAAAAAAGTTTCAGTACTTACAAACATCTCAATCTGAGCATTAACGATCACCTCCGCTGGGCGGTACCTAAGACATTCCACCATCTCCTTGTTGTTATGAGTGGGACAGCCGACAATAGAAGATAGAGCCTTCGCCTTTTCAGCAGGTTTTCGGGCTATGGCCCACGACATAAATGCGGAGCCACTGAACGCTATTCCACGGTTGAATTTACCTGAAATAAAATAGATGAGTTGGGTGTTCGATTTCCGGTTGTGCACAAAATGTTTTTTCTTAAAGATAAGGAGTGATGCCATTGTAGTCGTGTTGAATATGTGAAAATAAAAAATAAGTTATATTGCATAAATAAAAATAGATTTTAGACTGAAAAACATTTACGTCTCGAGCAGGACTTGAACTGGCATCCACAGAGTACCGTGATGTTGCTCTTACCAATTTAGCTGCCGTGTCTTGTCGAAAAAATCACTATAATACTACTATATTAACGCTGTGGATGTGTGCGGTTCAAGTCCTGCCCGTATCATGAAATTATGCAGTCTAAAATCGATTCTTAATTAATATAATGCCATCATGTGCAATATGTGACGAATATTAATGTTTTCAGAGGTATTGTATAACTAAATGGCTATTGTTATTTCACTTGTTAAAGTTATGTACAAGTTATGCCAACAAAATATTATGGCAAGACCTATGTAAGCGATTAGTATGTTTATACTTCTGATATCAATATTCAATAGCAACATATTAAGTCTGCTTATATATCTGCGTATATAGTATCTTAGAAGCAACAATCACAATTGATACATAACAATTACATCGAAGTTTGTAGACCCCAAGATTCTATTATCAAACCTATGATAACAAGAAACAATATAAACATCTTTAGTCTCTGTTTGTATTTACTCTATACAATCTGAAGTTTAGCTGGTGTATCATAATACTAGCTGTGCCAGCGACTTCGTCCGCAAGAATCGTTATTTTGGGCATACGAATTAGTTTTTACAAAACCCACGACGTCGGTGGGAACGGGGGCGAAGGGACGTGTCCCTTCCCGTCATTCTTTCAAGGTAATCTTGAAAGATAGACATATAGCTGGGAGGACTTTTTTTAGATCATTTAAAGAGGAATTATTCTTTCATACACGTTTTTTGGTTATCTTGAACCGTTTTCGCAGGGAAATTGAAACCCACAGAGATGAAAAATGTCCCCCGTTTTGTTCACAGTTCACGCTGTATCTTCACTTCTAGTAGTCACAGCGATGTTTTATGGCCTATAGCCTTCATCGATAAATGTTCTAACCAACACAAAAATAATTTTTCAATTCGAACCCGTAGTTCCTGAGATTAGCGCGTTCAAACAAACAAACAAACTCTTCAGCTTTATATACTAGTATAGATTATAGATATAAGTTATAGAACAAGGATTGTTAGAAGAAAACTTTACTCAAATACTGTTTTATTGAATTTTGCACAACTAGTCATCATCTCTCTCTCTCTCTCACCTCTAGACATAGGAGACAAATACTGATAGTGCACACTAGCGCCGCCTGCGGAGCAACCAGTAAGCGTTACGCTGTCAGGATCGCCTCCAAACATCATAATGTTGTTCTTTACCCATTCCAGAGCGAACGATTGGTCCTTCAAGCCGGCGTTACCTGGTGCAACTTCATCGCCAGTGCTTAGGAATCCTATTATAAAATGAATGTAATTTAGGTTTCTTAGAACGCTGGTTTCATATTATACATTATTTATAGATACTGAAGACAACCTCTATTTGTATAATATAAAAAAAATATATATTTTTATAAATATTATACAATTATATTTATTGTAATATAAAAACTATATAATAAAATATAAATAAGACATACAATTTCTATTTTTACCTTATATACCTTAGGAAACATTAATTATTTTATTTTCAAGTAGGTATATTGGTAATTAAATACAAGTAGTTTTAGATTAAATTATAGAAGATCAATTGGAACGAGTAAGTGAGTTAGGGATGTAATTTTTACAGACACTTACCAAGTGGGCCCAATCTATAATTGATAGTGACGACCACAACGTCTCTGTCCATAAGGTTCTCGGGGCCGTAAAGTTTGCCCCCACCATACATGAACGCCCCCCCATGTATGAACACGATGACTGGTAAGTTAGCACCAGCGCTAGCCTTAGGCGTGAATACGTTAAGGAAAAGGCAGTTCTCGTCACCTGAAACAAAATATAACTTTTTGGTTACTTAAATAAAGATTATTACACGTTTAAACTACTTTAACGGTTTAAAGCGCGAAATATTTTAATTAAACTAAGTCGGATGCAAAACGTAAGAATTCGAAACGTCGGGCCGTAAAAAAAAAAATTTTTAAAAGTTTAACTAATTAATATAAATATTACGCGTTTTAAACCGTTAAGTGTTTTATTTAAATGTGTACAACGGCTTGAATTTTGTTTTCTACCGGTCTCTTGTTATATGTGAAAAATGGGTTATTGGAATATTGTAATTCCTTTTACCGATAAAAGCTGTGAAAAGTCAATCTCATGTTCCGATTTCAGTCTGTTGGTTTCTGAATATTCAATGCCAAAATTGGTCAATAGCGCTTCCTGTTTAGATATTATGTGGGTGGAGTAAATAACATCTCCATCAAGTGATAATTTTAACATAGGATAATTTTCATAGATTGCGTACATCAGGTATTTAAAAAAATGATCTACCCGAGCTATATCGCTTTGGAAACTATGCTACGCGTACTCTTCAATCTTTTGAATCTCTGAGCCTTTGTTTTGCTATACTATATACCTTACTCAGAATCAAACCCACAACTAACAGATAAATTAGTATAAGATCGACTCGCGACTGATCGCATTAATATGTAAATTCATAGAAGTCAAGGTAATTTTTACATAAAGTTAAATCAAGATAAGTTATTATTTTCACGAAAAATGCCTAAATAAGAATGTCTAAGACCTCCTAATAACTAGTAAATACTTGATATAGCGATGATTGAAGACTAATGTTTTATTGCAAAACCAAGCGTAGGTAATTGTTATACAAAATGAATAACTTTAAATACCAAACCCTGACGGTTTCCACTATCTTTATTTATAGGTTTTAATAGCATTGTTAGTGGAAACAAATTATTACTAATAGAGAATGAATAATAAACAATTAAAGACTGCGTAATTTCGTTTCTCTTCATTAAGGCTATTTACATAGCAATTTACTTTATTCAAATACAAATAATTGGGGTGGGAACCATAGATTTTTACTGTGTTGCGAATCTTGTAAACCTTTAACGAAATAAAAAAGTACTGTCTGTAATTTACGCAAGTAGTACACATTTAAATAAAAAGGTTTTATGGTTTAAAAATGTGAAATGTATTAAAGTTATTTTAACTTTTTTTACTACTATTTTACCTTATATTTAACTTTTTGGTTCGACGTTTCGGATGCTTTGCATACCGTGGCCCCGGGGAAATTAAAGTTGGAGGGTGTCCCTAATGTCAAATACAAAATAATCTGCTACACTATTAGGTATTCAATACCAAGATTGACAGAAACACTAGGTTGGGAATTAAAGAGGTAAAGTTAAACCACAAAAACTTAATTTGATGAGTTTCCATTGATTGAGCCATACATTGTAAAAGAAACTGCACTTATTTCTCCGTGAATCCTTACCAATAATTTGTTTCAGGAACGGCTCATACTGCAAGCAGTCGGAGAGCGGACGTGTGGCGTCCCAGGTACCAGTCCATGGCTTCAATTGTTGTGGTTCCTGTTGGAGAGGTACTAGAGTTATCATTCACGAATTTTAATATAAGCAGGATAAGCTACCATTCAGTTGTGACGTGTCTTGAACAGCTCAGTAATTTTTAATGATAGTGGACAGAGAAGCATAGGGTTCGCTTGATGGTAGGTGAAGTACCTACTTTGTGGACCTATTTTGGATTTGGATATTCGGAAAGCGACACACTGAAACCGAAATGCGATTTGACTTCATGGCTCCTTATGTGGACGGTGGTTCGTGTATTTCGATATTCCTAACACCCATTCAATATCTATTTAATATTTCAAGACATTCAACGTGTTTCAGAAAAATTATAAATTGATTCGAGATGTGTTGGACGATTGTTGATATAGCCATATATACCATGCCACCAACAATCCCGTGCGCGGCGGGGTAATGTCAATTACTTGCTGAAAACTATTGTTTGATTCTCTATCTATAATGTAATGTAATGTCTATAATTAGGAATACACCCACAAAAACCTTACTACTAGGTACATTCACGAGACATAAATAACTTCAATATTAGCTTAATAACTACATTAAAAAAAGGAAAGCACTCGGCATGTTCTTCACCACCTAGAGTAGAGGAGAAGCGCCGGTTTTCAGCACCTCCCCGGGGAGAAAGAGTGACCAACAACTACAAACTGTTTAGTGAACTAAACTCAACTTTGAAATGTTTTTTGTTGTGTTATTTATTTATTTATTATTGCTTTATTATTTATAAAACACACCACAGAAAATACATATAATTAAGGAAAAATCTGACATGCTAACTTATAAATAAAAGGCGGCCTTATCGCTAAGTAGCGATATCTTCCAGGCAACCTGAAGTACAGGAGAAAAGAAATATAAAATAATTTATTTCGTGGGTAGGTGTGCGGAATAACAACTAATATTAAAGGTACATAGTGAAAGTACACACAACGAGTAGGAGAGAAACTAACTTAAATATTGGAAACGTAAAACTTATACAGCAAACTCTTAAAAGAATGGAGTGATTGAGCTTTTCTGATATTAGTTATTTGTTATATTATATTATATTTGTTACTATTTGATATCTTTGTATTTTACAATTTATTGCATTTTCTCGCTCTTTCTCGTTGACATTTACTCATTTATTGTTATTTTGTTTTTCTTTTTTTTATACAAAGGTTGCCTGGAAGAAATCGTCATAGGCGATAAGGCCACCTTTGCACTAACTCTTTTATGTAAATAATTAATTTAATTTTACTATATTTGTTTGTGCTAATATATCTCTGTCTGTTAATTAATAAATAATAATAAAGTGTTTTATTATTATTTATTAATTAACAGACATACACATATTTTTTTTGCAAAGGTAGATAATTATAAAGTAAATATTTAAATTGCTCAAACCGACAGCGACAGCAAACTTTAGACAAAATTTTGTTAAATAACATATCTATCTGTAAGTGTAATGTTTTTAAAATCAGTATTCTTTATCTCAAAATGCATAAAAATTTTACAAACAACATCCGTAGACATATCGCTATTTATCTCAGTTTGGTAAAACAAAAATGTGTTTTAATATAAACATTAGTGTTTGTTCTTTATTATCTAAATGCAAATTAATTAAGCAATCTTATTGTATTTTATTTAAATATTCTGATATGGACTAACAAGATAACCAGTAAAAACTTTCATTAAATTATAGATTTCTACGTTACTTATTCTTTGAAATGGAAAATACAAAAACAGGCACAATTTATCAAATTTCCATGAAAATCAAACGACAAACACGAAGTACAATAATTATAAATCAACAATTAATTCCAATTAAAGCTTTAATTGGTGTAAAATTTGTATTTAAGTTATATCAACAAGGGAAAATGTTAATTTGGGTAAAGTATAGGAGATGGCATTGGTTTATTATCGACGGTAGTTTAATATTGTTTGAATATATTCTGTCACGACATACAAGAGGTTTTCTTCAGAATGTATAAAAGATAATTTGATTCGAAGGTATTTAAACAAAAGATGATTTTTTTATCGAACAGATTTTTATTCACATATATGAATATTGAAATACCTACATATTAAATAATTCAGTACAGTTCTACTGTCTGTAGATCTTACAAACACTTTAAAACGAGAAATATCTCAGTTAACTTTTTTTTATTTATTTTAACTACGGCTCGACGGTTTGCATGCATGGTCACGAGGTTTTTTTTAAATAACTAACATATTTCATGTTTTAAAACTGAAAAATACTTGATACAAAGGCTTTTATTGTAAACTACTTGAAATATTGAGAATTAGAGCAATTACACTGTTTTTTACTTTGTCAAATATTTAAAAATCGAAAATAAATTAAAAAAATTTTCGACTCGGGCAGGACTTGAACCGGCATCGTCAGCTTTTCGTGCTGTTGCTCTGTCAAACATTATTTAACTTTAAAAGTAAAGCATAATTGAATTTTAAACATGTTTTGTGTTCTTCAGCTCTTAGACTACGTAACGAGTTCTGATGATCGATGTTAACTAATTGGAAGGTACACAGTTGTTAATTATACAGTTGAAATGTCAAAACAATCCCTTGTTCAATATCAAATGTCCATTTATGAGTATTTGACGCTACCCAACATATTATACACATAATATTAAATTGGTCCGTTTGTATGTAAGTTTAAAAAAAGTTGAAAAATTAAATTAAGTTTAATGAGCCATGCAGTATTTTCGTAATCGATTTTGTCTCCAGGGAAGTATGTGAATTCTGTGCCCTGCCTGACCGATTACATTTCGTATTAGGAAAACTTAGAATTAGAATATTTTGTGTCTAACATTTAGGCAACTAAGTGACTCTAAGTTTTCTCAGAATTCAAACTCACTTCCTTTTGTTTGTTAAGATATAAATATTTAAATAAAACACTTTAACGGTTTAAAACGCGATATATTAGTTAAACTTATTTGAAAATGATTTCTCCCCGTGACCACGGCTGCTGCAAGGCCCGTTTCGGATACGTCGGGCCGAAGTTAAAATCATTTTCAAATAACTTTAACTAATATATCGCGTTTTAAACCGTTAAAGTGTTTTATTTAAATGTGTACTACTCGCGTAAACTATAGACAGTATTTAAGATATAAATAGAAAACAGTACGAATACATACATCGCAGTTATTTTTACCAGCGTTTTAAACTAGCTTCATAGCGGGAGACATACACAATTAACTTTATAACTTACAGTAATTAATTTTAATCTTATGTTGCTTCTATTAAGTATTACATACTTTTATACTATAGATTAAAGTTTTCAATTTAGACATTCTTATAATTTGCTTATAAAGCATTAAAATAAAAAAAATGCGTCAAAATCTTTCTATACAACCAAATTAAATGAATATTTTAAATAACGTAATTATAATTACATTACGTATTAAATGTAATGTATAATTTTAATACCTAACCATAGATTGAAAATCGATTTTTTAATAGTGCCATCATGTGCAATAACATGTAAAAAATATTAAAGTTTTCAAATCTACATATACCAAAACTAAAGCATATCATATAATAATATGTATGTAGCATATTTTCCCTATCCCGCATAATACGCTTTCTCGCTTAAGATATTTTTAGATCATTTATACAGAATTATTAGTTACTTGAACCGTTTTCGTAGCGCACGCAACTGAAGCCCTCAAATTTTCCTCGCTTTTTTTCAAGTTTCCGCCGCTTTTTCGATCTTATTCGTAACAGCTTGATGTTATATAGCCTAAATAAAGATTTCCTCGATAGTTGGTATATGCCATAATATTTCTATCAATTCGAATCAAAGAAAATTACGATATAAATAGCAAAAAATCAACTTACCCTAAACCGATATTTTCCTACCGGTGGGCGAGCGTAAGGTACCCCCTGAAAACTAGCATATGTTCTTCCATTCGTTGACTCCTTCCACGAACCCTGAACTAAGCCGTGGTGCACGCGAACGATTGGATTGGGTCCTTGGCCTACGACATAAGATATTACAGCAAACAAAATCAAATATGACACCGCCATCTTGACGTGCGCCTGCGTTGAAATGCCGCGCGCAACTGAACGACGCTTTAACTTTTTATATCGGGGAAGAATTATCATACAATTTTAAACACTACTTTGTTAGAGATGGGATTAATTTATTTATTTTGTCTTATCATATTATGTCTTTGCTCTCATTAACGATTTGTCAACTTTTCTCGAAATTAGAACACATGCATGGATACGAGAGGTATCCATTTAGCCATTGAGTCATAGATACAAAACAAGTATAGCTAGATATTGTGTGGGGAATAAATACATTCTATTTTTTTATTTATATATAAACAAATTATTTATTTCAAATTAGGTTCGAGTCACGAGTTTAAATAGATATTAAGATGGTTATTATTGTCGGTTATTGTTATAATAAGTTGTAAGTTATTATTTATTTTTAATAGTAAGTAGGAAAAGTAAAGGAAGGAAGTAACTGAAAATGGACGTTGCAGTTACTCATTTCACTATTTTTTTATTTATGTTTATTTAAGCTGTTTTTATATTATGTACCTACACAACGAGAGAAATCTTTTTTTATTTCGATTTAATTATTTTTTTCATGCCGCTACTTACCTTAAACTAAAACCGATTTTTTTATGATAGGGGAAGACAGAAAAGCCCGGTGTTCACTCGATGAAAGGTGAAATGCAATAAACAAGATGTGTTATAGACCTATGTTGCCTTTGCAGATTAGATAATTCACAGATTGAAACCGAAACGCGATTGATCTTCACGGCTTGCTCATCTGTTACCTACATATTGTGACGGCTGTCCGTGCCCCGAACGGAGTTGGGTTATTTTTACAATCCGTTTAATTAAATATTCAAATTTTCCAGCTAATATCCTATGTGTTCCAATCGATTAGAAACTTAAATAAAACACTTTAACGGTTTAAAACGCGATATATTTCAGGTAAACTTGTTTGAGACGCGGGGAGACCACGGCTGCTGCAAAGCATCCGAAACGTCGAGCCTTAGTTGAAAATAATACTCAAACAAGTTTAACTAAAATATATCGCGTTTTAAGCCGTTGAAATGTTTTATTTAAATGTGTACTACTCGCGTAAATTACAGACAGTATTTGAGTAGAAACTCGTTGGACTTGGTGGGAATCGAACGTACACTCGTTGATTTTTAGCAATACGTTGCTATCATTAGGTACATCAAATAATAAAAACGTATTACCGCGGTATTAATATAACTGTATGTGGGTCGAATTTATCTTATTTTTAAGCGGCGACCAGAATGACAAAAGGAAAACAGTGTCTTTGCTCGTATTTAACCACAATTGTGAAATTCCATTTTAGGAGTTTCAAGTGGAAAGTTGGCAAACTTTTGGAGTTTTAAAGCCTTTTACAAAATCTTCATAAAGAGGTAAGCCATAAGAATTCAGTGCCTTACAACAACTTAAGTAGAAATGTAATGAATAAAATGAAAACAATAAAGTTTCATGTTTATTTTTAATAATTGTTGTTTAAATACACGAAATCGCTTCTCCGTCGTTCTTCTATTGTTTTTTTTAAGGACGACGCCTGAAAGATTCTGATTGTGATTTTTAACCGGTCGTGGGTTAAATTTTTCAGTTATGTTATAGAACACTTTTGAAAAATCTAGAGAGTAAATCGGAAATAGAAAATTTACGTAATTTACGTATTGTACGACATATGAAAAAGCCGAAAAGTGTAAATAAATTTTCAGATTAACCGTAAACATAATCAAATTCGGTCTGTTTACGCGAGTAGTACACATTTAAATAAAACACTTTTCGGTTTAAAACGCTATATATTTGAGTTAAATTTGTTCGAGACACGGGGAGGACACCGTTGCTGCAATGCATCCGAAACGTCGGGCCGTAGTTAAAATAATTCCCAAATAAATGTAACTAATATGTTCGTATCTAACGCGTTTGATACCGTCAAAGTGTTTTATATTAAATGTAAACATAATTGATAAGTTACAGGCATAGAGATATGTCCACCTTCAGTTCCACGTACAAGTAATATTCCATTACTTGTATATAGTAGGTATAAAATGGTATTTATTTTATTACTCGGATCCTAAGTAGTTTATTTATAGTTACGACAGTCAGCTATTACGGTTTTGCAATTTGATCTAATTGGTATTTAGTCTTTGAGCTACTTTTAATATAGTATTCTCCTCTGGTTTAAAACATTGCGACTTCATAAACTCTCTATTTGTTTAAGTAAAAAATACAAAGAAATAAATGATAGTGAAATCCCAGGCGGTGTTAACTCACATTGGCTGGGATTTTATCTTTCACCAATTAAAGTAAAAATTTGAGATGCGCCGAGTAACACATTCGCCGAGTAACGAGTACCGAGTTTTACCCGGCCGAGTAACTCGGTTACATCAAAGTCCCATTGCGCGCGTAAACGGTTCTAGACGCATCTCGTTCTCATCTTCTCGTAACATTGTCTCATTACTGATTTTGGAAGATTACATAAATTACTAATAAATACTTTCGGACTAACACTGTTCTTTAAACTATATATATTGATTTTTTTTAACAAAGTATACTCGTTATCAAACAACAAAGTACTCGTATAACCGAGTTATTCGGCTGAGTACGAGTATCAAAAAACCCGCCGAGTACATAGAGTACCAAGTATCAACCTCGTACTTGGCCCATCTCTAGAAAAAATAAAGGTACCTCCATATTCAAATTTTAAATAATAAAACCTCAATTTTAACGGTTCAACACATTGTTTTTGTTTGTTCTAGCTCTAGTTCCCTTTTAAGTTTATTCTTTCTACATTCACAAATGAAAATTGTTTTCCGAATTTACAAAATCTGAGAGCTCTAAAATAAAAAAATATGTGTGTCTAAAAATTGCAAGAAGCTGAAGACTGTTTGGTGGTATACTATTATATTTTAGTTCGTTGAGTATAATTTAATATTTTAATTATGTTTGTGGGAGAATCGGGTTATTTAGAATATAGATCACATAATTTGTGATTAATTTATACTAATATATAAAGCTGAAAGGTTTGTTGTATTATCTGTTTGCACGCTCTAATCTCAGGAACTACTGGTGGGAATTGAAAAAATATTTTTGTGTCAGTTAGAGCATTTATCGAGGAAGCCTATATAGGCTATAAAAAATCTGCTGTTGTTGTTGCGTTGTGAGCAATAGGTACGAAGAAAGAGCGGGAAATATGGCGATAATGGAAAAATTTATTCATCTTTGTTAAGGCATACCAAAAACATGTATTCCTCTTTAAATTAAAAAAAGGTCCACGACATTATATGTCTATCTTTTAAGATTAACTTGCAAGAACAACGGGAAGCGACCGCCGTCGTGGGGTATATATAAGTTAAATCTATAAAGATATGCGTATAATAATTATTATACGCAGACGAAGTCGCTGGCACAACATGAGCATCTTGTCTACGAGGTAGTCTGTAGTCTGGAAGAACTAAAAAAAAGTAAATAAAGCTAGTATTATTTACTTTTTTTGTTCAAGCTAGTGATAATGCGTCACCTAAAGGTATTTTTAGGCGACGCATTATTTTGCATTTTTTTTTATCAGGCGCATTAATTTGTTTAGTTGATCGGTAGAGGACACCGCAACCTCATTATTTACTTAACCTAATATTCGAGAACAATGTAATTACAGTTTATATAATTTATTTTTCTGAAAAAAAAAGTAACATAAATAATATTAGAACAATAATCATAAATAAATAATATTAGATACTGTCTATAGTTTACGCGAATAGTACACATTTAAATAAAACACTTTAACGGTTTGAAACGCGATATATTAGTTAAACTTATTTGAAAATGAATTTTCTCCCCCCGGGGGGTCTCCCCGTGACCACGGCTGCTGCAAAGCATCCGAAACGTCGGGCCGAAGTTAAAAATAATTTTTAAATAAGTTTAACTAATATATCGCGTTTTAAACCGTTAAAGTGTTTTATTTAAACATAAATTGCTACCATTACGCGAATGAATCCGTCTATACTAAAATAAAGCATCCCTTTATTCGGTTCTAAATAAAGATTCAATAAATATGTTTATGACAGAAGCCTCCGTTCGTCTTCATTAAAGCCGAGGCTTTCCCAAAACGATCTGTTCCCGAAATTGGGGGGCAAATGGTCCATTTTCATATCGAACGGAGATGAGATATCGAGTTTTTGTAGGTTGTTTGGAGTTATCGACTCCCACGTGACTGAGTTGTTGAGAAGCGATGGTATTCTGTAAAATTAAATAAAGTCATTTAAAATAAGGTGAGACATATATCTGTGTCTGTTTTGTTGATAAATTTTATTTACAGGCTCAGTTTAATAGACAGTTAAGCAACTGGCGACCATTCACCATTTGGCATGGTGAAAATTAAAATAATTTTTCACATTGTGTATTAAAAAAAATTAAAACAAAGATATAAAAAACGGTTTTAAATGCAAATAGATTAGTTAACATATTTACGATTTGTTAACTACGGCTCGACGTTTCGTATGCTGTGCAGCATTCGTGGACACGGTGTGGGTCGTATTGTAAAGTTGACTAATACATTTCGCGTTTTAAACCGTTAAAAATGTTTTATATAAATATTTACTTCTCAGAAACAATTAGCTATGCCGGGACTCGAACCCATGGCTAATACCAAATCGTTATGCTAAATACTCTTCTTAATTTAGTATAAGTACTTTAATATGTATATTGAAATATATAGCCTAATCAAATTTTTCAACAGCAAAATTTCATCAAAATCGGTCTTCCCGTTTGAAGGTATTGGCAGCATTAATAATGTAAACAAAAAATTAAAGCTTAGAAACTTACCCAAAAGTAGAAAACGAATAAACTATATATGTGAGGAATTTCGTCATGGATGTGTCTTCGTACCGTGTGAAGTCAAAGCCTGGTAGATTGAATACGTGGAAGAGATCATCGCAGTGGCTGGTACCTGCGATCAAAATGCCAATCTATACTAATATATAAAGCTGAAGAGTTTGTTTGTTTGTTTGAACGCGCTAAACTCAGAAACTACTGGTTCGAATTGAAAAAATATTTTCGTGTTGGTTAGAGCATTTATCGAGGAAGGCAGCGATATAGGCGCAATGTTTCATAGCCTAACTATTTCTTTAATATTAGTGTGTAATTAGTGCTCAGATTCTTAGCACATTATTTTTAACAATAAATATCTTAAAAAGTCGATTTATAAGGTAGTTTTTTTTTAGAAGCTGGTGTCAAAGGATACTGAACTTTAAAACCTAAGGTCCAAGCTATAATAATCTGTGGCTGTCCAGAACAGGGGGAATTTAGACAATCTGGCGCAAGCAAGGAAGAACTGTTTTTACTTTGATCACATATAAAGAATTGATTTCTCTTACCGTAGTCTTCATCATGCCTCCCCATCATGTTTGAAAGGCTCTTCTCACCGTGGAAGCTATATCTGTACATGTATACGTTCTTTGAGCTTTTAGTGCAAAATAGCTTAGTTGACTTATCCACGTCCATGAAGAAGTTACGGTCACTGAGGGCCTGAAATGAAATGGTGTATTTAATTGTGTACTACTCGCGTAAACTACAGGCAGAATAAAATTAACGAATAAAATTTACGACAAGGCGGCACTCCTAAGTTAAGTTAGAGCACGGAATCCTGTGGATGCCGGTTCAAATCCCGCCCGTGTATTAATTTTATGAAACCTAAATTGATTGTTAAGTTATATAATACCATTATTTGCAATAATATGTGAAAAATATTAAAGTTTATATTATGTGTTAAAATATTAAATGATACGATTGTTTTTTTTTAATTTAAACTAAATTGAAACTCAACTAGGCGTTACTAATAATTTAGTTTTTTTCTCATAGTAACTGGGGCATACCTATTAGTTTTTTATACGCCCATTTGTCACGAGTATATGAAAAAGGCCGGATTGACAATATTACTTAAGTAGTGGAATAATTTTTTTTTTTATTTTTTTTATCCGAATCTACAAGACCGTCATCCGTCCTATTCTACTGTACGGATGCGAGACATGGACGTTGACGCTTAAGGAAGAGGAAAAGTTACTGGTGGCCGAAAGGAGGATTTTGCGGAAGATTCTTGGCCCGACACAAAGGGAGGATGGAAGCTGGAGAATCAGGAAAAACGAGGAGATCGAAAACCTCGTAAACGAACCCAATATAATGGGGGAAGCTAAATCCCAAAAACTCCGCTGGGCTGGCCATTTGGAGAGAATGGGAGATGATCGGAGTGTCAAGAAAGCGTATATCGGAATTCCAACTGGCCGCCGACCTGTCGGCCGGCCAAGATATCGCTGGAAGGACGCCGTGGAGAAGGACCTGCGCGAGCTCGGTGTAGCCGAATGGCGAACAGCCGCACAGGATCGGCAAAAATGGCGCTCTTTAGTTTCGGAGGCCAAGACTCACTTTGGGTCGCTGCGCCAGCGGAGTAAGTGAGTAAGTAAGTGGAATAATTTAATATGTATTCACTCGTTTCTACGATATATGCCCAAGAATTCAAGGTAAACACACTCGTATTAAATTCGGGAACGTTTTTCGACTAATAGGCTGATCTTTAAAGTAGAATTTCTTGATTTTAGCAGCCACTTCGGGTCTCCGTTCCTCAGGTAGGGTGTCTTGGTAGTTGAAGATGCTAGCAGCCAGTTCAGACCAATTTTCTTCTAAATCTGTCAGCAGCGATGGATCGGACAGGAAAACTGTAAGTTAAAAAAAGCTTCAAGTTAACCGTCTCATTTCTTACTCAAATATAGTTTGTTTTGCATCAAGAAAGGATCTTTTCACCACTAACGCCATCTAGCGTAACTAAAGAGAACTTTGTATTAAAATCGCTAGGATCTATACATAATCGGATGCAGTGGTTGCTGAAGTCAGAAGCTTATATTTGAAGACACCGCCGCATGAAGTTAATCAAAACAAAATTGAACGCGTGCTTGTAACGGTGTGCCGATAAACATGAAATAAAAAAAATGTCAATAAAAAAAAAGCAGAATTCGCAAGCGTAGTGTTGTGTGTACGGATGCTGGATGCTGTTGTTGAATCCCTGGTCAAAATTGACATTGTCTCGTGTTATGTGCTAACAAGGGAAACTACTACTAGTGTCGTTTGAAACGGTATTTTCCTAATATCTATATATGTTTAAATAAAACACTTTAACGGTTTAAAACGCGATATATTAGTTAAACTAATTTGAAAATGATTTTTAACTTCGGCCCGACGTTTCAGGACGTCAGGACCCAACTTCGACGGAACAGATAGCGCTAGTGTAACAATTTTTTACTTTGACGTCAGAGACATCCTCCATCTTTAGTCTCCCCGTGACCACGGCTGCTGCAAAGCATCCAAAACGTCGGGCCGAAGTTAAAAATCATTTTCAAATAAGTTTAACTAATATATCGCGTTTTAAACCGTTAAAGTGTTTTATTTAAATGTGTACTACTCGCGTAAACTATAGACAGTATTTAACTATATATGTAATATTATTTTGTTGGACACAATGTAATTTATTTTTTCCCTCGCTAAGACATAAACAATTCCAGAACCAATTCAATAAAATCCCTTTCGTTTTTTCATAGCTCAGTCTAATAAATATGTGGCTGGTGCTTAGATAGATGGTTATTATATAAACCGTACATGCTCCAGGATAAAGACCCTCTTCCGAAGTAATAGAGATGATTAACGGGGTCTTCATGAACCGTCCCGCGTCAGTAGCGTCGTATGGGTGGCGGGTTATGAAGGCTTTCGACGTTGGTGGTTCAACTACCGGTTTGAATGGAGTGAATAGAGCACCGCTCCAACCCTGAAACAAAACATAAATGAATTAGTACTACAAAAAGCGGAAGAGTTTGTCTCTTTGTTTGTTTAACCGCGCTACTCTCAGTTACTTTTTGTTCGAATTGAACAATATTTTTGTCTTAAATAAAACATAGGTCAAGATGCTGTTTTTAAAAATAAATGTTCACGTCCACAATAACTGTTCTACGCGGGCAAAGTCACGGACACAGCACAGTAATAAAAAAAAACTATTAAATATAACCGTGTGTACTTCACGCCCCGGCTACTGCAAAACGTTGGGTCGTAGTCAAAATGAATTGTAATTAAGTTTACTAATATATTTTGCGCTTTAAAAATATGTACTACTCAGTACGTAAATAGACAGTACTTAAAACTGCTAAGTTCGGCCATTTCATTAATTAAAATAAACGATATAAGTAAAATTACGGTCGGTTTATAATTGTCTTTGTTCGACGCCATTAAACGTGGAAGAAATAAGTGGGATTAAAAAATGGGTTTGTTTAATTATCTAGAACAAATAACGTATTAATTAACGGAAATGAGCATTCGTAGTTTAGTGTACTTATTATTAAAAAATATATATTTGACGGTTCCGCCGGTCTAATGATACCGATGTATGCGACGTGCTTCTTTATAGTTTATAACTTGTCTGTAACGTGTTTCTTTATAATTTATAACCTGTCTGTAACGTGATGGACTTCGACTGGAAATGTCAATCTTACATCATTTTTGTCCACCCGGACACGAACCAATGTCCACAGATAACGAAAAACGAGAAATTTCATCGCGTTTCGGTTACCGTCTGTGGATATACGAACATCCAAAGCCAAATAGGTCGACAAAGCCTCTTGTTTAGATGTAATATTGCTGGGGTACTTCTCCTTCCATCAGGTGAAGCCCGTGCTTGTCTTTCTCTATCATAAAAAATATTAAATACTGTCTATAGTTTACGCGAGTAGTACACATTTAAATAAAACACTTTAACGGTTTAAAACGCGTCTCCCCGTGACTACGGCTGCTGCAAGGCATCGGGAACGTCGGGCCGAAGTTAAAAATCATTTTCAAATAAGTTTAACTAATATATCGCGTTTTAAACCGTTAAAGTGTTTTATTTAAATTTAGACCATGATTAGGAAAATAGTGTAGGATGACCAGCGTCACGGTGGACTTGAAGGAGATAGCCGGCAGGAAACGGATAGTAAGAGCTCAAAAGAGAGCCGTGTGGCATGCTTTGGCCTGCGTCCAGCAGTGGATCCAACCGGGCTGATTATAATGATGATATGGTGAAATCAAGAAGTACCATTAGATCCCGCTGAGCTTCCACTAGGTCTTTTGCTGGTTTGTTGCGTAAACAGTTAACCATTTCCTGGCTATCACTCATGGGACACCCGACGATGTCTGACATAGCTTTAGCGTACTTCTCAGGTTTGGTCTGCAAAGCCCAGGGCGCTAAGGCTGAACCGCTGGACATTATTCCCCGTTGGAATTTACCTAAAGATCATATTATTTTCATTAATTATTTATTTATTACTGTTAAATTGTATACGCATTGTAAAACTTTAATTGTATAATACACGAGTTATTTTGGGCATCCAAATTTGTTTTTGCAAACCTCCACTTCATCTTTATTAATTTTAACTGTTACCCAGGACATAGTCCGTGGCCCGTCGTTCTTGCGATTTATTTTAGAAGATAGACATAGGGTCGCAGAAATTGTTTTAATATCATTTAAAGACGAATCACTCTTTTGTACATATTTTTGGGTATTATCAACATGAGTAATATTTCTCGTTTTTTCAAACAAACAAACTCAGCTTTATATATTAGTATAGATCATTAGACAGAATGTTCGCTTAAAATTATAATTCCGCTTATCACATTTGTAACTTCTAATATTTTTTTTTAATTAATAACTCTAATAACTACAAGTATCAGTTGGTTTGACAGATTTAGTTATATTTATCACATCGGCCTGTCAATTAATGGTTGCATTTATTGATAATCCCAATTATATTTATGACATTAGCTATATAATTTCTTCGTAAAACAAATCCTGTGTTGTTTACAATTAATGAAGTTAAATAAATAAACATGTTACTGTATAATTTTAACAAAACAGACACTTTAAAATAGATACCGTAACAAAAAAGTCCTCCTACCTTCCAACTTACAATAATTTATCACTAAGATGTTGCTTACTTATTATTTTCTATTGAAAGCAAGACAGTTAAATGTATAACCATATAGCAAAAAAAATCAGTACAGACTTTCGTAGTCCGTTTTAAATTCAAATGTCCCTTACCTCGTGACCTTGGTGACAAATAATGGAAGTGAACAGAGGCTGCCCCAGCGGAGTTTCCGAAGAGTGTGATATCATCTGGATTTCCACCGAAACTTCTTATATTCTGCTTCACCCAGTCCAAAGCACAGGCTTGATCTTTCAGTCCAGCGTTACCTGGGACCGCCATGTCTCCTGTGCTTAGGAAACCTTGAAACAAAATTAAAAGTTGATTTTTAATTTCGGTAAACTTGGCTGTAGACTCTTGGCTGCAGAACTCTTCAAATTGGTCTAGTGCAACTTGCTTTTAGAAGATCATTGTTAAAAGAAAACTTTTACATGCTTATGTTGTAAAACAAGTGTATTATCTCTTATTAATGCCGTAGATAGCATACTACGTCACAAGTTTCTTTTTTATCCTGTGTAAACCACGTTTCGGATACAAAGCCAAAGCGAAAATAGGTCGACAACATATCTTGTTGAGATGTTATATGACTGGGGTATTTCGCCTTCTATCAAGTAAACCCTATGCTTCTGTGTCCTCTATCATAAAAAATAGATCGTCAGCACATCTTACTTAGACGCTATATGACTGAGGTGTATACTTCGTACACATGGTGAATTAACCTTTTATCCAGGGAACCCTAAGCTTTGCAGAATCGTCGGATTATTAAGCAGCATATAAATATTGCCACGCAGAAAAACCTTACATTTTCGGTTCTATTGTCATAGAACTCTTACCTAGAGGTCCCAATCTGTAGTTAACAGTAACCACCACCATTTTCCAGGCCATCAGCCACTTGGCACCATAGATCGCGCCACTCCCAAAGAAGAATGCCCCGCCATGTAAGTATACCACAACAGGATAATTCATTGTGCTGTTCAAAGACCGAGTGTAGACATTCAAGAAGAGACAATCTTCTTCCCCTGAAAATTGAAAGGAAATGGAATATTCACGATATTATATGGAAAATTAAACCTGAAGAGTTTGTTTGTTTGAACGCGCTAATCTCAAGAGCTACTGGTTTGAATTGAAAAATTAGAGAAAAGTTAGAGCATTTATTGAGGAAGGCTTTAGGCTATCAAACATCGCGATGCGACTTATATGTGGGAAGATAGAGTGGAAAAAGTGAAAAAAAAATTCATCCCTGTAAACAAGTATAGAAGAATGACTCCTCCTTCAATGATCTAAAAGAAAGTCCGCGACACTATACGTCTATCTTTCAAGATTAAATCGCAAGGAAAACAGAACGCAACGTGGACGTCGTCGTGATATTTATCTATACTAATATATAAAGCTGAAGAGTATGTTTGTTTGTTTGAACGCGCTAATCTCAGGAACTACGGGTTCACATTTAAAAAATCTTTTTGTGTTGGTTAGAGCATTTATCGAGGAAAGCTATAGGCTAAAAAATATTCCGCTGTGACTAATAGAAGCGAAGATACGGCGGAAAATAAAGAAAACGAGGGAAATTTTTCGTTATGGGTTTCGGAGGCGTACGCTGCAAAAACGGTACAAGGTACCCAAAAAATATGTATAGAGGAATGATTCCTCTTTAAATAATCTGAAAAATGTCCGGGAAACTATATGTAAATAACAATTATACGCGGACGAAGTTGCTGGCCCAGCTAGTAATTTATAAACGAGGTTGTTTTGAAAAATAGATTATATAATGCCCAAAAAAACTATTCCACGCGGGTAAAGCCGCGAGCACAGTTAGTGCAGCTTATAACTTGCTGGCAAATATTATTGATGATTAAAGAACGCATGACTCTGTCCCCATGCCCCCACAGGCATTATAGTATAGATTAAGACCTGTAAATATAGATTCAGATCATACCTGTGACTTTTTTCTGGAATGGGTCGTATTGCATACACGAAGCCCCAGGTTTAGTTGCGTCCAGTACATCTGACCATTCTGATACTTTCGTTGTTCCCTGTAAAAAAACATGTTTTTTAAATACTAATAATATAAGGCTTACACATCAATTTTTAATAAAATTGGAAATTATTAACAGAGTCCCATTTATTTATTATACAAGTATTCGTAAAATAACAATTATTCCTTAATTGTTTTTTTATTTAATCTCTAACCTATCTTTATCTGTAATTTTAATTTTTATTTAAAAATGTTTTTTTTATCTTTATTTAAAATATTTAGTTAAACTTTAACATAAGTAGTAATAATTTTTATAAAAAAATAGATCTTGTAAGTTTCATTATGTTGTTGTAAAGTCTTGTATAAGTAAATAAATTCGTACATAATACAAAACACCGTACCTAACCATAATGTTTTATTTGTTAAAACACCTCCAGGAACACGTCTGCTTTTTATAAGTTCTGTAAAACACTTGTGTTATAAGGTAATTTTAATTAGTAACTAAAAATAAAAATAAAGAATTGCATTATTAAGCTTACGACAAATCGTTTGTTCCCGACAGGTGGCGCTGCGTACGGTATTCCCTGGAAACTGGCGTAAACGGTCCCATCTTGGATTTTCATCCACGTTCCATTTATCTTCCCCCCAGTTACCGTCACAATATCTGGCTGGACATTTACCGCACAGCTTAAAACTATTAATACTTGAATTCTTAACATAATTGTGAATGCGATCCTTCAACACTCCTCCATATACTAAGCGTTATCAGCGCGGGAGGTTACTATTATAGATAGATGTGTCAATGTTAATTATTTCTTACTATTAGCGTAATGTGGTGATGTCCGTTCTTTAATTATTTCTATATTTCCTGAAGGTTTTGAAGTTGTTGATAAAGACCAAATAGTGATGTGGAAGATTGTATATGTCAATTCGTGGTTTTGAAGATAGAACAATGAAACTTTCTTCTTTGGCTTTTTGGGAATAGGAGTGGGAGTGGGAGTGAGTGTAGGAATGAGAGTGGGAGTTAGAGTAGGAGTGATGTGAGGTGAGAGTGTTGCGGCAAAGTAGCACTTACCATAGATTGGTTGCCTTAAATGCGCCCTTACATATAATAAATAGCTTCGATAATTAAACATTCTTCCCCAAGTCACTATTTCACGCGGACGAAGTCGCGGGCACAGTTAGTATAAATATGTACACTTATATATATATATAATTATTCTAACGCCGATGCATAGATTAATTTACTTATTATCTAATATGTATTTATAATATATCTGTCGCGTTAAGACAAAGATATTGTATAACAAAATAAAAGCTGTTAAAATATTAGCAACATTTTCGTTTACTTTTTCTTTTTACGTTAATTTCCTATTTAAAATAATTACAGTTGGACTAGGAATTTGTTAAAACACAACAAACTTAATTTGCATACGCTACGGTTTGGCACTCCGTGTTTTGCGCGAAAGGTCCTGGGTTCGAAACCCGGGGAAATGATTGTTTCGGTTGCACAGAAGTTTGAATAACTACTTGCCTGTAAAACAATAAATAGTAAAACGGGATTCCACTTTATCTTTTGGTAAAAAATAATCTACAAAAAGAAATTTATTCTTTAGTATCACTCTGTGGTTTAATTTTAGAAGTACTGCTTAGGATTTGGAGCAACATGACGATTTTCTGTGGGAAACGAAATTGATAAAATTACCTTTGCCAAAAATATATAAAAAAAATCGATTATAATTTGACAAAAATTACGACACGGGCAGAACTTGACCCGGCATCCACAACGTTTTGTGCTGTTGCTCTACCAATTGAGTTACCGTGTCCTATAAGATTTTTTTTTATTTAAATAAAAAGGAGTTGTTTTTTGTCAAAGGATGTAGACAAGTCGCGAAAAGAAGCTCGTTCAATAAGACTAAAGGATTTTATTACAGAAGAAGTTTATATAGTTCAATAATCCGTGTAATATAAAACTGGGAACAATCGTAAAATGCGGTCTTTAACGTTATAATTTACGTGTACTTAAGAAAAACTCATTTCTGTAAGTAGGTACTACCCGATCCTTTTGCCAACTGCTTATTTTGCGTCTTAATTTTGAGGCACTTTTGAGAATGGACACATAAGATTATTTTACTTGACGGAAGGCACAATTACCGTAAGTAGTCTATCGATTCTGGACCTTATATAAAAAAATTGAAAAAATCTGGAAATGATTGTTAATTAAATGGGTAATTTATTTTTCGATAATTACGCTATTTTGTAGGTGCTTTATATGGTGCAAACAAAATGGCGGACAGATTATACAATCACTATTTAACTTAAGTTAATGATTTATTAGAAACCTGATTAATAAAAGCTATTAAACAAAAAAGTCTTTATTAAACAAAAAACAAATTAGATTTGAGATGATTTTTAAAGATATTAAAATGCTAATTAATTACAATTTACTGTTTTACTACGTAAAATCATATATTGAAGGAAATATTGCCCCCCCAATACCAATATCTTTAATAGCGTAATTTAACCTTATTGTTATACTACAATAATTTTAATACACTTACTAAAGGCTAGATCGCTTAATTCTCAGGGGAGGTCGTAAAGTGTTAGCTTGTGGTCTCCTATTATTAGGTTGCTGTATGCGTTACGACATCAGTTATCTATATATTAAATTATTTCTTTAATATATAAACCACATCGAATATCTATAAAATGTTCAAAAAACCTGCACGCGAAAACTCTAAATCGGGTTGAGCACCCGTCAAACTTAAGTTCCCAACATTGTGGTAGGTAAAGCCTGTGCCTGCTTTTTTATGTCGTAGTGGCTAAGGTGTTTATAACTGACCACAGCGCAATTGCTAAACAGCGCTTTAATAAGAAAAGTTTGGCATCGCTTAACATAGAACATTAACATGACTCGCACGCTTAGTATTAGAGTGACCTAACTCAAAAATTTTAGTAAAATTAGATAAATGCACTGACATTACTATAATAACGCTATCATCAGTTTTATACGATTTGCCAAAAAAGTGATTTTTTTTTTATTAGGTCACTGTAATACTAAGCGTGCGAATTGTGTTCTTTTCTTTCAGAAATCTGAACGTTTGTTGTTCTTTTGAATGCGCTAATATCGGGAAAAATTCTTGTGCTGAAAAATAACAATGCTATAACATCAAGGTGCGACCTATAGGAGCGAAGAACTAATGGAAAATTGAAAGAAACGAAGAAAATTATTCATCTTTATGGGCTTCGGGTTGCGCTGCGAAAACGGTTCAAAATGTCCAAAAAATTTCTATGAAATAAGGATTTCTCATCAAATCATCTAAAAAGATTTCAGCGACACTCTACTCGTATGTCTATCTTGCAAGAACGACGTGATGCGGACGTTTGTACGTGTACGTGTGGGTAACAGCTAATGTACAAATATAATTCTCCGATTATCTAAAATCTACGTACTTTAACTTCTTAACTTACAGAAGAAGCTTACAGCCAAAAATTATCTTAAGATTTTTAATGTATAAATATAGTCGACATATTTTAAACCACCTGAAGAAATCAAGTTAACGTTAAGTGCTGTAAAAATATGAGTCTTCTTCCTGATTGGTTGTTTAGTTAACGCGGACTTAAGGTGGGTAAAAAAAAATTTAAGAGTGACCTAAGACGATATAAGATATAATATATATATATAAGACAATATACCTCAAATTTTCCTCTTGTTTATGTTGCAAGGAGATCTCATTGACATTCTAGTCGTATTCGGTTTTACAATTGCCCCCAATAAGGGTATAATACTACTATTAACCTTTTTTATCCCGGATCAGTAATCGCAAGCAAATTCTTTGCTATGCGTAAATAAACCTTTGTGAATACTTTTTTTTTACTACTAGGTTCCCCTTTTATCTATATCAATATTATTTACAAGCTGCGTCAGCGACTACGTCCGCGAGAATCGTCATTGTTGCAAATTCAATTTTTTATAAACTTAACCACAACGTCGATCACGTGCATTCCCGTCGCTCTTGCAAGTTAATCTTAAAAGATAGACGTATAGCGTCGGACTTTTTTAGATCATTTATAGAGGAATGGTTATTTAATACATATTTTTTCGGTATTTTGAACCGTTTTTGCAGTATACGCCTCGGATTTCCATAATGATGAATAATTTTCCCATCTTTTTCACATTTCTCACTGTATCTTCGCTTACATTAGTGACAGGTCGATGTTTTATAGCCTATAGCTTTACTCGATAAATGCTCTAACCAACACAATTTTTTTAATTCGAAGCAGTAGTTCCTGAGATTAGCGCGTTCAAACAAACAAACAAACTCTTCAGATTTATATATAAGTATATTAGTATAGATTAACACTATATTGCCCAAAAGAAGAGAAAATACAAACAAAACTTATATACTAAAAATATGGACTGCAACACCTTATCGCTAACAGCGATCTCTTCCAAACAACCTAAGAAAGATGAGAAAGTTTACGGTACGAGATGTGCAAGGTAATCGAAACAAAGTACATAATCTTAAAGATATCAAAACAAATCTTACACACAATTATTAAATGAGGTTATCATTATCAATATATTTAAATAAACACTCGGGTAGACTACAGAACTGCCTTGACCGCCTCTGTAGCCTAATTGTTAAACGTATTGCCTAGCATTGTGTTAAGCGCGAGAGGCTCCGGGTTCGAATCCTAGGGAAACATAAAATTGTTACGGTCGGGCAAGACACAGAAGTCTGATCACATGCCTGTCAAAAGAACGGACCAGTGAGACGGACACAGAAATGTGTTCGCCCCATGCCCCACGAGGGGGAAACGGGCTTTCACTTTAGAAACTACAGAAAGTATCTCGTATTAAGTAATAGTAAGCTCGTTGGTGTAATGGTAATAGAGCTAATAATCAACGGGTCGCCGGTTCGATCCCCACTGGGTGCAACATTTTGCTAAACAATTTAAAATTTTTCTGAAACATGTTGGACTTCGCCTGGAAATCAAAAGTTTAATCACGTTTCAGTTTTGCATGAGAATTTCCTCATATCCAAAACCGATATAGGTCGATACATCTTGTCTAGATGCTATAGGCTGGGGTCCTCCTATATCATAAAAGAATCTAAAACTCAGCTTACAGTCGCAAATTACAGAAAAGATTGTTGCATAGCATTATTTTTCAGTTTACAAAGGGCACTCAAGTCGTTTATCAGCAAAGATATTAAAATGGAGGATGATAAATGATCTAATGCAGTAGCTTCAGCGTTTGAGATTACATTACAACGGTTTTATATCAAAATAAAACATGTTACGGGTTAAAACGCGATATATTTTTGTTAAACTTGTTTGAAAACTATTTTTAACTATGGCCCGACGTTTCGGATGCTTTGCACCAGCCGTGGTCAGTCTCCGCGTGAACATTCAAACAAGTTTAACTTAAAATGTATCGCGTTTTAAACCGTTAAAGTGTTCTATTTTAATGGGTACTACTCGCGTAAACTACACACAGTATCTAACGTTTTAATACTTTGTAATAAGAATATGTTTTGAAAACGAATTACATACAATTAATATAAGTGATCCTCCTATCTTACGCACGATTTAAGTCATTACAATAATTAAATGGAGAAGTCAACGAGTCATGATGTCGACTTAAATATCTATTTCGCATATAAAATTACTTTATTATATAGCTAGAACCGGCCAACGTTGTGTAACCATGTTATTTATTTCTAGAGTTGAAAATGTATGTTATAACGACCCGTCGCGTCTTTGCACGGTCCACTCATATATAAAGCTTATGAGTTTGTTTGTTTGAAGGCGCTAATCTCGGGAATTACTAGTTACAAATACAAATACAAATACAAATTCTTTATTCACCAAAACTGTGTACATATCATTACAGGGTGTGCTAGCCCCCACACTAGGATTCCCTGTGTCGTGGGCGGCTAGACTCTTCCGGTGCATTTCGAGAAAAACAATGAAAAACTTAGTATCTACTATGTACTTATAAAGTTATTATATGCTAAGTATTTAAATAATAAAAAATAAACTTAAAAATATGGATAACATTTTGTCATGCAATTACCTTAATACAGTTTTCTGTTTGAGTATAATTTAATTTTAGAAGAAACACTTTAATTTTATTTAATTGGGAAGAATAAGAAGTAAGTGGGCTAATTATATTTTTATTAATGAATAAGTTAAGCAGGAAGGGACCTTTAAAAGTAAAAAATCGTTGGGCAAAAGAGGTGTGTTTGAGCGGAGTTCGGAATTGGACTTTTCGTTGTGTTAAAGATGTTTGTTCGGATGTTTTAGATTGTGATGGCGTTTTGAGTTGGCGACGACAAGTTGATATAATATACAGTTGCCTGACCGTCAGGAGATTACATTCTTTGTATAATTCTGAAGTTGGATGCCGAAACGGTTTTCTAAGGGAAATTTTTAGGATAGCACGCTGTGCCCGTTCTATTTTGAGCATAAGACCTGTTACCGCACCGCCCCATGTGGAAATGCAATAAGATAACACAGATTGGCATAAAGCTATATAGACTGTCCTAATAGTATTAGTCTCTGCCGCCTTACTGAGGCGTTTAAAGGCGCTTGAAAGTTTTCGGACACGAGCGCACAGATAACTAATGTGAGGACCCCAAGAAAGCCTCGAGTCTACCATTACCCCGAGGTATTTAATAGAATCAGTCGATTCTATGGTTGGACATTGGCAGGTCGAGAAGGGGTTATGACAAGAATGGAGTTTAATAGGGGGGATTGGTTTTGGGGCAGTTGCCTTAGAGATGTTAAAACAAATGTATTTAGTTTTTGTTGTATTAAGCGAAAGAAGATTATTGGTGAGCCATTGAGAAATACGGGTGAGACCCGTTTGGGCAACGAGGGCGGCTTGTTCCCAGGAACGTGAATAAAAGATAATCGCCGTGTCGTCAGCGAAGGAGAATAACTTGGCATTAGAAAGCTTCATTGTACATAAGTCGTTAATATAGATTAGAAATAGAGAACTGCTTATTGCACTACCCTGTGGCAAGCCGTAGGAGACTACTTTTTCCAGGCTTTTTAAACTATCTATTCTGACTATTTGTTTTCTGTTGGATAGGTAAGATCGGAACCAGTTTAGGATGTTGCCCCGGAATCCTAATCTTTCCATTTTTTCCAACAGGATTGGTCTGGAGATAGTGTCAAAAGCTTTCGCTACATCGAGAAAAACACCAATACACCTTTGACCCTCGTCCAATTTTGAGCTAACAGTCTCAACCAGAGCAGTAGTTGCGTCTTCTGTCGATTTGTTATGCCTAAAACCAAATTGGTTATTAGCTAGCATGTCTTCCTTTTCCAGGTAATTGAGTAGTCTTGTATTGACGACTTTCTCCATAATTTTAGCTAAGCTTGGGAGAAGTGAGATAGGGCGGTAATTCGAAACTTGCGTCTTGCAACCGGATTTATGAACTGGGGTAATGTACGCAAGTTTCCACGATTCGGGAAAAATTCCTTGTTCAATACTGAGGTTACAAATGTATGCTATAGGCGCTGCTAATATATTTTTTAGGGAAATAATTATACGGTTGCTTATGATGTCATGTCCTGGGGCCGCATGGGGTTTAAGGGAGTTAATAATCTTAAGGATTTCACGCTCGTCGCAAGGGAGAAACAGAAAAGAGTTAGGTTTGGAGGGAATGGAAATATTCTGGACTAGATCTTTTTCAGTTCGCTTTAATTTGAGCAAGGTTTCTGTAGAAATCTTTTCGCCAATCGTTGAAAAGAATGAATTTACAGTATTGAGGGATTCTTCCGGGTTTGGTTTGATATTTAGTAATTTACTTGAATTTTCTTTATTAGAATTAAGATTGCATATATTTTTGATACATTTCCAGAGTTTTCGGTTGTCGTTTTTATTTTCTTGTATAGTCATGCTGTCGTGAAGATTTTTAAGGTTTTGGAGGATATTGTTACAATAGTTGCGATACTGAGTGTATTCATTTTGGAGTGTTTGATTGTTCGGCTTTTTTCTGGTTAGTGAGTGTAGATAGTCTCTTTTTCTAACACAGCGTAATAGTCCAGGAGTCATCCATTGTTTTCTGATTGCTTTGGAATTTCTTTGGGATCGTGTTTTGGTATGGGCTTTAATAGATTTATTTAAGCTGTTTGTTAAAGCCGTGACAGCTTCGTTTATGTTAGTAAAGGACCATATAAAACTCCAGTCAACCGAAGAAAGGTCATTTTTTAATTTATCAAAATCAATTACCTGATAAGAGATAGAAGAATTAATTTTTTGGGTGGTGTGAGGACGTGATTGCTCGATTCCGATAATGACAGACATATGATCAGTGACTTGGGAAGGGCAGACGGCTACTTTTGTAGGAAGGTTTGATCTAAACAAAGCGTGATCTAAGCAGTTATCTCCGCGGGTCGGAATGAATTGACCTTGGATAAATCCATGGTAATTCACTAGCTCTAGCAGTTTGTAAGCTCTCAAATCGTCAGTCAGCTCCTTCAGGTCTATATTAAGGTCCCCAATAATGTAGATAGGTTGACCGATGTGGGAGAGAATTATGTTTTCTAGTGCGTTGAGAAAGGCATCAACGTTGTATGTGGATGGAGATCTATATATAGATATGATTACCGTTTCACTATTCAACACACTAACTAGAAAATTTGCTTCAGGATAAACCGGTTCAGTAGTAATCAGGTTCATGCAGTTTCTGTAGAATATAACAATTCCATCGCATTTATTTTTGTAACTTTGGGAGAAAGTGCATATGTATCCGTCAAGAATTAAGCCTGTAAAGTTTTTATCAATCCAGCACTCTGTTAGAATGATTAAATCCGGCTTGAATTGAAGTCTTGTTAGGAAAACTAGAAAACTATCAAAATTTTTATTTATGCTTCGAATATTTTGGGACACTATTGTTAAGTTGGAAGAGTTGAAAAAAGTTTTGCAGTCTTCAGGATATGTAAGGTATTCATTGGGTATAAAATGTGTATTGTCAATATCGCGAATTAAATTAATATTATCGAATTTAAATAGATGGGTGTAGTAGGACGCAGAACTTTGCCTTTAAAAAATTATAATAATACTTGGTTAATGTGGAAGAAAGTGTATAACTTGTAGTACAACTAATTGTTTTACATGAGATAACTAAGTGTTTAGGAATGACATTAATGTTTCCTTGGAGTGTTGGTAATAAAAATAAATAGAACATTTGTTTTAGAAATTCCAAGACGTTCGACCCGACTAGAGTAAAATTATAATAACTATGTTGATAACTGAAGTGTGATACTAAACAATTTAATAGGTGTTTGAGAATACTATATAACTTGGCGTAATGGATTGATAACATTACATTTGATTTATGTTTTGACATTAATAAGTTAAGTAAAATTAAGACTAGTCATGCGCTATTTAGCAAGTTGAGTTGCTCTTCGTTCTTTATGAGGATGTATTTGGATCCGTTATTTTTCCTAAGATATACGTTACCATTCGAAGACCAGCAATAGTCGTATTGTTCTGATTTAGCCAACTCCCTCGCCAGAAAGAAAAGCCGCTTAGCCTTCGGTGTAAGAAATTCTGAGACATATATAGGAGTATGTCCCACCATTCCTATGTGGCTGCAGTTCAGTTGACTCGATCTGTGCTCCTTGTTATACTTTCGAACAGCGCTTAAGATGTTAGTTTTTGTGAGGGTATTACATAGATCAACGGTGAGGTTCCAAGTCGAGTTATCTTTTCTGTTGGTGAAGCGGGCCACGTCTCTAATGTCACTAGTTGAAAAGTCAATTTGTAGACTAGACGCAAGCTGAGTTAAATAGGCGAAGAGTTCGGCTTTGGACGGAGGTTGACTTTGCTTGGGAACGTTTCTAATTTCAATAGTTGTTTTGTGGATGGCTCGGTCTAGGGCTTCGTGCTTCTCTTCGAGGTCCACAAGTTGAGCCGACAATGCTATAATATTTTTTTGGAAATTGTCGATTTTTCCTTGCATACCTTCTATTTTTGTGGAGACGAATTCGATCGAATTTTCGATGGACTGGCTGGTCTCGTTGACTGTCGAGAGCTTCGAAGATAATTCAGCGATACACCCTTCCATAGCCTCTAAACGGCTATTCTGTTGATCCCGGAGTTTGTCAAGCAGTTCGAATTGATTTTTTTGTTGTGGTTTGAGCTTTATGCTATAAAAAATCTGGCGAAGACCAATGAGCGAAGGAGCCGAGGGAAATGTGAAAAAAAAACGAGGTAAATTATTCATTTTTCAAGAAACTAAAAAAAACATAGATGAAATACTTTTAAAAACTTATTTACACTTTTCGTTCGCTACAGTTAAATTACAGACATTTCCCACGTTTCTCAACAGCCGTGGTCACGGGAGGTTTATTTAAGTGAGTATCGCTCACGTAAACTACAATAAAAAGTCAACTACAGGCAGTAGTGGATATACTATATTAAAATATAACATAATTCGTGTGAAAAAAAATGCATGCTCAGCGCAACAGCGTTCCTTTGTTCTATTTATATAACTTATAAATACCTATTGAATGGAATAACCCCTTTTGAATTAATGTAGAACAAAAATAACAAAGTTTAACTAATATATCGCGTTTTAAACCGTTAAAGTGTTTTATTAAAATGTGTACTACTCGCGTAAACTATAGATAGTATTTAAAAATTTTTTCGATTAAAGTTTTTGTAAGGACTAGCCGTGCCTGCGACTTCTTCCGCGTAGCATAGTTATTTTGGGCGTCAAAATTTGATTTTGCAATCTCATGATTATAAATTACACTCGTAGATGTTACTCACGACGTTGGTCGCGTCCCGTCGTTCTTGCTAATTACATGACTGTGGCGAACAGTTTTTAGATCATTTAACAAGGAATCATTCTTTGATACATATTTTTTGGATATCTTTGACGATTTTTGCTCGTATTGGTCACAGCGTGATATTTCATAGCCTAAAGCTTTTCTCCATAAATACTCTAACTAACACTAAAAGGATTTTGCAATTTACACCTGTAGTTCTTGAGATTAGAACGATCAAACAAACAAACTTTACAACTTTATAATATAAACGTACAGATAAAAAGTTAGATAGATTTTTATGTAAGATTTTTTATAAAAGCATTAACGTATTATGGAAAAGTGTATATATCTATAAATTACGTTGAAATAGAATACAACTGTCTGTTTGAAACCGAAACATATTAGCACGTGCAATATAAAAGGGAAGACCTCCCCATGACCATGGCAGCCTCCGACATGTCGAGCCGTAGTTAAAATAATTTTTAGTTATGTTTTAAACTGTTGAAATGTTTTATTTAAAAAACAACTTTAAATATATTAGTAACATTTTTTGTAACGACTACAAGTATCACGGCTGCTGCATACCATTCGAAACGTCGCGTTTACTAATAAATATGTAACTAATATCTTTTCAATTTATTCAAAAGTGTTCTCGTATACACTAAGAATTATCATCCTATATGAGACAAGGTATAGTTGTGTGCTTTCTAATAAAGGTAGGTGATCCATCACAGACGTAATTGTTATTTAAGACCTTTTGTTTGGAGATCACATTCCATTTATTTTCACAATGAATCCCAAAGGGGGTATTTTACCCAATTTTTCTGGGCATTTCTTCAAAATGGAACTGAAACATTTCTGTATCTTAATTATTGTTACGCTAACTTTAAATAGTAAAAAGTGTTTCATACTATAGCGAATTGGGTATTAATTTAATATGATTAATTTTATTAATATTATTAAATAATTATTAATTTTATATGAGAACCTTAACCGACATCCACAGAGTTCCGTGCTATTGTCCTAATTAATTCAGCTACCGTCTAGTCCTACAAGTCATCGTCGATTTTTTATCAACCCATAGATATATGCAATTCTGGCGCTTTTCTTGCATCCATCATGTGAAAAATATTAAAGTTTTAGGTACAGATGTCGAATCTGTACCTACCTTTATTTCGAATCATCATAGTGATCTGTAAATAATAATGTTTCTATGGTCCTATTCGCTACACAATTACTACCTACTAGAACATTTATTAATATTTTTAGACTTGAACGTTATACATGTTATCAAATTTTAATTAAATAAACAGCGTATTGCATACCGTATTTTGTAATAAAAAAACCATAATAACTTCAATAAAAGTAAAAATTTAGTGTCGAAATCAAATCTTAGTTAAAATTTATTAAAAATAACATAACTAATATAAGTGAGTTGTAAATTGATAGAAGTTTTTTATTTATGAATATATGTTTAATCCTAACCTACAGACAATACTTAAACGGGATTAAGACTTGTTTGTCTATTTAATCAGTAAACGGCTAGTCTAGTTACATATACTATATATAAGGCTGCTAGAGCCAGAGTGGCTTAATAACTGTGTGTAAGAATTATGTTAACAATTCTCAGTCACTGTGCTTTTGTAGATTAACAGTTTAGACTGTCGAAATATATTAGTCAAGTCTTAAAAATTTCAGTTAGGCTACTTTGGCTCTAGCGGCCTCGTATGTTCAAGGTAGGATATAATTTCACATGGCCTAACAAAATAAATATTTTTCTAGATTAAAAAAAGAGATTTCCATACACTCGTGGGTGTAATATTACCACAGCCTTCAATTTTTCGCCCGCGGTGAGCCATACAGAAGTTTGATGACTCTTATATTGAAGCTTTTATAGTTCACCACATGACAAAAACATAACCTTGACCTGAAAGGAATTTGTGTAACGCGGTGTTATGAAGTAATATAAGATATTGAGTAAGGGATGTAAAAAATAGTTTTTTTTTTTTATGATAGAGAAGGACAGACGACAGGGAAAACACTTCAGACATATAACAACAAGAGTCTTTGGATATTCGGAAATACCAGAGACTAAAGCCGAAACCCGATTAAAAATTGACTGCTTTTCGTTTATTAGTGTTTTTGTTTAAAAGTGTACTCTAGTAAATAATATAAATAAAGAAACATCGCTATGCTTCTTCACTTTGAAGTTTGAATTTGGATAATATATATTCAAATGTGGTTTATTTATTTATAGGTCACGGGGAGACGGCTGCTGCAAAGCATCCGAAACGTGGGACCGTAGTTCAAAATAATTTTTAAACAAGTTTAATTAAAATATATCGCGTTTTAAGACGTTAAAGTGTTTTATTTAAATGTGTACTACTCGCGTAAACTACTAACAGTAGGTAAGTAAATATCAATTACTGTAATGGTAAGTGAAAATGATCTGTATTAACTAAGAAATAAAACTTAATTTACAGAGCAACACAATTGTTTATTTTAACTTCATAACTCCTGCAAAGAATTGTCTACTTAGTTTGCTTAGTTACAAATTAAGCGGGAAAGATATAGAATAAAACTAATCACATAAAGGGATAGAAATATATGTCTGGCCCATTCGAACATCAAAAAGGATCACAATTTACTTATAGATTTCAAGATATATAACCTCTTTTGACAATAACCCACCCTCCCGAGAGTTTATAGCCCGTTCCATTCACCCGCCAGTTTTGCTCAGACCTCCGAGCTAGGCGCTTGTCTGTAGACGCTAAATATTTCCTCGTTAACCCTAGTCCGTATAAATTATCATAATTCATCTCTCGCGTTAATGCCTTCGTCTAAACCAATCTCTAATAGGTCTAGTGTTTTCATTAGGTGATATTGGTGATACGGTAAATAATGTAAGTATTGTGTTTTTGACTAGCTGTAAATAAAGAAATTGTTCCTTATATGGATTTTTTTATAGTTTTTACGTCAATTTCATGTTTTACGATGCAGTATTATTCACGTTTAAATAATATTGATTTCGCATAATAAATTCTATTAATTAAGGTCTCCCAAGAAGAAACGCGAAAAGATGGCCGGAATTCCGATATTTAAAATTTTCAATTCTTACATTTATTAAAAACACCGTTGTTGGGTCCACCTGTTGAGGAACGAACCCACGACTATATATTACGATATATACTACCATTAACTAAAGAGCTCGTCAATCGAGTTGAGACATATCAAATCGTCTTTAGTTAAAAAAAAATTACAACACGGGCATGACTTGAGCCGGCATCCACAGCGTTCCGTGCTGTTGCTCTAACCAATGGACCTACCTTGTCAAGTTGTCATTTTTTTTTTTCAATATAAAATAATGACATCGTGTGTAATAACATGTGAAAGGTATTAAAGATTTCAATATTTTAATTGTGTTATATTTCTATACTGATATATAAAGCTGAAGAGTTTGTTTACACGCGCTAATCTCAGAAACTACGGGTTTGAATTGAAACATTATTTTTGTGTTAGTTAAAATATTTATTATTGTTAATTATCGTTCGAGGAAGGCTGTAAAACATTGCACTGTGACTAATAGGATCGAAGAAGCAACGGGAAATGTGGAAGCAACGGGGAAAATTATTTATCTCCGTGGCCGTTCGGTACGTACTCTGCAAACACAGTTCAAGATATCTAAAAAATATGAAAGAATTATTCTTCTTTATATGATCTAAAAAATTTCCGCGACACTATATGTTTATTTTTAAGATTAACTTGCAAGAATGAAGTGGGTAATAGCTTAAACTTATAAAGATGTAAAGGTTTGCAAAAACTAATTTGGATGCCCAAAATTACTATTCTGCGCGGACGAAGCCGCTGACACAGCTAGTATTTTATAATTGCTATGAAAATATATGAGGAATTAGTTCACTTGCAATATTTCTAGTGTATATTTTTAGCGTAGCTTCTTAGAATTGCAAATGTTTTCGCAATTACCATAAATTTTTGAAACCTACTATAGAATGCAAGAGGGGGCAACGTGGAGGCCCGTACATAGAAGAGGTCCCTTTTCTTAGGTAGCGCTGTGTCCAAATAGACTTGTTTGTTCAAAACACAATGGTCCAGTCAAAAAAGACCGAATTCTTTATATGACTACTTTTCAGAGCGCGTAGAAAAGTTGTACACATTACGTTTGTAACATGTAATAAACTCTTGACGATAAGGGGAGAAGCTGCGAGTTTCTTGCCAGTTCTTCTCGTTGGTTCTATGTCCTTAATTTGAGATGTGGTAGAAAATGTAAATTTAG